ACTACAGCAGATCTGAAGTCCATTTTATCAGCTCACTTTGGGTGTACGTTCACTTCGTAAAGAAACACTGTGAGAATCTGCCCTGTTCAGACATGTACAGCAATGACTAAAATACAGGCTTTACGTTGGAGTGACTTACGCTCTAGTTATAAAGACAGATATGAGTATAAGTAAGTGCAGTGAGTTGTTATAGGCACTACGATAGAAATATATGTTAAAGACCAAAACCCAGTAATCATAGCCGTTAACACTTGAAAGTACGACATTTAGCGAGCCCCAAATACTCCAGTGAGTTCCTGATACATTACAATTGAGAATTCATTGAGGAAGTAGAAGGTATAGACACTGGTGGTTTCTGCTTTTACAGCTCAGCCTGATCCAGAGTCACACAGTTGGTCCCACAGTGGCATCTAAACGTCCCTCAACTCCAGCGCCAGCGTTAGAGGACAGTGTCATCCCCAGTACCCAGTGCCGTGGTGGTATTTAATACTAGAGACATCAATAGACTAGTGGTAGTTTAACAACGGAGGAGTTACTGTTTCCAGTGAGATTTAAATGATCTTTAAGTAATACAGTGAGTTGAAAGTATAAGTGGTTTATTTTAAAGGGGCTCTTTATTAATCACCCAAACCCCCAGACTTACTTCATAGGGAAGCTTCACAGGAAAGCAGGTGTCGTCACAAGCGGCAGCTATGCCCTGGTGGACGATCCGCTCAGAAACAAGCAGAATCCTGCCGGAACCTTTGCCCACGCGCCTGACCCATGCTGCGGGGATTTCTGTGCTGCTCCTCACGTCGTCCTGTGAATAGGCTGGGACAGGCCGGAAATAAGTTCTCCGCCCACCACCAAAGGAGGAAGGTGCCGGGGTCGAGGCCTCTCGCTCTGTGTGAGGGGAGGACTGGGGGACACGGGTGAGTCCACGTGAGGATGGCGGCGGGGCGAGAGGAGGAGAGCTGTCCTGGGGCGTCTTTAAAGAAGGAATGGTGAACTTGGGAGAGTGTGGGTTTCACTGAAAACTGTGTTACATGTTTTGAAGTGACTTCTGCATTGCAGGGAATTTTTGTATTAATTTAGTGTCCCCGAGCACTGAGAGGCAGGCGGCAGGATTTTCCTGTCTGTCCAACCGGTCGCCTCATGAGCCCGGCGCTTTTCGGCGGGGTCATCGTTTTCTCTTCCCAGTTCTTCCCCTGTTCCACTTCCTCGTCGACTTTCTGTTTAAGTGTGTCGTTAGCAGGGTTCTGAATCCCACAGGCTGCAGGAGAGCGCGTTACTTTCTTTATAAGCTGGGACCAAAGTTAAAGCAAAATGCGTATTGCTCAGACTCGCTGGTTGCTTAAGACTTTTGGTATACTCGTAGCCCGTTTTTTTCTTTGGAAAAGAGACCGTTGGGAAGAGATCAGAAAGTGAGGAGCTCATTGGAAAAGATCAGAAGCAGGAATGAGGAGGAATGAAAGGAGTGCTTTAAGGAAAACAGGTATAAGTGTGTTTATTTTTCTTATTTGAACTGTATGAAGATCTACTTTTATTAAGCTAGCAGTACAGGTACCTTAATGGTATCTTGTTTAAGCTATTTGACCCTGCCAGCAGAATTTGATACGGATATTATCAAGTGCTTGATAGCTTGATATTTGATGTCAACAATGAGTTGGATAAGTTACATTACGTTAGTGCCCTCTGCTAATTGATTACAAGTGCAGTGGACTCCGCACTCCCCGGGCAGTAGGCGACCGGATCTGGAGGCAGGGACACCCACGAGCAGATGGTCTCTGGCAGCATGAGAGACTATGTCCAGGTCCCTGCCGCCGCCGAGCTGGAGAAGCCTTATGACCTGACCTCGACGAGGGAGCCAGCCACGCTTCTGTGCCTGAGTAGGTCCAGGGAGTCCACTGTGCTCGCTCTCACGATGCTTATAAGTTCAGTGTGCTCTCGTTTACCATAGTGGGTAATTATTTCTGTTATGATTACTGTTGCCACAGTCTTTTTAACCTTGTATTATCTTTAATATGTTCTCATTTTATAGAAACCTGAGTAAATTTAACATCTTAAACCTGGCTTTATGTATCTTTATAGTTGTTGGCTTTTCATTTACACTAAGTGGCCAAGAGGGTGTTTTTGTTCTGTTTCATGCGGGCGTTGTGGAGGAACTCGATGCGATCGCTTATTTTCCTGCGTGGAAGTGCATTCCTCATCGGTCACACTTATTCCTGCAGCCGCGTTCACTGGTCGTGGTGTGTGGAATGCTAAAATGTTTAATTCAGAAATTGTTTGGTAGGTGTGTGAGTCAAGTGTGGCGGTTCCCCTTGGAAGTCATCAGATATGGTCGGGCTCTCAGCTCCTCTGCTTACCAGCTGTGTGATGGGACCCACGGGCCCCTGAGCCCTGACCCCTCGTTTCTCAGACGGGAGAGCACCGCCTGCACGAGAACGAGTTCCAGCGAGTGGCAGTGCAGCACCGAGCACACACATCGTGTCCAGGAATGGCAGCTCCCCGCGATGCTGATGTCGTTACTGAAAGCTCATTGCGAGCCACCCATAATAATTGCTGTGATTTTAGATGATGAGTTTACAGCAAAGATTTCACATTGTTGGGGATGTTGTCTCAAAGGCCCCAACCCCCTGGGGACCCCTCTTGTGGTACTTCTGTCCCTGCACTGCTAACAGCAGCTACCATCTCATTCCATGCTTCCCATGTGTTAGACCCTTAAGAAGAACTGTGCACACAGTTGTATATGATTTCCCAATAAGCATGAAAGGGCATGGTTATACCTATTTGACTGTTGACTGTGCGTGAAGGAAGAGAAAGTGAGCCCCCAGCTGGACAGTGAGAGGCCTCGGGCTCACCCCAGGTCCGTCTGACCCAGACCCCTGCCCTTCACCCTACGCTGCCTGCTTGGTGCCGTCTCCCCGGCAGACCTCAGCTTTCTGAAAGTTGGGACTGGCTAGGGCATGTATCCCAAGGTCACAGCTGTTGCAGGCTCTTTACAGTAAAAGCAATATGGAATATCAGACAGGGTCAATGTAAATGAAATTTAGCAGCTTGCTGCGAATCCTTAACTGCTGGAAATAACAATTCACCGTCCGGATGAGGAGCTCAGGGCACCGAGACTCGTTTCCGGTCCTGTGGCCGGTCTCTTGGCCGTGACGGCTGTCTGCATGTACCGTTCCTTTGGCCCGGCGTTCGTGTCGGCACAGTCTTCATTTTAATCTTCTTAATGGGTTATCAGCTTCTTTCATCGCAAGTATCACGTACTAGCTTAGTGCCCTGTGGGGGTTCATCGCTCCATACAGGTTTGATTTTAACCTATTTCAGCGTACTGACATTTTATCTGAAGTATATTTGTATCCTGTACAGTGAACACAGAAATCCGACTTTTGCTTATTTGGCTGTTACCCTTGTTTTTCTTTCTAATAATCAGATTTGTGTTTGGATTTTGAACCCTAAAAAGAATTCAGGCACTTTGATGTTAATATGAAACAATCTCCTAATGGACTCGTTAGCATTGTTTTTATTCTATTAAAGTAAAAAACATGCTGAACAATGGACAGCGTTTTATATCATCAGCCTAAGTATAGGCTGCTGAGTTCTTCACTACTTTGTATAACAGTTTATAGACTCCTCGAGGCCAAAGATCGTGTGTCCTTCACACCTTCTTGCATCCGTGGCGTCCAGCATGATGCCATGTCGTAGGTGCAAGTGAAATATTTGGAGGCTGATGGATTCGACCACTAATATATACTGCGACTCTGGGTCAGTCTTACGTGTTTTGGCCCGTGCTGGGCCCTCAGTTGAGAGCCGGTGTATGGCTGCGTGCGTGACTGGTGCTGTGTACGTCATGGGCAAGGTGGGGTCTGAGGGAGTCTCCTGCATGACGGTACGGTAGTAGCAGATGTCCGCTTAGATCTGAGCTCTTTTCACTTCTAGCTCAAGTGTCCTTCCTTCCCTATTTTGGTTTTCAAATGTATGTAAATGCACCCTTACACAGTGACTCGTATAGCCCAGTCTCCTAAATAATTTTATAATGGCTCAAGACCAGTGTTCCTATTAAGTTACTGATTTGCGGGGCGAGAGAACTGATTCTTCCCACTTACATGGTTCTTTCCATGGAGCTGAGGTCAAGAATTGGCGTGAGCCCTGGTCTTCTGGATCCAAATCCATTGCTCCTTCCAAGACATCAACAACTGAGAATATATACAGCAACCTGTGAGCATTTAAAAATTATTCCTGGACTTTCAGCGTGTTTCCCCGTCTATTGTAGTTTCTTATATGATTATCATCTAAATAAAAGTATTAACTGTTTTCACCAGCGAGAAGTGAACTGTCATTTTAAGACCCCTGTGGCTGGAGCTGAGTGGATTGGGCCCAGCAGAGGGCGGGGGAGTAGGCAGTGTGCTGAGAGTAGAGTGAGGTCAGAGAGGGGATAAGGGGAGCGGCGATTATGTACTTGCTTCACAGGGCGCGTTCTGCAGGGTTCTGTGTGTGTGCGTGTGTGTGTGTGTGTGTGTGTGTGTGTGTGTGTGTGCATTCTCACACATGCCCCCAAATAATTTGGTTTTGAACTTTGGAATCACCCATTAGTACCTTGCATCTTTGGGGAGGGGAGAAGAAATTTAACTTTTTCATAGTTTTTTATCCTTACCTGAAGACATGTTTATTGATTTTAGAGGGAGGGACTGAGGGGGTGGAAGAGAGGGAGTGGGGGGAGAGAGAGAGAGAGAGAGAGACATCCATTGGCTCCCTTCTTTACACACCGTGACTGGGGATTGAACCCACAACCCTCTTGGCATGCAGGGCGACACTCCAACCAACTGAGCCACCCGGCCAGGGCAGACTTTGTCATTTCTTAATTAGTACCTAAATTTGTAAGTGTTTTTCTGCTTGTGGCACTTCGAATTTTTCCCCTTTATTTTAAATAACCCTTAAAATTTAGAAACTTGAATTTCAGGGTCCATTTACAGTATAAATAATCTCTGTACCTTGTGATTTTTTTCTCTTTTGAACAGGAGTGTGTTGCTGCTGCTCCGCTTTGCGGCCTCGCTACAAGCGCCTGGTGGACAACATATTCCCTGAAGACCCAAAAGTAATTTGATCTACATCCATTGATCCTTCCTTTGCTGACCCATCCTCCCCCCCCCGACCTCCCTAAGGTTTCCCTCGTTTCATTTCTCTACTTTTATCCTGGAACCTCACTGTGTGCTCTGCTATTTTTATACTTCTCTTTCTTTTGCTTTTAAATGACTCATGCTTGCTTGTCTAATTTGTGGATCTTTTTCATAGATTGGGCATAAATTTGGAATCATGGACAGGTGATATTCTGTCTGTATAGTTCCTCAATTTAAGTGATACTCACTCATCAAAATTCATGAACTGCTGCCAGATTAGCTCTGTGAGCACAGACCTGGCTTTCCGACCTCACTGTTCTCGTAGACAAGTGAACGGGCAGTTGTAAACCGCATGGTGGGAGAGGTGCCGTGACAGAGAGGAGGTGCGGGCAGCTCCTGGGCTCGGTTGGAAGGACATCTGATGGGGGTTTGGGAGGAGGAAGAATGAGTGGGACTGGCCACGGTTTTTAGAAGGGAACCTTGAAATGTAAAGTAAGAGTTCTCCAGGCAGAGTTTGTTGTCTTTTTACTTAAATTCTTACAAATTTTTTATAAAAGTTACTTTACTATGGAAGATTACTGGTTTCAAAGCAGCTGGATTTAGTTTAAAAGGTTTTGTTTTGACATTCCTAAATTTCCTAATACTCCTTTGGTCTAGTGTTTGTGGATATGAATAAAAATTATTAACAGGGGTTCGATGTCCAGAATTCTCTTTATTTTAAAATGTAGCCATCAATAGAAGCCTTTTGGCTGTCTTATCATTCATTTATATATCTGATGAGCTATACCTCATTTTTTAAAAAGATTTTATTTATTTATCTTTAGAGGGAAAGGGGAGAAGAGAGGGAGAGAAATATCATTGTATGGTTGCCTCTCATGCGTCCCCTGCTGGGAACTGGCCTGCAACCCAGGCATGTGCCCTGACTGGGAGTCGAACTGCTATCGTTTGGTTCAGAGGCCTGTGCTCAATCACTGAGCTACGTCAGCCAGGGCATATACCTCATTTTTAATCAAATCTGACTTAAACATTCAGCTATTAGAGGAGGCTCATCGATTTCATGCTGCTGGCTGCCAGATGTCCTGCATAATTTGTGGCATATGAAAAAGCCTGAGGTCTGGTCCTGCCTGTAAGGAGCTTCCCATCCATTGGCTGCTTTAAAGCAAGAGCAGACTAAACATTAAATCACAGTGCAGAGACCAGTAAGTGGAACATGGGGTGAAGCAGGTGGTGAAGTTCTTTTCCTATAAAGCAGGGAGGTGTCCCTGCGGATTGGCAGGCTCTGGGAAGCCTTCTCCGAGAAACAGTTGCTGAGCTTTGAGAGAGGCACGCAGCCCGGAGAAGGAGAGATCAGTCTCCTCGCTGCAGGTGACAGGCCAGGAGAGGGAAAGGTTTGGAAAGCAAGAGGTGTGTTTGAGACCAAGAACCTTCAGATTGCAGAGTGTAACGGGTGCCAGTCACGCTGGCTGCGATTTCTGATGCACAGTTTCAGAAGTACTGTTAGCAGACTCGCTCTTCAGGTACTTTCCCCCAGTGCTGTAGGACAGCTGGTTACCGAAGATAACCACATCGTGGAGGGACATGCGGACAGTCCAGGTGTCTGCGGTAGGCACTTCAGTCGTGGGTGGTGAGGGAGCCCCGGTCATGGGAACGATGGCAGGTAAATTAGAGAATGGTCACGGAAGGGATATTTTACTGGGTACTTGGGTAAGACTTATTTAAATAGCAGTCTGTACAGTAAGGTTAAAAAAGAGATTTACATGAACCTCGCTGCATAGCTCAGTCGACCGCATTTCTTATTTTTAACTCATTAAACAAAAAGATAATCTCGTGTATCCAGAATGGGCAGACAGCAGGTGCCCAGAGGTTCAGTCGTGGTCCTGCCCTCAAAGAGCTGTCAAGTGAGGGGACAAATGACCCCGCCATTCCTTAAAATGAGCGGCAGTGTGATCTTGGGCCAGTCCCTCAGTTTTCCATTGTGAGATAAAAATTATAAATAGTACTTATTTCATAGGGATCTCATGAAGATTAAATGATTAACAGTTCTTTGTTCATGGTATTTCCCTGGTGTCCATCGCAAGTTAGCACTTGACTGGCATTTGTTTGAAGTTATAAAAACGGTATCACAAAACGTGACAGTAGAGATAAGTGCCATGAGCAGAAAGAGCAGGTAGGAGGAACCCCTCCCTCAGACTCGGGAGGGGTGTTGTGAGGTGCAGCGAAGGCTTTTTGGAGGATGCCGGGACCTGCAGGACAAGCAGGAGTTATCCAGGCGAACTGTCGAAGGAAGGGTCAGCCCTGCGACTGCATCCGCCTGCTGGTTGATGGAGAGGAGAGGCAGAGCAGGGGTTGCCCGGAGACAGACGGTCATGAGGGGTTTGTGGCAAATGATGGGAGTATTTGCGTCTTGTTTGTTACTGGTGGTTACACAGGTGTCTACAATGGTTGCATTTCAAATTACAGATACTTGGGTTATTGTATAAATTATACCTCATTAAAATTAGCAAGGGGCAAAAAAAGTGGGTGAGATGCTGTCATGTTTAAATGATGATGCTAGAGTAATTCATCCTTATGAAGGTGTATTTCAGTGCTTTGTCTAAATGGGACATTTCTTTAATGTTTTAAAAATTCTGCATATCCAGAGTAGTGAATATTAAGCACTAAGGAAGCTATATCCAGAAAGGCTCAGCATAAATACAGCTTCAACACCAATCTAGAAAGGGGAAATAAGCAGCAAGGAATATTTAGAAATACAAAAATAGGCATGAAAATACAGATAACCTACTTATCTTGTTATTTTTAGGATGGCCTTGTTAAAGCCGATATGGAGAAACTGACATTTTACGCAGTGTCTGCCCCAGAGAAACTGGATCGAATCGGTTCTTACCTGGCGGAAAGGTTGAGCCGGGATGTGGTCAGGCATCGTTCTGGGTAAGGAAAAGCCTTGTGGCTAATACTGTATCTTTGGGAGGTTCTCCCTTGGCTAAATCACCCTGTAAATTTTTTTGCCATCAGGCAAAAGCACTTTATAGAGGATAAAACGTACAAGGAATTGTGTAACACCACGTAGATGCTGCAGCTTTTATTGCTTTCACAGGGCTCAGCTTTTAAGAATAGACTCCTGTGAGTGGATGGAGTTGCCTTTAGCTTAAGTATCCATTAATTTCTGAGACTTCTCTAATGGAAATAGTAGAAATTGACTCCCTTAGTCTATTAGTCTGGTCCAGTAATTTAAAAACCAGTCTCTGAATTGAAAACAAAGATCCCGTTAATCAGCTGGTTTTTAACACAGCTCCATTGTTACCTGTCAGCAGAAAGGAACTGTACGAGGCTTAGATGTAAGGGTTCAGAGGTCATGAGCATGCTGCTTTGAAATGACGCATGCTGTAGAACTCCCTGTGAATAAAGCCCTTCTACCTTAATCCCTTTTCTGAGCTTCAACAGTAGTAATTTGTGTGATTCCGATTAACTTCTTGCCCATGTTGTCCTTTTGTGATCCTGGCTTCTTCCAGTACTCTCTTCTCCAAGGGGTGTATATTCGCTTTCTCTGCTTCCACGTTGCTGTCACACAGGACATGTGTGTGAGTCTCGACACAAACAGCTTTATGGATGGTTACTGAAGTGAAGTTAACTGAAGTCTCAATGTTAGTTTTTACTGTAAGCTTTAAAACTCAGTGAATTTATACGGTAAATTTATGGGACACTTCCTTATAACCTGTTGTTGCTGATGTTTCGTATATTCACGTTTACAAATACTAGTAGATTGTGTTGAGAATGTAGGCACACTGCTTATAATATTATTTTGTGTCAGATGCAAAAATATGGCTAAAAGTCTGGAAAAGAGAAAATGTCCTTGTTTACGAAGACAAGTGTCCACGCAGGTCCTGTGAAAGGAGCTCTGACAGCTCCGGGGAGGAGCGGGTGGTGCAGCCCCATTTGCATCCTAGTCAGCTGAGGGCTGGTTTGCATCTAAGACTGTCTGTGCCCGGGAGAACCACGGGTTCGCTTAGAAACTGCTGAGTCCTCCTTCCTCCATTCTGTGCACTTAAATAAACTCATTTTAATTCTTCAGTGAGAAGCACTCAGAATTTAGACAGCTAGAAATGCTCTGACCTTGTCACTGTCTTACACGTAGGTATGTTTTAATTGCTATGGAGGCTTTGGACCAACTTCTTATGGCCTGCCACTCCCAAAGCATCAAGCCATTTGTAGAAAGCTTTCTTCATATGGTGGCAAAGCTTCTGGAATCAGGGGAACCAAAGCTTCAAGTCCTTGGAACAAATTCCGTGAGTAAAACTATTTGCTTACTAATTTTAAGTCTTATTAGCATTATCGTCTCAAGAATTACTCCCTTCTGAAAATGTCTTCACCTGGGAAATAAATGCTCTGGACAACCAGTCCAGATGTAGACAGTTAGATCCCTTTGCCTCCAGCTTTTTCTGTCATTCCTTGTGAAATCTGTGACATTAGTCCAGCATGAGGCAACAGAACGTCACTTGGCCGTACAACTACGGGTGTGTTTCCCGTGCCTTCCTACACGACGCCCGAGCCGTTTCTGCTTGCCATGTTCATTTCCTTCTCTCCTGAACCATAGTTTGTTAAGCACGTGCTGGGTTGGAGAAGGCATATCTGAAAAGGAAAATAAAATACAGTGACAGTCTTCTCTTTCCTATAGTTTCATTGTATCATGTTCAGTCTTCCAGTTCCAACTTCTTCTCTGAGGAAGCTTTCAGGCATCCAGCCAATCTGTATGTTCCCATCCAGGTTTCTATAACAACAGATGAGGAACTGGAGCTGCACAACTTGTCCAAAGACACAGTGGACTTCTCCTTGCAGAACAGAGATTGGACACCAGGTCCTTCCTATGCCGGACCTGCTGTTTTGCATATAAATACACTGTCACTGCAGATTAGGATCTAGGGAAAGCGTAGATTCCTTTTCCTTTTCTTCCGCCTGTGCTCAGTAGACCCAGCTCACTTTTCTCGGGCCTCAGGACTCTTCTCGCCCTTCTTCTCTGAATGTGGCTGCCAGTGGCCCGGCCTGTAGGGACCGGTCGCAGAGGCCACTCGCTTCACAAACCAACGCGGTGACTCTCAGGCAGGGCGGTTCCCCTGCCCGTCCCGACCACTGGATTTCAGTGCAGGCTGGGAGTGTCGGTGATGTCACGGGCGCTGTGAAACGCCTGTAAATGACACAGGGTGTGCGCTGCACAAAAAACGAGCGGTGTTTGTAGAAAATTTGTGGGAAAATGTAGTACTACACACACCAAAAAAACCGTAAAAATGTTCTGGGTCCAATATTTTAATAGTACTCAGTGCAAGAAAATCAACTTCTAAAGAATTTCATGGCTGCTGCTTTTAGTTGTACCTTTTGAAACAAAATCTAATTCTCTAATTACATTTTTAAATGGAAAAAATTAGGACGTATTTTTTATTGAGTATGTACTATGTGCAAGGCATTTTGTTAACTTTTCTTTGGTTTTCATTTGAACCTCTCAGCAACCGTATAAGTTAAGTATTTCATTTCATAGGTCACAAGTTTTGTTAGCCCAGGATTCGAACCCAGGGCCTTCTAACTGTTTGTAATCTCTGCATTGTGTCCTTTGTCTCACTTGTCTCCTCTTCTCCGTCTGATAACAAGTCCCTTCTATTTATTGGCATGTTTTAGCACAGAGTGTGTGTGTTCCCAGCTTGTCAGTGAGCCCCCGGAGCTACGGCAAGTCGAGGACCTTTTCCACAAAGAGGTGCTGTGTGCGTCCCCCCGCCGGAGCGGACTCAGGCCCCAGGGCGGTGGGGGCCACTTCTGGCAGGGGACCCGCGGACCACACTGCTGTCTGGGGCTGCCCCTGGGCAGGGAGGGACTCACGTCTTCCTCCTAAAGTGTTTGTAGTACTTTTAACATTATCATGGTCAAATTTTTATTTCTGATCAATTTTTTCCTAATTTTAAAAGTAATACATGTTTATTGTAGCAAATTTGGAAAATGCTAGAAAATGTAAAAGTAAACAAGACAATATTCAGAAGTAATCCTTTAATATTTTTGTTCTTAAAGTGTGCATTAGAAAATGAGGAATATCTTGTATATAGACTTTGGTCTGTATGTTTTTTATTTATGTTATCAAGCATTTTTGCATGTCACTTAAGGTTTATTTTTTATGAAAAGTGTAAGTATTTTCCCAAACTGTTCACATGGTTAGTGTGTGGTTATGGGAATTTTGAAAATTCGCATCTAACCTTGGGACTGTAGTGCCACCAATTTCACTGTTTGCTATGTCACTTCTGGCAGATGATTTAACCTGTGAGTTTCAGTGTTCTGATCTGTAAAGTGGGTGTAAAGGACACATTTTTTCCCAGGGTTATTAGAATAGTTAAGTAAGAACTCATGTGCAAGTGCCTAGCACAGTGTATGATACAAAACAGGTAATGAATTCATGCCAGTTTACTCTCAAGCAGCTGTATTATTTGCAGCTTCTTTCTAGCTTATGTGAATCATATAAGAACATAATTTAAAACAGAGGACTTAGCTCGGCTGAATCAGTTTAAACTGCTAGTTCAGTCTTGTTTCCTGGGGAGCATCAGTAAACCTGGCTGAGTCATCCTTTGAGACGGAGCCTTTCACACCATCAGTCAGAATCCCCGCAGGTTGTCTACGTATGTGCCATGTGCAGATTTACAACGAAACACGAGTTTGTTGCTTTAGGCTATTTGTAGACAGAATCACCAAACCACCGAGAGAGTAAGAGAGCGAGTGAGAAAAGATGGGGTCTGTGATTCATGTAGGAGATTAAAAATTTCCTGAACACAGAGCTCTCCTCTGTTCTCTGTCATGAGAAAGGAGGCAGAATGAATGCCACCCATCCCAGTAATTTTCTCCTCTACAGAGGTTGTGAGGCAGGAGACAGCATAGGAAGAACTCGGAGACTGCAGTACTGTCGCTGGCCAGCATGTAGCCAGGAAACGCCTTTTACCAATTAGGTAGAATGAATAGTAAACTGAGGCAGGGAGGAGGAAGGGGACAAGGCTCACACACTAACTCAGGAGGACTGAGCCTGGTCTGATAATATTGCCAGGTGTTCCAGCATCACAAGAAACACTGTGTTAGCAAGAAAGAAGGGAAGTCCTTGAAATTCTATGTAGCGTTTCCACTGTCTGGGAAAGAAAGCCTTGAAACCGCTTTCATCCCAAGGCCTGAATGTGGGAGAGGGTCCCCGGTGCTCAAAGAAGGGGCCCATAAAACAACTTTGGTTAATTGTCTACCTCTGGTCACTGTCTGTTTTATGATGGAGTCCCTGATGCTTACAGAAAGAGCCCATAAATGACTTTGGAAAGTGCCCCAATTTTAATTAACTGCCTCCTGTCACATATTTGTTTTACAGCAAGGTGAACAAATGGGGTCTGTAAGGAGATAAGGATTCGGGCTAACAGACCCCCACACAGGCCTAAGTCTGGGTAGTCACGTTCCCCCAGGAAAGCTGGCACCGCGTCCACCCACTAATCAATGTGTAACTTTTTTCCCTCCTGTCCCACCGACTATATGAGTCCTGAGAGCAAAGGACTCCCTCTCTTGCTCAGGGGCTCAGGGTGCTCTTGGCTCTCAGGCTGCCCAGGGGCTGGCCACCCTGGTCTTCAGCTGCTCTTGCTTTTGTCGCCCTGCTTTGCCCTGAAACTTTGCCTTTCACCCCTGACTCTACCAGTCCTGTTCTCTTCCATGGGAATGGGCCACTCATAAACTGATTACATACGACTAGATTTGCTGGTCTGTAATTCTTTACCTGTGTCAGCAAGAAGAACCAGGTCTTTCCCATTGACAGTCACACCCCCTTTCTCATGTGCTGTGTAACGGCTGTCAAGCAGCTGTTCCTGCCCACAGTGAAGAAGTGGAAGGCCCTCGGGTCTGGGCCTGAGATGAGAGCCCATCTCTGGAGCCAGCACCCAGGACGTGCAGGCCAGCACCGGCGCCGGGCCTCTCGTCCTGCAGCGAGTCGGCTCACTCGCTCAGGGAGCTGGATTAGCAGGTCGTAGTTAATGTTTAATGCAGTGTATCCGTGGTTTTCTGCAGTTGTTTTCATATGTTGGTGGTATGTGTGATATTTTATACATTTCATTTGCTTCTTGGATATTTTTTGCTAATGTAACAAGGATTCAATGAAAGTAAATGTGTTTTGTCTACACTTTCAAAAAGGTGATTAACACATTTATATTGTGTATTTTCTTGTAGTTTGTCAAATTTGCAAACATCGAGGAGGACACACCGTCCTATCACAGACGTTACGACTTCTTTGTGTCCCGCTTCAGTGCCATGTGCCATTCCTGCCACAGCGACCCAGACACACGGACAGAGTGCGTATCATTTATGCTGTGATTCACAGAGCGACTCGCTGATGAGTCCCATGTTTATATATTACATGGCGGTTACCAAGGGAAATGTGGAAACACATGCTTTGTTCCCGAAACGCGACTTCCCATTGCCGTTACTGCACTAGCAAAACGGAGTGTGGTGTCTCGACTCATTGCAGATAAAATCCGAAGTCTTGACGGTGACCCAGGGAGCCCCTCTACGCCCCCGCCCCCACCCAGGGTCAGAGCCTGTCATCCCATCTGGCCTCCTCCTTCTACTCTGACCCAGCCACCGGCTCCCCCTGCTGTTCCCGGAACATGTTGGGCACCCTTCTCCCCCAGGCCTTTGGACTGAGCGGTCTCTGCATAGAACTTGCAGACACCCACCTGGCTTCTCGCTCACTTTGTTCAGATTTCTGCAGATGTCGCCCTGTCACGAGAGTCCTGCCTAGCCACCATTTATTTCTTAATTCTCTGTCTGCCCACCCCGTCCCAGTCACTCTTTCTCTTCTGCTCATAGCTGTACCTGTTCTGGCCCATCAGGGGCGCGTGATCTCCAGGAGGCCACAGGTTTGCTTCGAGGCCTGCTGTGTGGCTAACACTTTGGACACTGCCAGGCCACAGGAGGCTCTCAGGACGTGCTGGTTGAGTGAATACGTGGGTGGAATGTATGTTACTGAGTCCTTGTCAGTCTCGGTTCTCGTAACAGTTAACTCGAGTATTTGTAAACATTTCTTATACATGCAACCCACTGGTAATCGAATCAAATGCTTATTTGGAAACACAATCCATAGGTTGAAAGTTAAGAATTAAAGTCAAAATGACTCTGGTAAATACAGAAAGTAATTTGAACTTTACCATAAAACACTAAAAAGAAAGAAACTAATCTGAATTCAGAGTTATTGGGAGCAGTTTAGCAAGATTTAGCAGGCTTTGTAATTTTTATTTTTCTTTGAAAAATAAGGCTTTGAAATATAACTAGTTTTTACTGTTTTAAATATAACTAGTTTTAAGCTACAGTGTTGGTTTATACAAATAAAGATTAGTGTAAAAGTTATTTTCATTTAGAGAAAGAAAGCTGAGAGGAGATTCAGTAGTTGTTTTCTAGATATGAAATCTCTCTCTGTCTGAGAAGCAGTTAAGTAATTTATCCTCAGGGTCAGTCAGAGCCCTGATGTTTTTGCTTGCTTATGAGGGTAAAGCTGTAGAATGGTGAGGATAACTATAACCATCTTATAATAATTAAGTTCCTGTTTCCCCCGGGTGCCACTAAAACCTCTTTTTTCCCCCCTAAAGGACATTAAAAACTATTTTATAAAACTATTTTCTTGTCTCAGGGGCTGACATTAAAATGTTAATGGAGCAAAAAAATATAAAGATTACCTAAATAAAATGGCAGTTTTTAAAAATATCGTAACAGTTTTGCTTTTTAAAAAAATGTATAGAAAACATCCAGAATGTTGTTTAATTTTCAGTTTAGTATTATACGGATCCATAAACTACTCAAACACATTTGTCAAAATTGGTTGTGGTGAGTTCCACATATAAATTAACGTGGGTAAAAAGTGTTGATGGCATTCATAAAATTAATGAAAGGATGCATTTTAAGATATACAAAAAATGTATTACATAAGTTATCTTATTTTAGGTATTTAGCGCCCTCTAGTGAAAGAAGTTCTTTTGAACATGCAAGTATTTTCCTTAGAAATTTTTTGTTAATATTTACAAAAAGAAACTTGAAATTTTCTGTACACAAATGAAAGGTCTTATGGTACTTTTTCCTAAATCTTGGTCTTTCCGATATTATATAATATTCGAAATTCCAAAATTCCAACATTTCTTTTGAATCGCTGTAAAGCGAGTGAGTAAATGAAAATGCTTTACCATACTTGGAGGGTTGGATTTTTTTTTTCCTTGCTCTGCCTTAAGTAAAAGTCCTTCTGGCTGTCTTCAGGCATATTTAGATTCCTTTCAGTTTCCCTTTTAGATTTAGTTATTTGGTATCAATCCCTTTAATTTTAGCAAAGCCCTTTCAGGTGGAACTCAGGGGGTGGGAGTGTGCACAGTAGGAAGTGAGGAATGGGTCTGATTTTCTTAAAATATTTGCCTTGCAGAAGCAGTTCCTACATGTGAGGTCATGCATCACAGTCTTAAGCTCTGTTTCCGGAGCAACCTTCGGCTGTGGTGGAAATCATCACTATCATCATCGTGCTGAACAGCATGAGCAGGCTAATTGTTGAGTGCTTACTGTGTGCCAGTTTGTTTAACCCTTTATTGGATAAGCACCTTACATGAATTAACTTATTTAAACCATCCGACATTCCTATGCTTTAGGTAAGACACTTGGTCTGGTTTACTGATAAGGAAACCACGAATGTTTTTCGAGGTCGTGGCTAGAGTGATTGGTGAGGCCGGGTGCTGGATCTGGACTGGATGCCCGCTGTGTAGCTCCGGTAGCCCTGCCTCCCCCAGACGGGGGTAGCACCCTCTGCCTGCTGCGTGTAGGCCCCTGTGTGGCAAGGCATGAGCCACCATTCTGATGTCGTCTTGTCCGCTCCACCTTGTCATCTCCCAAGGAGTAGCCGCAGGTGCCTAAAGCAGACACCTTTGCGGTAGCAGCAGGCTTGCCTGCTTGTGGTAGCTGGAGATCTCTTACCCTCACAGTGTTTTAGAAAGCAGCGCGCCTAGACACAGCTTCAAAGTAGGCAGGACTCGTCTCTGTGTCTCCCTGTTCACTTTCTGACCCGTTCAGCACCCTGTTGCTGCCCCTTCCTGTTCCCCCTCTGCTTCCCCTGAAGGCCTGGGTCGTTCCCCCATGGGTCAGGAAAGGGGGTCGTCCCCTTCCCCACAGCTGCCGTTGTCTAACCCTACTCACAGGCTCCGTGTTGGAAGACAGCGCTGGATATGCTGAATAGGCCTTCCCTGGTGACCATGGCCAGTAGTAGCAAAAAGAAAGTAACAGTCATGTTTGGCCAGAAGGAATATGTTCTAGGGAGGCTGGGCTACCAGTTTACCTCTGCTTTTATATGCTGTTCTCTAGTCACTTTTCATTCTGGAACCTATAAATTGATACATGGAGTGAGGAAGAGCTCGAGGAAGTTGAGGCTGTGGGTTGGAGTGGGAGGGTGGGGCAGCAGTGTCTCACTGCGGGATAAATGGTAAGTCACAGATATGCGTGACAACATATATGTCAGTGCACACACATACACGTGTGTATGTACGTGGCCGAGGTTATCTGTACTCCGTTTGGTTAGTTCTCCTGTGTCACACCCTTAAAGGAACCGTCTCGGCCTCTCGCTCTCCCTGTAGGCTGGCTCAGGGCGGGCGGCGAGAGCCTGTGGGGAGGAGGCGGGAAGAGGCTGGGCGAGCACTGAAGGGCGTTCAGAGGGCGACATCGTGTTTGCTCAGCGTCAGAGCGCGGGGCAAGAAATGCAGAGAGCCTGGTGCGTTACTCCGAACTACTGTCATTTTCTTAAGGAAAGCTTAGAGCTTTTGATTGAATTCTCATTAAAAATTATACTTAGACTGGGTATTACCATATTTTACAGTACTTTTAGACTTTAAATGCTGATTTTAAAAAGATGGTATCGAAAGTAAGCCTTTTGGGGAGCTGACTCATCTTTTGGCCATTTTAGATCATTGAATTTTAATTTCTCAGACTTGTGTTATTTTCATCTTATTAACTTGAGGTAACAGTATTTACTTGGGATTCATTCTTTTAGCTAAACAAGCAGACTTGTTTAAATCACTTTTTCATGGCTCGCTTTTTTTCCCCCCTAGGATTAGAATTGCTGGAATCAGGGGTATTCAAGGCGTGGTTCGCAAAACAGTTAACGACGAGCTCCGGGCGACAATTTGGGAACCCCAGCACATGGATAAAATCGTGCCGTCTCTGCTGTTTAACATGCAGAAGATAGAGGAGGTCGACAGGTACTGAACGAGGACTCTGGGGTCAGGGCTGCATTGCCTCAGCACACACGGACGTGTGCTTGCTCGCTGGGCTGAGAAAGTTTTGTCCTCAGTGTGCTGAAAATAAGGGGTCTCGTAAATTTGAGTGGGTTTAAGTATGCGCCCTTTCTGAAAAAGTGTTCGTCTTTTGTGATCACATCAGGCTTAGGAAAGCACAGGTTTGTACTTGTGCACTTACGGTTTTATTTGCTTTAGGATAGTTTTATACTTTACATGCTATTTATTATTGAGCCTCCAAACTGGAATTTGAACTGATATTGCTTAAAGTTGCAAATGTGAGAAATAAAAATTTTAGCTAAACTGTTACTCTTTAGAGATCAGCATGCTTTTTCATGGAGTTAGAAATAACCACAATAATAATAATAGTAATAGTAATAGCTACTTACTTTATAATGTTTTCCAATGAAAGAGTTAAACTGTATTTCTTGCTGATTCTTCTAAGATACTTTGGGATAGAAAGAAAGTGTTATTTTTATCATCTCTGGGAAGTGACCGCACGTTCGGTTTAACTGTCGGAGCTAGTGCCAGGATCCCCACGGTCCTGTTTGTTTACCGTTCCCTGTGTTCTCAGCCGCATAGGCCCTCCCGCCTCCCCCTCTGCTGCGGACAAAGAGGAGAATCCTGCGGTGCTGGCCGAGAACTGTTTCCGCGAGCTGCTGGGTCGCGCGACCTTCGGGAATATGAATAACGCCGTTAGGCCGGTGTTTGCGTGAGTAGCTGGCACGTTCACAGCTGTTTGCGCCTGCGCACCATCAGTTCTGTGTTAACTCACTCACAGAGGGCAGTGCCCTGTCTTGTAAGAGGGAGCGGATAATGGAGCCGGGGGGCCTGGTGGGGCAGTGCAGGACCGAGTCGGACATGCGTGTCTCAGCACTGGTCTGGCCGGCCAGGTGTGTTATTTATCCTGAACTTCTACACACAGACTATGAAATACATGTGTTACTATATTTCAAATGTATTTACATGTGCATAGTGAAGGATTAAAACAGTGCTGTGTGTAGATGTCCTGGTTTGTTGACTTCTGTGGTCAACAAAACAATCAATCGGCTGCCCCCTGCCCACCCCATTTGGGGACCTGGCCTGCAACCCAGGTGTGTGCCCTGATTGGGAATCGTACAAGCGACCTTTCAGTTTGCAGGCCAGGGCTCAATCCACTGAGCCACACTGGCCAGGATAGACATGCTGGTTTAAGAATTCCAGGTTTATCTTAATACTTTTATCAAGTATTATGTATTGAGAGGTACACTGTAAAGCCTTAAAATTCTACAGAGGCTTTCCTGGAAGAAAGAAGTTACCCAGTTAACTGTCCTTGGGCACTTGAGTAACTTGAAAGTGGGCTGTATTCCATGTAGAGCTTAGTGAACTTAAATCCTGATTCTCTGTTAACTTAATGTTAATGAAGTGGTTAATTGTGTATTAGCAATTTAGTTAGTTAAATACGAAGTGTCCTCTGCAGGGAAAGCGTCAGGTATTCGGGGAAGAAGAACCAGTGCATGAAACCGTCCTGGTCCTTGACAGACTCCGGCTGATTGACAGGCACTGCTAATTTGATGTATCGGTTATGAGAAAAGGCCAAGAACTCCTGTTCAAAACATAGAATTCAAGCTGAATTTGGGATGTTGTGGGATTATCGGTTTTTGTGGGTTTTTCTGAGGTAGGCCGAGGTAAGTAGGTTTTAGAGGATGGGATGCATGAGCAGAGGCAAAGGCAGTGAGGGCCTTGGGTGAGGAGCAGAGATTCCTCTGGTTGGAATATTGGCTGTTGTTAAAGGGTCAGTAAGAGAAAGAAGATACAAAACAAGAAAAAGGTGGTTTAGGCTACACTGTAGAGATCTTACATTTTTATATTTAGGTCTGTAGGTAGCGGATTTGCTCTTTCTGAGTCACTTCTGAATCTAGTCCATTTCTTTTCCAAGTGGTTATTTTTCTTCTTAGACTGTTGACCTTCTCTCTGTGTTTAGTGAACTCCTGCACCCAGAGATTGGGGTTCCTCTTGGCCTCTGGTGTCTTTAATGAGTGGAACCCCAGTCACCGGCCCCTCATACAGCCTGTATTGTACCCCAGGAGACCAACAGACCTCCTGCTGTTGGTCTCCTGGGGCTCTGATGAGAAGTGTCTGTTAGGCTTCCCCCCCACTTTCCTTCACTTCTCTTAAACTCGCTGATGCGTTGTCCGTTCCCTTTCTTCTCTGTGCCCCATTCCGGGACATTTCTGCAGGTTCAGTCCCTGGTTCTTTATGCCAGATTTGCCGTCTGCACTGGTAGGGTTTCACCTCGCAGTGCCGTATCTTCATGTGTGAAAGTTCTATATAGTTATTTTTCAGATCTACCTGTCATCTTTGATGGGATTTTATTCAGGTGTCAAATTTTTAACACCCTTTTTCTCTGTTTAAGCAAACTCATTTTGAATTTTGGATCCATTCATTCCAACAGTATCTCCAGTGCTGGCGGAGTAGACTCCGCTGCCCCTCATCCCTAGTGGCTCTTTGCCATGGCTGTTCCGTGAGTTTTCACTCGAGCTCACACGGACTGCAGCTTCGCTTGTGGGATTCTCCCAGGCCTGGTGCCTCCTCCAGGGGAGGCCTCACTTCGCTCCCACCGAAGGCGTGGCCCCAGGGCCCTCCAGGCACCCCTTTGAACTTTTAGTGCGTTCTCGTCGTCAGGTTTTTGAGCCGCACGTTCTGCAAACTCTCAGACCAAGGTGAGAGCCGAGGTGCTGGGTGTGTGGACTTCCGTTCCCTTGTGGTTCCCCTCGGGGCCAAGGCCGACACAGGCAGCTAGCTTCTTGACAGTCTTCCACAGCAGAGCATTCTCCCAACTTCGCTGGTGGGGGCCTCCTTTAGGGGGTCCTGGATGGGTGTGAGAACTTCTGATCGGATAGCCTGCCTTTCCTGGGCGGGCTCTGAGCTTTGTCTCCAGTCTTCCACGTGCGTATACAGCCCCTTCCATTTTCACCCTGCCGGCCACTCAGTACCCGCAGCTCTGCCTGGGACGGCTGCTGCTCCAGTGTGTACTTGACTCTGCAGGTGCTTGCCTTTTTGTGGGGTTCAATGTGAGCAACTTTGGTTTCTTACCAGGTTATGTAGGTATTTAAAAGTCTTACACAATATAGTCCGGTCTTTTATTGTTGGTGTTTTATGAAAGAATCTGGCAATTGGGGGAAATATATATAATATTTCTGACGTTGGAACATTGACTTTCTTTTATATAACCTTGATCACAAAGCTTTGCATATTGTTGAGGGTTCTAGAGGGGAAAAAAGTGTAATAAAAATAAGGGATGATTGAGGTAATTTTCTCATTGTTTAATTACAGGCATTTAGATCATCACAAACTATGGGATCCTAATGAATTTGCAGTTCACTGCTTTAAAATTATAATGTATTCCATTCAGGTAAGTAATTCCGGTTCTATATGGAGAAGCATAACATTAAAGATGTAATGTACTGCAGAACAGCACGTTCGAACCTGGGCACCACGGCGCACTGATGCGCCACAGGAGTGTTTAAGACACGCAGGACCTGTTTAGTCAGGGCACCGATGTCTTTCCCTTAGAGGGTCAAATGAAAAAATGGGAACAGGCAACACAACAGCTGTGTGAGTGAGTCAAAATCATACCTATATTGTTTTGTCAGATTGGCAAAAAATGTATTTTGGGGTGTGCTGCAGAATTTCAGTAACTAGTTTGTGTGTGCTGAGATGAAAAAGGTTGAAAATTACTGCTGCAGCATATAAAACACGTTCTTATTTACGTATCTCATTTATTTTTATTTACCACTGAATGGTTTTTATTTGCCAAGACGGAAAGATATCTAATAAGAATGAAATGATTTTAGGATGGTGATATTATTGTACATTTATTCAATGCAATTACTGTGTGTTTATATTTCACCGATAAACTGCTATTGGAATCGATATTTCTTTCAGCAGCATAGAGCTGATAATAGTAACTACCGTTTATTGAGTGTTTACTGTGCTCTATTGCGTGTATGAACTCCTCCTGACTTTATAGAATTCTCAACAGTATTTTGCAATTTATTGTTTTCACTCAGGGTATCATAAGTACTTCCCAGTATTCACATTTATTCTTTAAAACAGTGATTTTTAATGGCTACGTGCTGTTCTGTAATGTAATTCCCGTCTCCCACAATCAGATGTCTAAGTGTCTGCGGTCTCCCATCTCGTGGGCTCTGCCGGACGCATGTGACGCTCACTCACCTTTGCGTCCTTTTCTCTCTGTTAGGCTCAGTATTCTCACCATGTGATCCAGGAGATTCTCGGGCACCTTGATGCTCGCAAGAAGGATCCCCCCCGGGTCCGAGCTGGTATTATTCAGGTGCTGCTGGAGGCTGTCGCCATTGCTGCCAAAGGCTCCATAGGTGAGTGGAGCCCCAGCAGGAAAGAAAACCAGCAGATCGGTGCTGCCCGGTCTGGTTCAGAGCGTTTTCAGTAGCTACTGCAGTGTATGGAGAACTCCTGAAAAATGGTTCTAACACTTTTGAAAGTGCTGGGGTTTTTTTGTTGACAGCTTGGGTTTATATACTAATTCTCAGAGTTCTTTGTGTACAGTTCAACATTTTCCTTCAAACCAATCTCTTCTCCCCTCCCTCCTCTTTGCTTTAAAAATTTTTTGGACACCAATTACGTGCTAAAGACTTGGGAGGATACAGATATGAGAAACTTGTCATTTACTTGGAGTTAAACAACTCTACTTAATACTTTAATGAAAGGCAGAATGTGATCATGCACAAGAAAACCACAGTTCAGAGAAGAGAGGGAAAGTGGGTTTGCAAGAGCAGCATGTTTTGTGTAGCCTGTTTGGCTGCCATGCTGGTGACGGTGCAGAGGAATTCAGAGGAGTTCAGGTTGTGGCCGGCCATGGCGCTGATTCTACAGTTGATGGTACTCTGAGGATTTTCTGTAATCTTTATCAGACCTTACAGATCAGTGCTGTAGGATAATTCATTTGGCTGCAAAGTGTAGGGCACATTGGAAATAACAGGTGGTTGTCATTGTGGTAGGCATCAGGGAAGGAACTTGACATTGGATGGCAGCGACAGGAATGTAAAGTCAACAAGATCGGATAACTGACGATTGGTATAAGGAAAGGGACAGGCGAGAGACCGTGCTTTTTCACCTACACGTGATCATAAGAATTAAAGGGTCCTTAACAATGTTACTGACGTTGGAAGGAGATTTCGGTTATATTTTTTTACTTCAAAATTAAAGTGGAGATATTCTCCTGGTCTATACTCACGCGCATTCAGCGTGAGTGCGTGGGAGCAGGCCTGCTCACCTGGGTGACCGCTACAGGGCCCACGGTGCTGGAGGTCTTCAACACTCTGCTCAAGCACCTGCGCCTCAGCGTGGACTTGGAAGCCAGCGATTCACAGGGGGGATCCGCGGGCGGTGCCGGCTTCAACACGGGTTCCAAAGACAGCGAAGAGAAGATTGTGCAGAACGCCATCATCCAAACCATAGGTGAGTGCACTGCCCCTCTCCAAACCGTTACCTGTGTGAAACAGTGCTTACAACCGCTTTCACAGAAGGCACTTGACTCCAGTGTATCTGCCATAGGGGAATGACAGCTTCGACTCTTGAAATTTATATTGAGAAAATAAACCTAAGAATAAGACACAGAACACGGTATACCCTTCACCCAGATTCATCTAGGAATATTGTATGCCATTTATGTGATCATTTACTCTCTGTGTCCTATTTCTCTGTGTGTGCACATATGTCTGTATCTACATATATGTGCTTGTGTAAGTACACACATACAGAGCATGCACACACACATACGTTCATACATTGACATTTTTTTCCATGAGCCACCGAATAGTGAGTGAAAATCACCATGGCTCTGTACCACAGAGAACTTTTCCTAAAGACAAAGACATTTTCTTATATAACCAGACTATAGTTGTCAACACAGGGAAATTTAACATTGATACAGTTCTGTAATCCAGTTTTTATATTTTCGTTTTTTCACTTGACCTAATAATGCCCTTTATAGCATGTTTGTGTTGCTGTAGGTCTCGGGTCCGGTCTGGGGTCGTATATCACATTTAGCTGTAACGGTCCTTTAGTTCCTGTAGTCTGGAGCATTCCGTTATGATATCGGCATTATTTTAAGAGTACAGTCCCCCACCCCTTTTTTAATTTCCTCATTTGGGTTAGTCTGGTGTTTCCTGGAGGTTAAATGCAGGCTGCGCATTCCTGGCTGGATGACGTTCTTCTCGGAGGGTCCCACAGAGAGGAGTGTATGGCAACCTGCGTTTGCTTCTTGTCGGCCGTCTTGCATTCGGTCACTGAGTGCGATTCTGTTTCTCCGCCGTACAGTGTCCATTTTTCCCTTTGCCAATAATAATCAGTCTCTGAGAAGGTACTTTTTGAGCAGGTAGATCATTCTGCTCCTCATCCAGACTTCCCCGAGATTTGGTGACCATTCGTGATTCTTGCCCAAACCCGCCTTCCCCAGGATGATGGCAGAAGGGCGATTTTCAGACTCCACGCTCCACCCCCCCACCATCAGGCGGCACCCAGTGCCCTGCTGTGAGCAGGGCCCCTTCCTGCCGCGTGTGGGTGTAGGTCGCATGCGCTCATCCGCTATTGTTGGGTGCACTCGTGGGTTTATGTTTTCGTGTGTCACAGTTCTTTCTATACTCACTGTCTTTTGGTGCTCAAATTGTCCCAGCCGCGGCCAGTGGGAGCCCTGGTGCGCTGTCCCCTGCATCTTTGTAACACATCCCCCTTTTCCTTGGAGCAGAGCCTCCCGTGTGTCAGCTGTCCCAGGCTCGCTTCCTGCTTCCTGCGCAGCCTGGAGCCAGGCCTTTCTGTGGGAGCTGGGGTTCCTGTCAGTGGGGGTGGTGTTGGAGACCGGGATCTGGGGACGGATCCCTTCTGCTTTAATGTCATAGGCCTTTTTTTTCAACCCAGTGATCAAAATATAAAGGTATAAAGGGTAAAAAGGTGAAAAGCTTCCTTAAACAGGAAAAGCCACGAGAGTGTTTTGGGAAACGCAATGCTCTGGACGCAAACACAGACTGCGGCAGGCAGACCCTTGTCCTCCGCTAACCCTGCCTTCCCATCGTGTCTTCACTGTATCCAGATCACACTTCAGTGTGACCACATGATTGCCGTGAGGGTTTCAAAATTAAGTTGTCTTCCTGGGGTGTGGTACCTAATTTCTAGTGGTTACTGATAGTTTCTCTGATAATAGAGTCATGTGTCACTTTATTCTGGTGCTCATCTCTACCTTTATCTGGGTAATTTTCCGACCTGTGAGCGCCTTATTTTAATAGTCCTCTGGAACATGTAAACATAGTTTTTCTTTGTCATCTTATTTCTGAAGCTCCGTGGATGTGCACACGAGCATTTTGCATCCACAGCTGTTTACTGAGTGTGTGTGCACACCGGGCCGGCCAGGGCTCCGTGACATGCAGGGCTGTCGCCTCCCAGGGGCATTTGGTTGGTGCGGCACCTCTGTTTTACCTGATTACAGCCTTGTCACGTGCATAGGAATTGTCCTCGTGACAGCAGACACCCACGTGTGCCCTATTCAACACAGATAGGAGGTGGTTAAGATTTTTGGAGTGACTGAAAAGGAAACCATGATAAAGTCCAATATTACCACGGAGTCTCAATAAAGCAAGACACTCTGGTTATTGCTTACAATAGTTAGTATCAATGTACAGTAAACCTAGATTTTAAGGTGGCTCTTAATTTCCCTTTTTTAATTTGAGAGAGAGAGAAAGAAACATCAATTTGTTCTTCCGCCTATTTATGCATTCATTGGTTGCTTCTTGTATGCGCCCTGACTGGGGATTGAACCTGCCAACTTGGGGTATTGGGGCCATGCTCTAACCAACTGAGCTACCTAGCCAGGGCGTGAGTCTTAAATTTATTTGCATTCTTCATGGATTTTCAGTGATATTTTAATATGGTATGTCAAATCATCTCATTATGTTTTAACGCAGTTGATATAAATTGCTTTTGCAACTTTTAACTGATGCAGTGTTACTGTTTTACTTTAGAAGGTTTAATTTATTGTGTCTCAACTATCTTAAGACATGTATACAACAGACTCAAGCAGTATTTATGTGATATAACACATTCAGAAATAACATGTGAAAATTAAAACATGACCGAAAAGAAATGCAGTGTAGTACAGAGAGTAAGATTTTCATTTAAATCACACTGCTGATTTTCTCAGTATTGTCTTGTAGAAGGTCTCAGCATTCTGGCAGTTACCACATCAGATGGGTGTTTCTCTTGGTGGGCCGGGGAGCAGGGTTGCTGTAGCTTCTGCCCTCAAAGCTACAGAGCTGTTGACCAAGTTTTTTCTTTTAAAATAACAGAGCACATAGCTCCTCGCTGGGGTTTTTGTTGTTGTTGTGGGGGTGAGGGGTTGGCATTAGTATTTTTAGTTAAGAAGTTCCTCTACAAACAGTGGGTATAGAGAATGAGTTACTTTCAGGACTGTCCCCATAGTTGGCTGTGTTGGAGACTTTGTGTCCTTCTGGTAGTGACGGGCTTGGGTGGAACAGAAAGTCAGTGTCTGGTTTTGTATGGTGACAAGGAATTTCTAACTGGGTTCCTGAACAGTTCAAAGTATCTTATAAGGAGGAAGGAGGGAGTAATAATGGCATAGGCTTTGGGAACGAGTAGTAGCCCTCATCTCGGGCCTTAACACTAGTTTCCTGTGTGGGTTCTCACTCTCTCTTACCCTCACTCCCACGAGAGGAGATTGAGGCTAAATAGCACCTAGACTCAGAAGGTGGCTGTGGGTTCCAAATACGAAGTAGTGTGTTACCCCAGAAACCTGTGCTCTGTAAGCATTAGCTGGGGTAATATATGTTATGCAGACTGAGTAAGATCGTGAGATTTTTTTATTGCTGAAGTATGTGATAATGGGAAGTTATTTTTAACCAGTGGGATATTACTTTTGACCTCATGTCCAGTCAAAATCATGAGTAGAATAATTTGAGTTTGTATTAGTAGATTATTAACTCTAAAAATAGAAGCTGAAGAGTAACTTTTTCTTAGAGAAATATTATAAATCAGAAGTTTTCTGTAATGATTGTTATATTTTAAGATATGAACAAAAACAGCCATGATTTGCTATCTGTTCTGATCTTTCAAAGAAACAACAAAGTCTGAAGTTTGAGTAAATGTTAATTTAATGTTGCAAATCTTTTATGACCAGGAAGTAAATATTTAAAAGCTATGGCAAATTAAAATACCCACAAAACCCAAGATGCATGAGAAGAATGACAAGTAAACAAGTTATTACTTCTTAACATCAGCTGAATTGTCTATGTTGGAATAACTCACAAGGTTAAACTGTAATCTCGGTCCGTGATAATGACGTTTTAAACATTTAACAATGTTTAGGAGACCAAAGTAGTGACCTAATTATTGACTTCTTTACTGGAATAAGAATCTAGGTTCACAGTATATGAGCAAGACTTTGATCAGAAATACTACCAACAGGTTTTTTCCTTTTTCGAAAACTCCAACTCAAATTGATGGTGGTTTGCCACTGTTAGCTATAAGCAAAAGACTTTTAGACATTTATTTTGTCTTAGTCTCATATGGTATATGATTAAATTATTTTAGTTACGTTAAATTATAATATCATTAAAGACATTGTTTTACCACATAGGAAAAGCTTTGGTGAAAAATATAATTTTTTACTATATGGAAAAGTAAACGTTTTAATTTGTAAAATTCATCTCGACTTTTCATAGGGTTTTTTGGCAGCAACCTGCCAGACTACCAGAGGTCGGAAATCATGATGTTCGTCATGGGGAAGGTGCCGGTCTGGGGGGCCACCACCCACACCCTGGACGTCGGTCAGCTCGGGTGCGCAGATACGGTTTCCCTGCGTTTTCAAACTGCGAGTGTCAGCTGGACGGTGGTTTCATTTCCTTTTAAAGAAACCCGGAAGTCGTATTTTTTTTAATTACTAGAAATAAAAATCCTATGGAAAGTAGTATTTTCATGGTACTAGCTTAGAATTCAATCAGCACTATGTGCTTTTAGAATCAGTGTTTAGTACATCATAATTTCTCTGATTTTCTTACATTGACCAGGCGGAAAGTTTGTTCAGCCTGGATGTTGTCTGCATACATAGGTATTTAGGATAAAGCTTCAAGTTTCCTGTAAAAAATTAGTAATTAATGTCAGTGTGGCAGGAATATTGATTTATTCCCAGAATTCTAGAACTGGAAGGGATTTCAAAGGTCATGTGCTTTGGTCCTCTCGTTCTATAGATTTGACTTGTCTTTACAGTATACTGAAGCTTTGGTTTGTGATTATTTTTATGGTTTTTGCTACTTTAGTAATGAAATAGTCATCTTATTTGTTTTATATTTCTTTGACCGTTAATTAGATAACCCATTTCCACTTGTTAATTGATTTTGAATCACTAGTTTTTACCTATTAGATATGTTAATTATATTTATAGTGAGTATATCTCCAACTTACAGTATCTTTTAATTCAGGTTGTTGTGTACTCATGTGGTTTAATTTTCATGTCATTGCATGAACAGATCTCTCCTTGGAGAGCTGGTAACTTCTTATTTTTTGTCTGAATTTGATTTTTTTACATATAATTCTTTAATTCATATGAAATTTAGAGCATAAAGTGAGCTATGACTTAGCTATTATTAAAGTAAAATCTACTAAGCCAATGTGAATAGAGTTTTAGAATCAGTGACTAGTAAGTAAGGAAGAGACATGACTGTTAACTACTATTGGTGGGTAATGCCAGTGTGTCGTGTGTTCCAGGGATTTGGGGACCAGGAGGATTCAGATCATGTTGCTGAGATCTCTGCTGATGGTGAGTCATTCCAGACAGGTGACAGGCACACTTACCCTTTAATTACTGAAGAGGTTCGAAGAACAGTGTCACATTATCAGCTTCCTTTCCTTATTTAGCCTGCTATTTATGGTTAGTTCTTTTCTGTGGTTTATGTAATTAAGTATTATGCTTGAATTTTATTTCACATTATTGTACTTTTGCTGTTTTTCCCTACTTCTCCTATTATCTTATTTGACATTGATAATGATGAAACACGCCAGGAAGTATTGCTGTTTCAGAGATGAGGATGCCCGGGCAAGCAGTGGAGGAGGCTCCCGGGGTCACGGAGCTAAAGAATAGAACTTGGACTTGAAATGCAATGTTCTGTCTAAATAGCATGTTGTTCTTCCACATACTGACCAAGTAATGGCTTGTTGTTTGGAAAATAAGTCAGCTATAAATAGCAGAGGAGGAAAAGCCTCTCTAAAGTGTGAGGTTCCGCGTTTGTGTTATCGTGAGCGTGTTCGCCTTTGGTTCAGCTCCATCTGGCTTAACGCTGGACTGAGCAGGCGCGTGTGCTGGGAGTGTGCCCTTTCCAAGTCAGGGCTTTCTGAGTTTATTCTCAGCATCTCTCTGAGACACGATCCCAGTTTTTAAAAGAAATATTTCATACCAAGGAGAAGTATGAAAATTTGTAATTTTATATTTGAACTTGCGAATGGTGTCTGTGATGAAGAAATTTTAAATCCTGGGATCTTCAGATTGATCAATCCATTCCTGTGCACTTCATCCTTTTTATTTGTATCTTGTTTAAGAACTCCTTGCCTCTTCTGATGCTGTAAACACATTTGTTTATATTTTCTTCCAAAAGTTTTTAAGATGTGGCGTTCTATATCTAGAACTTTGGTCTGAAGATTATTCTTACTTACATGTGGTGTGAGACATGGATATATTTTTATTTTTTAGGTGGCAGCAGTTGTCCCACCATTGCCGAGTAATTTCTTTACTCACCTATACGGTCACCTCCACCCTATAATGCATACACAGTATAAATATTAGATGTTCCACATATGCTTGCAAATGCAAATATAAATTGAAATTACCAACTGAAGTTTCCTCTGGTCCCAAGTGTTTTCCTAACCAAATTCCCTGAGTAAATCATCTTGACTGAACCCCAGCTGCACCACCTGGTCAGCTGAATGCTGTGTGGTGTGGTTAGGATGGTTAACAGCGCTCAAGTATATGCTCCTGAAAAGCTCTAAATTTAGAACATAGAAGTTCACTCAGAAATGTCAAATCAGATACCTAAAAGTACAGCTTTTCGAACTGAAAATGTATTCCTATTAACCTAAACTGCTTAATTTAAAATAAAAGTAATTTACAAATTTCAATGAAACATTCTCAGCTCTTACCTGTACCATTTGCTACCTATTCTCCTTATGTCCGTTTAGGGCTGACTGCCTGTCCTTATGTGCTTAACCCCTGACCCCAGTTTTCTCGTATAAAGTGGGGATGCATGTGCACCCACTTGCGGGGACGCAGCTGCTACCCTGCAGTCCAGGGTGCGTGGCTGGCACGAGGGAGATGTGACTTGTTACTAAGTTTACTCTCTTTCTGAGTGACGATTTGTAAACCCGGTAAAATCCTCGTCGTCTTACAAAATTCTTTTTTGCTTTTTCTTCAGCCTTATGTCTGTATTGTTCTCCTTAGTTTGTGATTATTATAAACAGTTTGAGAATTTTACCAAAGGAAGACTCATGCCAAAGGTTTTTGTTTCTTTGACTTTGCTCCCTATAATCAGGTCACCTCTGGCTACAAAGCCAAGACGATTGTTACCGCGCTGCCTGGGTCTTTTCTGGACCCTCTGTTATCAGCCTCCCTCATGGAAGACTATGAGCTGCGACAGTTAGTCTTGGAAGTGATGCATAATCTCATAGATCGCCATGACAACAGGGCGAAGCTTCGAGGGATCAGGTATTGCACTATCTTGAAACAGGCTTAATGAGGATGTTTTTCAGTTTCGACATTCATGTATTTAAGTATTGTGATTTGTAGGTTTTCTGCATCCAATTTAATTATTAATATAGTTTAATTTAATTATTAATATAGTTTAAGACAGCAGTGTTTGGAGGTCTTTTCAGAAATCTTAACTACTAGTAGTCTCTGGTTACATGAATTTTATTTTAGTTTTGCTTTAAACTTAGATCACTTTATGAAATTCTTAATTGAACTTGCTAATTCAGTCATGTCATTACATAAAGTGAGTAATATGCTCACAGAAATGAGTATTATGCAGCTCAGACTCCTAAGTGTGACTATCAATTTGTCTCGTAAGACGTGATATAACTAAATGGGCTATTCATTAAAAATGATATATTGATTACCTCTAGAATAATACCTGACGTAGCTGACCTGAAGATCAAAAGAGAAAAAATTTGTAGACAAGACACAAGTTTCATGAAAAAGGTAAGACTGTCCTCTAAAAAATAATGCATGCTATCAGTTAAAGCCGTTGAATTGTTAGGCAGTTTTATATTGCTCTGTGACCTTGAAATGAAGCCACACTTTGTTAGTACGTTTACTTGGATTGGTTTGGGTCAGGGGAAACCTGTGCAATCCCCGGGAAGTCTCTGTAACCTCTCCCCTCCGTACTGCCTGTAGACTTCCCTCTGGGGCTCCGTGCCAGTGTGTGGCAGACACGGCAGAGGCCCCTCCTGGATGGGTCCCAGCCGCCCCACAGCCCCGAGCACTGTCCCCCCCCCCCACACGTCCTCCACCACTGCCAGGACTCCCGTGACTCTGTCGTCCATTCTAATTGTTTCTCACAGCAGGCTACAGCTTGCTTTTGTCTTTGCAGATTATTACTAAAGACATTTTCATTGTTGACATGAGAACCGTTTCTTACTTGCTGTTTCTACTTAAGGCTTAGTCTTCAACTCTAATGTCAGTCTGTGGTCGTACGCTAGTGTCTGTAGACGTCAGTGATGGGGATACAGTTAGCCCATCTAACTATCGGTTTAAATTTCTTCCATGGCAATAAGGGAGCCACTTCATAAGTGGTTATATGCATGTGAGATCTGCCTTTACTACCTTTCAAGCAAACTTACCTTTTCCTCTGTCACTACGCTTTTCAGAACGGCCAGCAACTCTACCGACACATATATTTGGGCTGTAAAGAGGAAGACAATGTTCAGAAAAACTATGAGTTACTCTACACTTCTCTCGCTCTCATAACTATTGAATTGGCCAACGAAGAAGTGGTTATTGATCTCATTCGATTAGCCATTGCTTTGCAGGTATGCTTTCGTAACCTGTCATTGAACAAAACATTTTGCTTCAGGTGAAATAGATACCACTTGTAAAGCATTGTTGCCTTTACCCAAACACGTGCATTTCTAAAGGGATATGTCTATTTTAAATCTAAAATACTCAAGAAAAGGGTCGTAGTTATATATTTTCTTAAATGTCAAGTGAGCATTTGACTGTGTGCTAGATATTTTTCAAGGCCCCAGGAAAATGGAAGACAACACAGCCCCTGTGCTTATACTTGGAGTTTAGTGGGGAAGGTGGTCATTAAATAATATCTATACACCGTTTGGTGGGGCTTTAAGCATTATGTAGTAAAAGGACAGTAGGTAACGAGGATATGTATGATGTGTGTATATCAGAGGTGTGTTAATGTATATATTTAATGTACCTGTACTTTTTTTCTTATGAAAGGCTATTTGAGAGATCTTACTCTCCTGTAAATGGGCATTTATTCTCCTTTCAGAATTAGAAAAAAAAAGTAGCTTCTTATAAGATGACATTTTTTGGTTAGCATCCCAAAGCACCTGCAGTGTGTCAAAGCGCTCAGACAGGACGCTGAGGGCCCCTGTGCTGTGCTTGTTTCGGTTCAAGGACAGCGCAATCACCAACGAGGACAACCTGCCCATGTTCCACCGCTGCGGGGTCATGGCACTGGTCGCCGCGTACCTCAACTTTGTGAGCCAGATGGTCGCCGTCCCCGCTTTCTGCCAGCACGTGACCAAGGTGAGGTGCTTAGAAGGTTCATCTCGACTTCATACATGGCGGTTAGTTTTAGTTTTGACATTTATGTATCAGGTTAAGATAACTCTATAAAAACACACAGTGACTAACTTGAAACTACAGCTAAAACTACAGGTAATTTTTATATTCTCTTTGATGCCTGTTGTTAGAATTTTTTATGTAGTGCTTGAGTAGAATACTTGGTTTACTTCTAGACTGCTTCGTGTGATTTCTTAGATAAGTTTTTTTCTTTTAAACAGTTGTGACTCTTAGTATCTAAATTTTCTTAAATTATACCATTTTTGTTACTGTTTTAAACCAATCTACTTGAGCCACATCTTAAAAGCTGAGTAATTAATGTGCCTCTCGGAGATTTGTTCTTTGTCGTTGAACTGTATTAGTTTTTTTTTTTTTTAGTGGTAACTCATTAAATACTTACTTGCATGATTTAATAGCATTTTAGTAGAACTTCATTTTATGGACCTGGAAGCACATCTCTCAGTCCTGGCTAAAATGCCGGACTTTAGGGCGTTTGGAAAAGGAAAACTCATTTGTGCACTAAACAAGTGTGTGGGTGAATATGCAGCGCCCACAGTTAGAGACAGAAAAACTAGGAGAGCAGAGTGCGCCCTGTGGGCACGCATGGTTGAGCGGAGGAGCCAGACTTCCCCGATCACTGAGACCTCCTCCCACACGGGCTGCTGCGGGAGGGCTGCAGCTGGAGCACGGGAGGGGCCTGGAGCTTCGTGGAGGGGTTTCCAGAACAGCGGCTGCTGTGAAAGTGTGTCCGTGCCCCTCTGTGGCAAGTGTAACCAGATGTAACTGTTTTCTGCTACGTGTGTCACTACACGATTTTGTCATCTGATGAATTTTGAAAATAATAAATGTAAAGCAAAATGAACTGTAGGTTTGAGCTATAAATGTAGTTTAAATTCCAAAATAAAGTGATGCTATTTCTTATAAAGTGATGGTATTTTGTTTCTGCTTTTTTAGTTTTCCACATTTTCATAGCAAGCTCCTGAGAAGTGAGGTTTTTTATTTTTTTGTTTTGTTTTTGGATATATTTCAGGTTATTGAAATTCGGACTATGGAAGCCCCTTATTTTCTGCCAGAGCACATTTTCAGAGATAAGTGCATGTATGTTAATTCATTACATTTTAAGAAAGGGGCAGTCAATGACGATATAAAGGAATACACTGTTGTTAGAATAATTTTCTGGTGTTTTATAATCATGTTTTGTGTTTCTGTCACTTAATTCATCTAAGTTCTTTCTCTTGCTATGAAATTCTTGTACATGATGAATATAGGCTTAGGCATACATAGATCAATCTTGGATAAAAATTTATCTTTTTAATTTGGAAATAAAGCTCCTAAATATAGCATGTTCTCATACAAATGAACATTCCTTTAAGGGAATGTAATATCCTGTTCAAAACTTTCAATAAGAGATAATAATACTCATAAAATTGTAGGAGAAAGAATGTATTAAGGAAAATTAATAATTTATACCCTGCATTCTTTCTTGTTCTCCAAACCAAAAACAAAAACAAAACCAAAAAAACCATGAACAGTGTATTCTTCACACTTTTGGGCTGTGAAGTGGTTTGATATTGAAAGCATCCGCGTAAGACCAAGCCAAGGCATTTCAAAGGAAAATGAAAGTTACGTGGTCGGGCGAGTGCTTCCTGTCACTTGGCTGGCTAGTATTTTTTTCATTGGCTTTCAGTAAACTGCAGCCTCGGTTTCTCCTCGCAGTAGATTTTCAGTGAGCCTGATGGTGAAGGCAGCGTGCAGTCCCCTCCATCATTTCACGTGGGACCACCTACAGAACGGCGGGAAGGAGCCAGCGCCCAGTGGTTTCTCTGAGGACCGGTCCTTGTGCTTGTACAGAGCTCGGGCCAGTCCTCTGAAATTCACTGTCCCCGCCCACAGTTTACATCCATCGTATGGAGGCTTAGATGTCCAATGTTTGCGTGTTGACTTGCTTTTGCTCAGTAATTTAAGTACCACTGATTGGCTCTTGTTTGGCCAACCTGACAGGCTTCCCAAATCCTGGGAGAAGCACGACAAAAGTCTGTACTTCCTGGCCAACAAGATTGCGGAGTCCCTGGGGGGAAGCGGCTACAGCGTGGAGCGGCTGTCGGTGCCCTACGTGCCGCAAGTCACAGGTGAGGGGCTGCCGCGGGCGTTTCCCCACACCCCGTCCGTGGGCAAGTGTGGTCGTTTGCACGCTTACTGCACCGCAGCTTCGTCAGGTGCCGAAGGGGCTTCCTTGTATTTTTGTTTCCCTCTTGAAAACCGTTAGTGAACCTCTAGAGACACGTGCAGGAGTGGGCAAAGGTCGCTTTGCAGTTGTGAGTACACGGAATAATTTATACTGAGGGCATAATTATTAATTACTGTGTTATTTACTGTATTATTCACCTACTTTTGCCCACCCTCGAATATGATTTTGTCATGAGCTGATTGAGCCCTCAAGTGATCATTGTTATACTAAATAATATTATGCTTTAAACGGCGAAGGGAAGTGAGAGCTTCCCTGGTTAACCAATGTTGAATTTAACTCAAGGAAATTGGCAAAAATTGTTTTATCTGTTATTTGTGTTTATTGAGCTTAATGAGTTAGGCAAACTTCTGTCACTTGAAAGAGAGCAGATCATTTGTTATGCAAAGAAATTTTTAAACTTTTTCAGTTAAGAATCTGTTTCCCTCTGCACACTGTACGTTTCCTTCTGTTCTTTTCACTGAACGTGGCGGTTCTCGCATTTCAAGGCAGAGCCGCGCGGTGCGCTACACCCAGGTTGACTGTCGAAACTAAAATCAAACAGTCTCTGTCTTCTGCTCTCATTATCACTGGTGATGGTATAAATATTAAATTCGGTGGAACCAGTTCTTCCTGGATGCCTTTGTTGTACCAGAGGGCTGTTTGGTTTCAGTTAGGTAGCTTTATGGAATAAAATCCAGACCCAAAATATATACATTCATTACAGTGATACTTCATAATAGTGAGAGATGTTAATGAATTCTTTTGCATTTTATTTCTAATTCTGTACTGTAAAAGGTTTTATTCCTCATGAATTCCATGAGGAAATGAAAATGTTAAGAATGAAAACATTAGTAGAACATTGTAATGTAAAAGACTTTTAAAATATTTTATTCTTGTAATTTGTATTTAGTTCTCTTTTCCTCAGGCAAAAAACCTCATAAGCCCAGACACAGGCGCAAAGGTAAATCCAGGGTCACTTTGGCCCTTCATCACCGTCCTGTAGAAAAGTAGCTAGTAGAACGTGCCTTTTAGAAAGTGGAGCCAGTGCCGTGTATTGTACGTACTTGCAAGCTCAGTTCGCCTTTTGCCCCACCTCCCCCACGGCTGTAGTTTATTCCCACCACTTCTTCCCTTTACCCCAACCCTCCAACACGGAAACGGTTTTGGCGAACGTTCTGGTGCTTCTCTTCCAACAGGTGGTTTGCTCTTTCCTGGTTCCTTCCACTCCCAAAAGAGATGCGTTCCCTTTCTCAGTGCCTCTCTGTCCCCGACTGGAAGAATTCTGAATAGTTCAGTACTTAATTATGTGACTGCCCAGGAGTCGCACAGTCAGAATAAGACTTTCTCTGATGTATAAAGACTTCGGTGGTTCAGAGCAGCCTGTAGGGTATGTGCCCTGCATTAACGTAGAAGCGGGCAGTGATACTTCACGAGACAGTCAGTCGGGTGTTACGTTTTTCTCTGCCTGCATAACCGTCCGGTATTCGTTTTGAAAATTGAGGGATTTAAGAAGAAAAGGGAAACATATTTACTTTGTTTCGTGTCGTGCATATGGGTGGGTGGACGGGTCGATAGGTGCAGACGCAGGTGCACAGACACAGGTGCGCCGCCTGCGTCAGGAACGCAGTGGCCTTTCTTACGCACACGCTGTACGCCAGGCCCTGTGATGTGCACTTTGTATCCACTTCCTCATTTAACCTCTAAAACAGTTTAGGGAGGACGGTAGCATTATCTTTGTTTACAAATGAGGATAGTGACTATGAAATTAAGTAATTTCATTACTACTTTTTATGCCATGATTTGTAGTTTGTTTTTATTCCATAAATATGCATTCATTCTAGGTGGGATTGCGTGTTTTTCTATAGGACCAAAAAAGTACACCGGTGTGAGTGTTACCAGCATTAAAAGATGACATTTTGAAATTTGTGTAGATGAGTTACTTCTGAAACTCTACTTGGCCCCAGCTGTCTTTTTAATGAAATCTGAGTGGTATTATAGCCCTAATTACATTTATGACTTATTATATGCAGTTAAGTCACTTTCCATATCTTATTTTTAAATAGCCATAGACAGTTCACTGAGAGAAACTGAGTATCTTTCGTCACTACACTCCACTCGGACCGTCTTCCCTGCTCCTCAGCCATCTAAACCCAGTTGCATGTATTGTGTGCACAGATGCACCAGGTGGCAGCATGGTGTCACCGGAGGAAGTTAGGGCCACTCTGAGGATTGCTTCTGAAACCCAGGTGCCAGTTAAAGTCAGGAGAGCGAGGATCACCATTGCAGACTGCAGGAGCGGGGGGGGGGAGGGCGGGGTGGGAAAGGAAAGGACACAGGTGGTGGTGTCCAGGACCCCCCCTCCCAGCCCCACTGGGGAGGGAAGCAAGGGTCTCCCCAGGCATGTACACACCAGACACTGAGATGGTGACAGGGCTTCTGCCGGCCAGCGGCAGGGCAGCCCACGGGGCCGCAGCGCTGCCTCAGTCGGTAGGGCCTGCAGAGCCGCTTGGGCACTGATGTCGATGGCCCATGGGGACCGGGGTCATCGCCCAGAAGCTCTGCTGTAGGGACTCTTCATTCGTGCAGGTGCATAAGAGGCCGACTGTAGCTGTGCCCTGGCTTTTCTGTGGGCACCTGTAAGCAGGTGACTGTGTAAGTCAAAGAGAAGAAAACCCTAACATTTTGAGAATGTAGTCGTAGGCTTTCCCATCAGAGTTTGTTTCCTTCCCTTTTACAGTGTTGGACTTCTTCTCTCTCTCTCCTTGATACTTCCCTTCTGTTCTTGTTGGTCTTGGCTTCTCAGTGCTCCCTTCCCTGCCCCGAACCTCTGCTCCTTTTTCTCTCTGTCTTCAGTTTGACTCTGTCCTGCAGCCCCTCAGCCTTTGCGCACTGACCTAGACATTCGTGCAGGGTGGTCTTTGTGAAGCAGGCTTTGTTCTCACTTCGAGTTCTGCTGGGACCTTGGCAGTTGGCCTTCCTGGAGGGTCAAGGCAGGTGGGCAGTGATGACCACACGCTCTCGTAGCAGTTCCAGTGCTGTCTCTGTGTTTGCTGATCTGTGTGAAAGCACGTGGTTACCGAGGACAACCAGGGGGGAGGCGGTGTCTTAGGTCAGCCCAGGAACAGCGCATGCGGTGAAGCCGTGGCCTGAAAATTGTAGGGAAACATCCGCAGCGGTGGTTTGTCACCTGGAGTCTGTGCTAGTCCTGTGCCTCTGTGGAGCCCTCACGGAGCCGAGCCTGAGGGGCTCCTGGGTGACCGGTGCAAAGTGCAGCCAGTCACCAAGTTTCTGGAGGGTTGAGGGCGCAAGACGTCAACTTACAGGTCTGTAGTTCAAGGCCCAGTACGTGGCTGAAGGGTGCTAACGACCGAAGAAGGGAAGATCAGGCATAGCTGATGGTAAATTTTTGTGCCTGGAAGAAAGAGGATGGGTAGAAATAACTGGTGTAATAGTTAAGCTTTTTGAGGAAGTGACGTGTTCATTTAGGCCTTGAGAGATAGGAATCTTTATAGCTGGGAGGGCATAAGGAAGGCGGGGTTTGTGTCTGTAGGGAAGTGCGGAAGACAGGTGTGGCGGAGCGTGCTCAGAGACTGCAGAAGAGGCGCGCTCGACCCAGACACCAGAGGGTTGCTGTGTCTCACCCGTGTGTGTGCTCCCGTGTGTGATGAGTGCCCGTGGTTTCGGCCTGAACTTTCAGGAAAAAATCTTTCATTTTAATTTCTTCAGTTTTTTATGTATTTATATTTAGATACCTGTGTTTTGTATTATAAAGGAATTTTAGCATTTATTTTTGAACATATTATGATACAAGAAATTTATGCAACAAATAATTACAAAACACAAGAACAGATACAAGGTATTTCAGGTACTACCCAGGTATAATGTGCACCTTTACTTTTCTCTCAAAAATTTGGGCACAAAAGTGCACATTACACGTGGCGAAATATGGGCCGGAGCGATTGAAGTTACTGTTGGCGTTGATGAGCCCTGACGAGAGAGCCCAGGTGCCCGTTCGGCCCGGCAGGCAGTGGGGGGAGCCGAGTGGGGGAGCGGTGTGGCCAGTGGGCGAAGAGGCTTGTAACACAATGATCGGGACATTGCAGAAAGGTCTGTCGCCCGACAGGATGGACTAGGGTGGTGGTTCTCACCTGAGGGTGATTTTGCCCATCCCAGGGGTCACATCAATCCTGGGAACATGTTTAGGTATCAGCACTGGGACAGGCCTGCTGGCATCTAAGGGGTAGAAGCTAGGGACGCTGCAAAGCCTTCTGCAGTACACAGACAGCTTCCTACAGCCACAGTTACCCAGCCTCAAGTGTCTGTAGTGCCAAGGTGAAGAAGTCTGCCTTGGTTATGCTGTGGTGACAAGCAGTCGCAGGTTCTTAGTGGTTTAAAGCGGTAAAAATTTATGTGTGCTCAATCGAACTGTGCATATCTTCATATCATCCGTATCTGGAATCCAAGCTGATGGAGCAGCCACACTGGGAGACTTCAGTCACATATCGTTGGCCAGAACTAGTTACGTGTCCCTCCTAACCACGAGCAGGCCAGGAATTGGGCCTTACTGTGTGTCCGGAAAAAGGGTAAACTGCCAGATTCCATTGGTAGCATTAATTGCTGCCATGGACGGCTGCCTTGGAGGGGAGGAGTGGGCAGTGAGAGAGAAACTGGTTTCTCTGTCCTCGTTCTAGTTCATCAGTGGACTGAAGTCACAGTCACACAGACCAGGATTAGGAGGCAGAGGGTGCGAGGCTGCACAGACAGTCTGTGAGTCCGAGGACACAGCGCTTCGTTTGTTTAGAAAGAGCAGAAATGACTGTCTTAATTTTCTGAAATGTTTGAAGCCTGAATTATGTAGTGTATAAATGACATCATTTCTAACTGGCATATAATGGGGACAATTTTTTACTTTAGATGAAGATCGACTTTCTAGAAGAAAAAGCATTGTGGACACAGTATCCATCCAAGTGGACATCCTACCCAGCAGCAGCCCGTCTGACGACGTGGTGAGTGGCCGAGAGCTCTCGGCGCAGCACTTCCCCGAGACAGACCCCGAGTGAAAGAGCCCCACCCCTGCTCTCAAACAGGAGCAGGTGCAACCTGTTATCCCCGCATCACCAAGGTCTGTTGTTAGTAGGAATTATCTGATTCAGCCTTGAGTTTACTTTAGTAAACTTATAACTAAATTTTGGCTATCCGTGAAGGTACATAAGTGTAACCTGCTTTATGATATTACTAGATCTCACGTTGTAATTTAGTTTAATAACAGGAACTGTAAGACAGAACCAAGTAAGATTTTTCTATAAGTAAGAAATTTCACATAAGGCCTGATATTAAATTAGGAGATCTCTAGATTCTAGTTTTAAAGATTTATGAAACATAAATTACAAGAATAAATGGAATTAGACACTTCACTTGAAGGAAGATGCTCACGACCTTTAGAAAGTTTCAAAATGTCACCTGTGAGGGGAATTTTTCGTCGTTTTTGATGGTAACTAACACGAAGCTGTTTCAATCGCCTGCAGTACTCCGTAGGGGCTGTGACTCACCTGAAACATCACAGACTTAATGCTCTCCTCCTGTCTCACTAGAGCACAAGAGTACCCTCCTGAGTTGTAGGAAAAAGAGCAGCCGGCCCCTCTGGGACTTACTCCGCACAAATCACCAGAGAGTTTTTTGATAGTCAAGTAAAAATGATAAAATACCCGCCTGTCGAGTCAGCCTCCTCCTTGTGACTTACTCAGTGTTTGCCTTCCTAGGTACTTCATTATTTCTCGTTGGGTACAATATAAGTAATTAAAAGATTCTCCATCTAAGAAAAGGGGAAGGAAGTTGTCTGAATTCATGCTTTCCCGGCCTCCCCTCTCCTGCCCCTCCTGGTCCCCGCCAGGTGATTTGTCTGTAGGAATTAAAATGGTTTGGTGGCCTGGGCACTGCTGACTGGCACCTGTGCTGCCCAGCTCCCTTTGCTGTGGAAGTGGTCAGTTCCGCTGAGAAATTGTCAGCAGAGCATTGAGCGGCAGCTAGTGCTCATTTGGGGATTCAGTGCATTGAGATCTGTTGACAGTTTCTTGCCAATTTAAGGCTCCCGAAACGTGATCTTCCCCAGTTCACCCCTTCTAAGCCATTTTAAGTTCTGCGCTCCTTACTAGTAAGGAGGGATCTTACTAGCTCTGTCTTTTAATGATTTGCATTTGGTGCAGTTACATTTTGAGGGAAGAAAATCATCTCTAAAGCCTTCGTGCACACACTTTGTCTTATCAGGAGTGCACTGCACTGCGTTGACTGGCCCGACTCCATTGTCCTCTCTTTTAAAGATACGTGCAAAGCACTTCAGGCTTGCTAACGCTTTATTTTGGTAAAATGAACTGAAGAGACATGTGCATAAGATAGGGTAGGAGGAAGATTCTTGAACATGAACTTTATATTAAAAGTCCATTAATACATGTGTTAGCTTGTCAAAGATCCTTTCTCTTTGCTGTAAGTCCAAAAGCAAATATGCCTCGCACCAAGCATTCGAAAAGTTAAGTAAATGGTTTGCTATAAGATTTCCTTAAGCACGCTGGATTTCAAACCCATTACCATTATGGAATTTGATTTTGAATGTTGGGAATGATTGCTCAAATGCCAGAAGACAAAGTAAACTACCATCTAGGCTAGGAAACTGATTAATTGCACAGCGTGGGCAGAGTATGCATCAGTCAGGCATGAACCAGGTAAGAAAGGTGCCACTGAAAACTTTACTCTTACATTTGATCAGAATTAGTTGAAATTTTGCATATATAACCCCAGTCAGTCTTCATATATATCTGATATCTGCTTTTAGGGCTTATAACTAAAACCCAGAGTCAGAAGATCGTTTAGCTGGAGATCATAGCAGACTTGTGCTTTCTCTAGATTCAGCCAAACTGTCACTATAGTCTGTTGAAAAGGTATGTCAGTTTCAACATTTGCGATTCAAACCTTAGCTGACTGTGACTCGCCTAGTGAGTTTTTTAAACAATTGCCATATGTGTTACCTTTATGTATGTGAACTTTTCCTGAAAATCTTTATAAATACACCCATACTTAATTAAGTCAGGACCATAAATGGCTAGAAGGATCTGCCTCCCGAGGTGAGCAGGTCAGCTTGGTGATCGAATGCCGCATGGCGGGCGTGCTCTTCGTTCCCCGGGCCCACTTTCAGCCTCGTGGGCTTGATCGCTGCACGTCACGGGCATGAGGGAAGTTTGAAGTCACCACCCAGTTCCCCTCTCTAAAGTGTAACGGTCCATGCTTAATTATTTGGGGGAATGGATGGAAGGTGATGGAAGGTTATGCATATTCAATTTTTCTTTGTACAAAATTAAGCAACAGTTGGCTGGAAAGGATTGTTGTTTATGCAAGGACAAATAACAGATATTTTTATACCTACATATTCCTACCTTTTTCCCAAATGTCAGTGAAGATACCTGCATGTGTGCTAACAAAACAGTAATTCTAACATAAGTGAGTATTAGTCAGAACCTGCTCGGCTGGGTGCGGTACAGTCATGGGATCCGTGGGGGGCAGTGACATTACAGCTGGTCTGATTGGGAGAAGACGAGCAGCAGGTTTTAGGCAGGCCCGAGGGTGTCTCGCGGGCTAGGCTGGAGCTGTAGATGACAAGCGAGGCAGAGGTCAGGAAAGAGGAAGGGGGGCTAAAACCCCTTGGGGGTGACGCCTTTGCACCGTTTTCCCATAACTCCAGCACACCCAGTTAGAGAGTCAGTGCAGATTCTGGTTTGCTAACATTTTCTTTTCCTTTTGATTTTAGAGAGGGGCAGGGAGGGAGAAAGATGAGAAACATCAGTGCGAGAGAGAAGCCCCAGTTGGTTGCCTCCTGTACACGCCTCCGGGGCCAAGCCCGCAGCGGAGGGGCGTGCCCTGACAGCAGTCGGACAGTGGTGTTTCGGCTCACAGGACAGCACCCTGCCAACTGAGCCGCACTGGCTGGGGAGGAACTACACTGTTCTAGTGTAGTTGAGCACCATCTCAAAATTTTTTTTAAATATTTTTAATCTTTTAAAAATAGCTTCCACAAAAGGAATCTTGGGAAACAAGATTGGAGACAAATTACAGAAGGGTTTCTCACCAGCCTCAGGACTTTGTTTGTAACTGGTAGGAAGTGGGGGAACACTGAGATGCGGGTAGCATCATTTCAGAGCTGTGCTTTCATAAATGAATGGGAGACGCGTGACTAGGTGGAATTGGAGAGAAGACTGGAAGCGAGAGGCCAGCACACGGACCCAGAGCAGCCAGGCTGGAGATGAGAAAGAGAAACAGGCAGGAGTGCCCTAGTCTGAAGGCAGAGTGGGTAGGACCAACAAGTGACTGAAAGCAAGTTAGAGAAAAGGAGGTTAAAAAAAAAAAAAGGACAGAATAACTTGGTTTCGATGCTCAGAAACTGAATCACAGTTACCGGAACCGAGGAGAACAAGAACAAATGGGGAAGAAGAGTTGTTAGGTGAAGTCCATTGGCTTCCCACGTATCCAAACTGAAAGGGTTGTAGCAGAAATCCCCATTGCCCTTCCTCCAGCGCTGCGGAGGTTCTCAGGAGTCGACTGCTCTTCACCAGCTGTGAGAACAAGAGTGTTTGGGGTTGTTTTGTTTTTTTTTACTGAGGTTGCTTCTAATACAAATAATTGACTGGCCAGAGCCTAGTCTTACATATCTGCCACAAATGTCTAGAAAAAAGCCACTGGAGATTTCCAGTTTCCATCTGACTTCAACTAGAAATATGAACCCTCAGTAGAAAAACCGAGGCAGTGGAACTTCATGGGCACTTGACTTCCAGCCAAAGCCTCTGCCTCCCGGGGAAGCTGCGGTGCGAAGCCTGAAATCTTTTGCTGTCATTGGTCTCGTGGCTTAGACTTAGCAAAGAAGCTCAGGAGCTAAAATCAGGGGTGACCAGAGCCCCAGGCAAGCACTGCTGTGTCGTTTCTTAATTTTTATTCAGAGGTAATGGAGTAGCTGGACACACTCCTGAAAACGTGCTGGTGCCACAGCAGGTACCACTGGTTTTATTATGGAGAGCAGATTTCACACCTTTTACATACCTCAGAGCGACAGAGATCTGAAAACCCAGGTGGAAGGCTGTTTCTGGAGAGTGAGAGCAGGGCAGGTTGACCTTGCAAGGTCCAGAGTGTGCCTATGTTAAGCTGTTAACTGTGCTCATCGCACACTTCCCAAAGGAGTGGCTCTTGCTTTTAAGCCATTTACAGTTTTAGGTGATTTCATCTTTGATCTGCAGACTGCATGGGATACCAGAATTTTGGATGCTGTAGAGCACTTAGTTTTTATTTGCTGCACGGCAAATAAAAATCATCTGTGTGCAGTCTCCGCCTTGAATATTGGCAGGCGGCGTCACCGATAGAGCAGTCCCGACGGTGGACCCGAGTCTTGCAGCACAGCACGCGGCGGGGGCCGTTCTAGTCCAGCGCGGGTCGGGTTGCCTGTCAGGCCACTGTCACAACCACGGGAAGAGTGGAGGTTCTAGGGCACTGTGGAGGGTCATCACAAATCAAGGCAACACAAAGGGGGAAACGTTTATAGAAGTTCTTATATGTCTGCCCTGGCCAGGTGGCTCAGTTGGTCGGAGCGTCATCTCGTAGATCAAAAAGGCTGCGGGTTCGACCCCACACCCCCCTCGCTGGTCTAGGTGCATGCGGGAGGCAACCGATTGATGTATCTCTCTCCCACCGATGTGTCTGTCTGCCTGTCTGTCTCTCTAAAGTCAGTAAACATATCCTTGGGTGAGGTTAAAAACAAGTTTTTATATGACTTGCACTAGGTGAAAAGTATTATTTGTATTGACCTTTCTTAATTATTTTACTTAAAATCACTTTTCTCCAGGTTAGTAACACTGAAGAAATCACCTTTGAAACATTAAAGAAAGCAATTGGTGAGATCTTTTTTGTACTCATTAACTTTCCTAATATTTTTATAGCATGTCTTTTTCTTAGTGCATGTTTATATGCCAAAATAAATAAAGGCAACTTTGCTATATATATATATACGTATACATATATACGTATATATATACGTATATATATGTGTGTATATATATGTGTATATATAGTGCATTTTTTACTTCTGTGTAAATACATAGTTGATTTATTTAGCTATGTTCTTCGGGCTTCTACAGTTGTAAAAGAATCAGAGCAGTGTCTTATATGAGGATAACAGACGAGTGCAGAGTTAGTCCAACTGATGCGATCTCAGGAGAATTTGTTAATGCCCCTGCCTCAGGGTTTTCCTTGGTGAAACAGCAGGGTTAGCAGGACGCCCTCTCAGTCTCCTGCCACCCGGCCAGCTCCTCTCTCGCCCCGTGACAAACACACTGCTCGTCCCGCCGCTCTGTGCCAGGTAAAGGTCACTCAGTCCGCCTAACCCAGCGCTTCTGAGAGTTTCCAGCCTGGCTCGCACGTGGATCCGTGCAGCCTGCGTGCGGGCACCTGCCACGGGCGCTACTGAAACCCATTGTGCCTGGCGTGCCTGCGCAGCCTCCCAGAGTCTGTCCAAGGGAAGCAGCTGCCTGTGACCAGACAGAGCTCATGTCATCCATAGATAAAGAGTCACCCTTCAGGTGGTGGCAAACAGACGGGAAAGGCTACAACAGTCGGTCCAGGATGACCCAGTCTGTTGCGCCATTAGACGCCGAGTTTGGCAGACTTTGAATGCAGTGCCAGTTCTGTGCAAGGGCCTGATTGTTGATGAGAGAATCGCCCTCCAGGGAGGAAGCCAGCTCAGCTTGTTTGGTAGAGAAACGGACATAGTCTGTAAAAAGGGGTCTCATGTAGTTTTAACCCTTAGATTTAAAAAATTCCCTGCATGTGTTGCTTTCTAGCTTTAAGATATTTCAAACATGTTACACCTTTGCTTTTTTTCATGTAAAAGTAGTCCTGCAAATATTGCTTCTTTTTGGTTTTGAGATCATTTGCTTTTGTGGACATTGGCAAGGTTCTGTGAAATTCTGTGTTCCTTTTAACGGGTCTTTATAAACATATACATAGATACCAATGGAATGGAAGAACAGGAAAAGGAAAAGAGGCGTCTGGTCATTGAGAAATTCCAGAAAGCACCTTTCGAAGAAATAGCAGCACAGTGTGAATCCAAAGTGAGTGAATGCGTGTTGGAGGGGAGGGGCGGGTGTGATCTGGGGCAGCCGTGTAGTAGTTAGCTGGCAAGTTCCAGTCTGGGCAGGTCAGCAGAATGCAGTGCAGTGTGTCACACAGGGACCGAAAACTCTGCGGGCACAGACACCGATGGTGCCCGAGTCATTTACTTTTGCAATATAAGCCAGTGGAGATGAGAGGCCCCAAAGTACCTGTGAATGATTGTCATTGTTTTGATACTTTTTTGCAGTGGTTTTCAGAGATTTTGCTGTGGGTAGTTTATGGTGTGTATCTGTTGGTTTGTTTTTACCCGTGAGATTGGAAAGGATTTAAAGAGAAGCTTTATATTATGTGGGACGGACCAAACGAAAGCATCAAAGCTTTCTGTGCTGTCGGTACAGTAGTTACAGTTACGCTTTGTCTTCTAAGTTGCATTCACATTATCGCATGTGGGCATTTGGAAAATGGTGAGTTTGTTCTTAACATGTTTTCTCTCTTATAGGCAAATTTACTTCATGACAGACTCACTCAAATTCTGGAGCTCACCATACGGTAAGGGTGTTGTTACTTGTTACTACCACAGCAGTAGAGCTCAACAAAATAGGAACTGTCCGCCCCCGGTACATTTGTGGCTGATTGTGTTTCAGTACCTGTGTTTTTCATTTAGGATGAACACGAGATCACATAGGTACCTCTGTGTAGTGGTCAGTCTCCTCACCGGACAGTCTGAGGCTGTTTCTTGTCCAGGTGTCTTCTGGCTTTTCTAGCTGTCCTTTACAATGTGTTCATGAGGCTGTTCGGGTAGTTTGGAAGACTCCCATTCTAATGATGTGTCGAACCAGGTGGTTTCTCCTGTTTAACCCTCAGACCTGCAGAGCTGCAGGGTTTGATGGTTTGACCTCGTAGTCCTTTCCAGCAGCGTGTCTCGTCACGACCGAGTGCTCCTCACCGGGAGAGTGGGTGGACAGTAGACCAGGAGTGGCGTTCCGAGGAGTGAAATACTCTTCAGCAATAAAAGAAATGCACTTTTCAGATAACTCTGTAAAAACATACTGAGCAAAAGCAATGAGACATAAAGGAGAGTAGCGTCTGTGGACCAATTCCTGTGGGCTGTGTCGACCGCCGGGATGAAGCCGAAGTGGCACTGATGTCCCTCCGAGACCGGACCTTGTTGCTGGGCCTGGGCATGTTCGGGTGCGTGGGCGGAGGAGGAGTGACTGGCGAGGGACACAGAGGGACTCTTCTTTGGCTGGTGAAACCTACTGAGGGACTCAGTATCTTTATTAGGCTGTTCTTTACATGGGTTTATATATTTGTCAAGCAATGTATTTAATATCTACATTTCACTCAATGAAAATTATCCCTCAATGAAAATTATCCCTCAATAAAAACATAAAGGGATGTTATAAATACTGAACAATAATTGCAAAATAATTATTAGTTCCTAGAAATGGGAGAATATATCAGGAAAATATAAGATAACCAACTGAATAACTAAATTAAGAAAAGTTTACAGTTAGACAATTATATGAAGTTAATATTTATACATAATTAATGTAAACCTATTACTGTGTATAATTCAGTACAATGAATTACATTCTTGATGATAAAATACTAACAAGAAGCCGTGTGTGACATGCAGTACCTGTAACTCTCTGAAGTACACATAAAAGACACGCACGTGAGTGGAGACCCGCACCTTGTCACTGGGTGGGCAGTCACCGTCTCAGGGGCCTCCGTTCTCTGCAGATTCCTCTGTAGGTGTAGCGCAGACCTTCACAGTTCGTGTTATATCTGAACAAATGATGCTGAACAGTGTGGACGAACTCACAGCAAAGCAGTCAGAAAAACGCTGTGTGAGGAAAAATGGGAGCATTTGCCTTGCTAGGTAGGAAAACATGACAGGCGTTTGGTCCTTCCAACAGGTTGGGCCAGGATGCAGGTGAGTAGAACAGGGTAGATCTCAGATTTTCGGGGAAGGGAACAGACGTTCCGTGAATCTTGTTTGGACAGCTGCCTCTGACTATTGCCCCCCAAGAGGGGCATCTCCGCCTTTACCGAAACAGGAAGTTTTAACTGTTTAGAAAAATACATAGAAATACCAGAGTTTATATTTATAATCTTGGCATGGAAAAGTTTTCCTTAGCATAATACAACAAGTTGGAAGTCTTTAAAAAAATCATTGAGCTTTTGTCAGGTTTTGAAGCATTTGGCAAAAAAAGAAAAAGGTTGAGAAGAATTAACTAATGAATTGTGGAAAGGCATTTGTATCTTAGGACAAAAGATTAGCTTCCCGAATTGATGCCTGTGTATCAGTAGAAACACGGACAGCGGACTCACGTAGATGAGTTATTTTAAAAGAAACACAAGGTGAATACTGAATCTACAAGGATATTTAGCATTAGTGGTAGCCCAAAAATAAAAAATAAAAGTAGGAATGAATTCCCTTTGCTTGTCAGATTGGCTGGATTTAAACACAAAATGATGCATTTCACCCAGGATTTAGTGTTGTAAGAGAGTGGGCACACTCAGATGTTGGGAGTTTGAATGGCTGGTGTTCTGGCGATATACACAGAAGTCAGAATTCTGAGGGCACAGCACACTTTGATCCAGAAATTCTGTTTATGTGACAGTACACCAGGGAGACAATCAGGATAAAATGATGTGTGTATAAGACTAGACCTGTGAGCATTAATTATAATAATGAACAGTGGATATCGACCTGCATTTATCCACTGGATTAAAGCAGTTATGACAGGTCCACATATTGAAATACCGTGCTATCATCAAAAAAGTCATAGATTTATACTTGAGGGATTTTTTTCCATTGAAACAGCGAGCTTAGAAGACTTGTACGTTGTAATGGTAAATGGTAATAAGACGTGTAAGTTGTTATCTCACTACGGAAGTTATGTGTATGTATATCCAAAGGAACGTCTCTGGTTTAGACTTAAATGCAGCCCGATGCCAGCACGGTCTGTTTTTCCGTGTGGTCTGCCCGCCGGCCGCAGCACAGGAGTCCCACCCGTGGTGGCAGCGGGACCTGTAATACTACCTATCAAAATTGCGCGCTTGGAGGAGCACCTGCTGACCATGTCCTGTTCTTCTTTTCCAGTCCTCCTCCGAGCCCGTCGGGAACACTGACCATCACTTCTGGGCATGCCCAGTACCAGTCTGTCCCTGTCTATGAGATGAAGTTTCCAGATCTGTGCGTATACTGAGTGGCTCAGGGAGACCTCAGCATAGGATTTTAGAGCCTAAAAATCGAGGCCAGGCGGTTTGTTTCCAAGGTTCACTTAGTGCGTATCAGCGTACTTCTTGAAAATAACGATGGAACTTATCTTTGACCAAATGCTTGGCATACCATATTAGAAATTTTGCATCTGTATGTGATTTACAGTACTTCTGAAGGTAGATTTATGCCATGTTAGTTTCTTCTGAACTTCCTGTTGTCTTAAAGTTGAACATGTATTGGTCTCAACATTATTTCATTGTTAAACAGTGTATTTTAAACTTTTCAAAAACACGTAATTTTTTTTTAAAGTAAGCCTTTGGAGGGTTGAAAGGTCTAAGAAGTGTCTACTGTATTCCTTAAACATCTGCATGACTGCTGAAAGCAGCACTGCTTGGTTTTGGCCAGCTGCAAAAGCAGACACACACAGGTACAGCCCCACATCAGGTGCTGTGGTGGGTGGCCTTGTAGGCGTTTGCCGCGGTGGTGCCTGGTGGACATTCCTCAGCTTGTTTACGGCAGTGCATTGCATTGAGAATACTCACAGAGTGGGACCCCAGTGTCACGTGCCTGTAATTCCGTATCTTCTGCCGAGATCTGGTCCTTCGACCTGAGAGACTGTGAGCTTGCGCTGGGGCAGCGGGCCGTGCAGCACTGTTTACGTCCTCCGGTGTGCGGTTTACTGACTGTGCTTTGGAACTAGAGTCCTGTGTCGCTTTCGCTCCATTAGTTCAATGAGCTGTCTATTTAAAGTAGCTACTAGTTCACCTGTGAAGAGTATACATTTTGATTTTTATTAAGAGCACGTTAATTTACACTTTTATATATTGTGCATTGTCTTAAATCCTCATAGTCAGAAAACTACCAAAATGGACTTTAAATGTGTTGGATTTGAACTGTAGCTTGTATGCATTTCCGTTGGGGGTTTGTTGCATGGCATTTGGAAGGGCGCCCATGGTCTTCGCAGTCGGGTGTGCTGGGGGCTGGCAGAGGGAGCCCCCATTGACCGAAGCCGCCGGGCGTACCTGTGCTGACACCCCACCCTGCGTGGACGGACTTGCGGTGTTTTCTTAAAACGATGTGCACCTTGGTGAGTCCCGTCACGGGTCAGAACAAACAGCTTTCTCTGTAAGTCTTACCACGTTCTCCTCGAGCACTTTTATAAAATAACCTGTTCATAGTTCTTCCTTTTCAGATTTTATTTCTTTGTAATTAAAGAATATACCTAGCAAGAATTGTAGCTCAGAAAGAACATTCAGTTTTTGGCTTTGGTTTTGGTGTGGAAAATTGTAGTGAAGCATAGCACGTTACACCTTTGGGTTGAGGGTTATGTGGGCACCTGTAGTGGAGACAGAAAAAGGTGACGAAGCATTCTCAGAAAATTTTGAATATTTAAACCGAAGTGCAGCGTCTTGAAACAACTTGTGAAAGACTTCAGTCCCGTGCGCCTGTCGAGGACACGCAGACACACATGCTGGGCATCCAGTAAATGGCGGGGAGGGAGGCCTTGTCCTCCGAGTCCAGTGCCGTCCCCGCTGGGGTGCGGCCCCATTGCCACTGTCACTGCATTTGCCTCTGGACCAGCTAAAGTGTTTCACCATTTAATAGACCACATGTTACGAGCTTTTTTTTATTTCCCTTTTTTCTGCATTTTTGAGAAGGATATTCATTTTTGTCTGCATTTGAAAAATCAAAGCAGGGAGACATGCAAAAACAATCATCCACGCGGATGTCGTTTTATAGATGAACACTGTGTGCTTTTGTATGAACAGATGTATAGTTTAGTAGTACAAGGAGAGAAGATATATCGTCGTTTGCACTCATGCAGAACAGACTGTGCTGCGCAGGAGCTCACGTTTCTCTGATGTCCAGTGCGTGTGCCGCACGTGAAGGGTCGTTTCAACCGCCGTCTCTCACCCCCTCCCCTGGGTCATCTGCAGACTGTGGGCAGGCGTTCTGTGGTGGGGGGGCAGCATTGATCTTAAATCACATAGACCTCTGTGCACGGTGATTCCCAAGCAGTGGGTCGGTCGTTCTTTAGGTTTGTCCCTTCCCTGCAGGGAGTGGGTGCACATACTGTGTTGTATCTGGTTTTGAGACTGAAAGTGTAGGATTTGTTGAAGTTCACTGTGTTGCTATATTTTTGTAGATATGTAAAATTCTTAATAAACTGTTAAATCACTTTCTTTTTGCGGTATGCACATGCTTATATCGTTCTGTTTTTTCTGGACACTGAACATTAACAGTTAAGTGTCCTCCTATACTGGTGTTGTCTTGGCTCATATGGTTTTATTGTCAGTGGAGTCAGGCTGAACACACACACACACTCACACACACACTCACACACACTTCCTTAATCCTTCTGAACTCACGCTCTTCTAGAATAATGGAACACTTTACCAGCAGTTAAATTCCACTCCTCAAAGCATCTCTCGTCTTTTTGTCTGAAACTGATCTGTGACAATATATGTAATAAACGTAACAAAGTGAGCTTTTGGAAATGTGAAAATTCACTGTGCAATTCATATGTAAGCAATAAAAAATCAAAATAATTGTGCACAGGTACATTTTTCTAATAGCCATTATTGCAATCATTAAATAAATTTATTGACTATTTTGCTGTCGTTAAACATGAAAAATTTTAGTGAACAATCACGTTGCCTGATGGGTTTGTCCTCACATCCCCTGGGGTGTCGGGCCCGTGGCTGCTGGTCGTGTGAGGCGTGGCCCAGGGAGAGCCCCCTGGGAGTATGGGGAGCACCGCTGCCCCCCACTGCACCCCGGCACCGGCTCCACTGGGTCTCTAACCCACCTCCTTGCTGTGTGAACGACAGGAAGCCTCCCTCCAAACCCTCACCCTCACCCTAACGCTAACCCTCACCCTCACCTAACCCCAACCCTCACCCTCACCCCCACCCCCACCCTCACCCTCACCCAACCCCTACCCTCACCCTCACCCTCACACCCTAACGCCCGGAAGCCTCCCAGGGGCTGGTCTGGGGCTGTGTGCCACCTGCGCAGGTGCCCGTGGCCCCGGGGACTTCCTCAGGCAGTGATGCTTCATCGCGGTGGCGGTGGCATGTGGCCACGCCCCCGGTAACGAGGGAGAGCTGCCGTCCCTGTCCTTGGCACGCGTGTTTGGTGGGTTATTGGTGACTGATAGGTGATTTCGTACAACCAACTCCTTTTTCTTTTAATAGAAGAAAACTAGCTTTCCCCGATCAGGGAGCAAAGGCATTTTCTTCCTTCTCTGTCTCTGCTGTGTCACCTTTGTAATCGGTTCACACACCAGTATCTACAACTTCCCTGAAAAACACACAAAGCAGAGGAAAAAGCAAGAACGTTGATTGGAGTATTTATTGAGCCTCCGCAGCGCACTGGGGAAAGCCCAGAACCATGTGCGTGTGTGAGCAGACAGACACCCCCACGCCTCTGCAGCGGTCCCGCTGCCGCTCCTCTCGTGGAGCATCTGCCCAGAGGAGGGCCGGGGAGGAGACGTCGGCCCAGAGATGTCACCATAACAAGAGAAGCAGGACAACAGGGCGCTCCTCATCTGGGGCTCTATCTGGGGCCGTGGGGTGGCCTGGCTCACACGGGACCGAGTGACTTCCCCAGAAATCTTCTGGCTCTTCTCAGGGGTGCCACGGGGGGCTCGGCCTCCTCGCTGCTCTCCTCGGATCTGGAGCCCAGGGAGGAAGCAGAAGGCTCGCCCTGCACCCCGTCCTCACAGGGGGGCGGCTCGCCCTGGCACTCCAGCCTGCCGGCCGATGCCAGGCTGCGGTTAAAGGAGGCAGCAGCCATGCACTGGGCCGCCGTCTGGTCACAGGTGCAAAGCAGGTTCGCACACAGGCTCTGCCCCACACCTTCGAGAGAGAGCGGAGAGCAGGCATGAGACACAGCACCACGGTAAGGGAAGGCCTCCGTGGTGGCCCGAACACCCCTTCAGCCCTGGCTGGCCTCCCACCCCGGACACTGAACCTCTTGGTACCCAGCACACCCTGACTCCACCGCTGGAAACATCCCAGCTTTGTTCTCCCGATTAACTCACACTCGGTGAGGAGCCCCCGGAGCATCCCGGGTCCAGAAAGCTTCCTTGAGCCCCCGGGCTCAGCGGGGCATCTTTCCTGCAGGCTAACCCCGAATGAATCCCCACTATATTTCTTTTTTTTCCCTGCCGTGTTTCTTGAATGTTTTCATCGCTTGCAGCGGGTGTGGCGGTGACAGCGTGCGCGGCTCGTGTGGAGTGTTTCAAGGTGCTTAGACATAGACAAGTTCTCTGCAAATACCCTCGTCGCCTGTACTGTTCAAAGATGTATCTGGTCTGTGGCATTTTTTTCATCTGATCCTGCCAGGAAGTGTCCGTCCACCAGCTCAGCCAGGTGCTTTCTGCTCACTCCGCCCCCGTAAGGCCTCGCACACTGGCCCTCGCGTCAGCCCCCAGAGCTGTGTGTGTTTGAGCAGCAGGAAGGGACGTGTCGTGGAGACACGCACATAAGCCTGCCTCCTGGAGCCACCGAGCCCCTCTGCTGGGTGCCCAGTGTCAGGACGGCACCAAGCAGGCTTCGGGACCCCCGTAGGTCTCATCACCTGTCACTGCACCAGGAACAGGACCCTGAACTCAAAGTTCACAGGGGGTCAGACCGCTTCCCTGAAGCTCTGTGGGAGTTCGTGCTACAAATGTGTGTTCTGGGTTCTCTGAGACCAGAGGAACAGGGGACCCTTCAGCTGGGCGGGTAAGACCTGGCGTGAATGCATCACATGACAATATAATCTGATCCTGCCCCTCGTGGGCTCTCAGCCCACCCTGGCATGGCCCCTTGTCCCCTATAGGACAGAATGTCAGGCTTGCATCCGTGACCTGGTACCTGTCCATCTCCCCAGCCTCACCTTACACTTCAACAGCCTCCCCGACACCCACTTTCTCTGCCAGCAATGCAGAACCACACGTTGGCCCCACACTGCCAGGTGTCCCCAGGATGCCACGAGTTTTCTCTTTTCCCTCTTGGGACACCCATCCACCACCAGCATGACCAGCACGGCCATCCTGGTGAGAGCTCACCTCGCTGCGTCTCCGACTTCTCCTAATGTCCCATCCCCCTGCATACTTGGCAGGCTCCAGCCTGCTTGACCCAAATCCCCAGACACCTGTCCTACCTGTTAGCACTTCAGTCATGGGGCTAGAAAGTCACTGGCTTATCTCTCTTCCCTCCCGGCTCTGAGGGATCAGTGGCGGGGATTGTGCATGCTCACTGTTTTGCTAGCTCCCAATGAAGGTTTGCTGGGTAAGCAGATAATTGAGGGGATGGGTGGATGGATGGTTAGTGACATGGAAGCATGGGGCTCCTGGGAAGAGAGAGGCACACAGATCCTAGAAGGCGGGACGGGCGGCGTGGAGGTGCGTGCAGTGCTCGGAGGGGGGAGGGGGGAGGGGGAGGGGCACTGACTGCCCGGCAGGCGCTCCCCAGACGAAAATACCGACGAGAAGGACCCTCACTGAGCATTTGCCTTTTAAACTGCAAAGCGTCAGGTAGACACACCCACCGATGAGGGGGAAATGGAGAGGGTTAGACAGGGCCCGTGCTGCAAGCAAGGCTGGGTCTGCGCTGAGTGACAAGGTGCACGAGCCGTGCCTCATCCCCATGCTGTCCCCACCTGAGGCCCCGAGTGGTGACAGAGGAGCCTCCAGCTTCCGGGATAGAAGGGGATTCACTGCAGGCTCACCTGTCCCTCCGGCTAGAGCCACTGTCCCCCTTTATGGGGTCCGCAGAAAATCTCACTTGGGAAAGAAAGGGTTCTGCTGCGTAGGAAGAGAGAGCCACCGGCACGGTTCAAGGTCTGAGGCAGCACCCCAGCTGGTGTTACGGCCCCAGCCCAGCTGCCACTGACTTCCACCTGAGGGACTCGGGACCTCGGCCCCCACCTCTGCCATCTGGGGAGCCTCCTAGTGCTGTGTCCCGACGGCCGTGAAGGTGAACTCCGCTAACACACAGCAGGGGCTTAGAACCACACGGTGAGCACTCCCTGCACCCGGGCCTTGATTATCTGTTCCCGGCCTGCGCCTCACCAGCTCTGTGACTTCAGGGAGCCGACTTAGTCTCTCAAGTGTGAGTCTCCACCTCGGGGCCATCGGGGGCCTAGTATGTGGCTCAAGGTGAAGAAGAGTATTAGGTCACAGGACGAAATCCGTGATGAAGAAGTGCCAGGGGAAAGCGTGTATGGGCACGCACTGCGGTCATGGCCTTGACCTGGGTGAAGAAGTGACTCACCGCGCAGGCCCATGGCACTTACACTTGGGGACGCCGTCCGTGCAGCCCACCGGGGACCGAGGAAGCCTCTCCAGCAGGCAGCCCAGCCTCCTCACCTGCTGCAGGCAGCAGTGGCGGGACCAGCAGCACCTAAGACCAAGGAGAACCCCTTAGTGCTCAGAGCTCCAGAGCTCCTGACGCCCGCCTCTGCCACACGCCCTGCCACAGTGAGAGACGCCGGTGCCCCCTTTCTGGGGTGCGTGGGGCCGACGTAGCCACAGGCCAGGGGCCGCCATGCACGGTTGCTCAGGGTGTGCACTGCACCAAATGCCACATCCAGGGTACACATCTTAACTCTAAAAGTTCTTTTTTTTTTTCAGTTTTACAATCCTGTTGACTGCAGAGATGTGTGATGAGCATAATTATTATAACAGTTTGCCAACAGATGGAAATAAGGGCCTTGAGGATGGGCACCGGTTTTAGTTTGCACAGAGGTACAACACCCTCACCGCAGCCCCACTCCCCGTGGGTTTGTACAGCAGTTAGTCCCACGCCCACAGGGCACCCACTGGGTCCCCAGCCTTGAAAGAGTGGAGTGGCTGCCTCGGTTATAAACCGAGAACTGCGTCTAGGAAAGTGTCCAGCAGAGAGCAAGACCTCGATAAGCCCATGGGAAGGACTCGGTGCCTTGCTCTGAGACCCGTGTGCTGGCGTGGCCGGGGCAGCGTCCGCCGGCCGTCGGTCTGTGAGCCTCGTCAGCCACTCAGCGCATTCCTCAAACGCATCTGCAGGCTGAGTTCCCCGTCACCTCCTCTGCTTCTCCCAACACACCGATTGTCCTGGGTGGGCTTTTTAGAAAATTGCCCTTCTCTTTCACTGTGTGAGCTCCTGCCGGGCACAGGTAGTGTGGTCTCCGTTCAGGCTGCATCGTTTCTGTCTCCACCGCCGAGCCCAGTGGCCGACACAGCAAGAAATGTGGGTTGAATGCACAATGAAATGAATGTTTCCTACCAATGGGGGGGTTCCTTCCTCAATGGGGGGGGTTGAATGAAAATCCTCCCAAAAGTGGCAAATGGAAACTTCAGATACAAAACTCACCAGTTACACTTAGAAGTCACTGAGACGCTAATTTCACTGCGGCCTCTGGTGGAACAAAGCAACTGGAGACCCTGGTTGCATATGTCAGTTGTTGCAGAATAGGCCGAGTTGGGGTCCTCCGCAGTGTCTTTGCAGAGTGACCCCCCTGGGGTGGCTGGAAAATCTGTGGTACAGCTCCAGACCCCCACCTCAAAAGCCCTGACTCTGCCTGGCTGCCCCTGTGTAAGTGGACGGCCTCAGAGAAGTGACACTCAGCCAGTCACAGGGAAGATGGGCCTTTGGTGGCGATGAGCCCCCCCCGAATGAGACAGTTGGGCACCATTTCTTTGTGAGGCTGGAGGTGACAGCCGAGGGCTGTGACCACACACTGCAGCATCTGTGTCACTGGTCTGCCACCCTTGCCCGGCCCTACCTGTCCAGGGCGTCCACTGGTTCGCCTTGTCCTCCTCGCCCACAGTAACAGCCGTAAGATTCAAAGTCCTCCGGGCACCGGGACGTCAGACAGAAGAGCATCTCTCCCAGCTGCGGCTCCCCACTCCATAGATGCGGGAAGGTGACCCTGTCACAAGCTGATGAGACACAAGGACTCAGGAGAGCCAGGAGCCCGGGACAGCATTCACAGAATGGGGGGCAGGGCTTGCCATGGCCGCTGACCCTCCTAGGAGCCCTGCGTCCTCTGCCTCATGCCTCCACTCCTCGGGAGACTGTTTTGTGACTGGTCCCCTGTCTAGGATGAGTCGTTCGGAGAGAAGTCTTCCTCACTGGGCTGACCCCTCATGACATCCCCTTGGGCACAGGGACTCGTCGGGAACAAAGATGCTCTTCAGGTGATATTTTGTTACTGAGTAGAGGGTCTGGCAGGACCCGGCCTCCTGGGGACTCCTGGTGGTCCCCGTTAGGCTGCCTGAGTTCAACAGGTTAGCAGACCCTGGTGGAGCTCGTCTTCAGAACCTTGCTTTTCTGCCTCCCTCCCTCTCTGTCTCCCTCTCTCCCTGCCCCATCCCCACCCTACTCCCCTCCTGCCCCACTGTGCAAACCTGGTCTTCACAGGTTTGCTGGGAAGAACTACAAAGGCAGAGCGCCCTGGACTCGGCCTCGCTCTCCAATGCAGCTGCCCCCATAGCCCTGCATCACGCATGCGGAAGACTGCCAGGCAGCACCAAAGTCCTCCTCCGTGTCCAGCTGCCTGTGGCCCAGCGCAGGTGCAGGACCTTAGGTAAGGCTCCTGAGGAAGGAGCGCAAAGCGGGGGGTCACTAAGACCCAGCGCTCAGTTCTTTCCAAGAAACCATGGCGTGGACGATGCCAGGCCCTTTCCCTCTGGGCCAGTGAGAGGGTGCGAGCGCTCAGTCAGGAGCTTCCTTCCCAGGCCCAGCCTCCTGGCAGCTGTGCCAACACAAGTCCGTCATCTTCTCTGAGTCTCACTGGCAAGGAGCTGGCACCTGCTAATCACGCCAGCTTGACAAGGTCACAGTGTGATACAGAGGCTTTTTAACCAGCTGCCCACATCCTAAGGCCCGGAAAGGACAGACAGTCACTCCTCTGCCTGGTTCTGCTCACCTCTTCCAGTTGTCAGCTCAGGACCACGTTTGACAGGTGACACGGCCAGCCCCGGAGACTCGGTGCTGGCAGGGACGACGGTTCCCCCTCCAGCTGTGGCGGCAATTTCTGCAGACCCTGAAAATGCACACTTTACAGTCCACGTTCAAAGAGTGACCTGAGTAGAGCAGATGGGCACAAGGTCCGGGCCCGAGGCAGACAGGGGTTTTGGAACCTCGAAGCACCAGTGTCCTCGACTGGGTTTGCAGATGTCAGAGCAGGCTCTCTGGGATCCAGGGATGCTACAGGTGTCCTGGATTTTCTCTGATAACCTTAAATCTGACGGGAGGCTGTGCTGGACCCTCAGGACGACATCTCGTGGGTGAGAACCGTCACCGTCAGGCCCACGTGTGTGTCGTGCTCACTCTCACGCACCCTCACAGTAAAGCCCCATCGCAGTGTTAATAAGAGACAAGAACGGTGGGGAATTGAGCCAACCCTGGTCCACAGTCATGTAGACAAGCAAGACTGTACGAACCCTGCAAACCCCACAACGGTGGCTCAGCGCAGGGTCCCCACCGTGGCCAGCAAGGCTGCCGTGACCTGGCTCTGCCTACCTCAGACAGGCTCGCTGGCCCCCTCGGGATCCCCCAGGCTCTCCTGTCACTCAGCCCCACCTGCCTTCCCAGCCGGAGGCAGCCGGGTGTCCAGCCCGCTCTGCCCCAGACAAAGGGGACCGCAGGAGCTGGGTCCCACCCATCCGCTGACCCGCTCAGTTCTGAGCACCGGTTGAGGCCTGGTCAGAGTTGCTCTAGAGATGCCCCGGGGAGACTGGAAGAAAGTATTTTCAAATATTAAAAGCGGCTGTCTTTACAATGAGAACTTGTAGGTGATGTAAACAGAAAATGAAATAGAGCTTTCTGTGGTTTTTTAAAGGCCTCCCCGTAGCAGGTGAGCTTCCATTTCTTTCTATGAATGGATCAATCTTTTCATTTCATTTGTCTTTCTCAGGTGCGCTAAAAGTGAACTGGCTTCCTGATTTCTCCCATTTTGAATCTGCTGCCTTTTCTCCAAGGCTTCCTCGGAGCACACCGGACTTAGTAAACATGTAGGAGGCAACAGCACAGTCAAAAGCGGGAGGAGCCAAGTGTGCTCACCTGGAGGGGTGGTGGTCCTCGCGGCTTCGGTGCCTCGCTGGTCTTGGAGCGGTTCTGCTCGCAAGAAAGAAGGACAGGGTCAACCCCAGCCTGTCCCACCTCCTTCTCCAGGGCAGCTCCCACCCACTGGGCCTGAGAAGCATCGTGGCCTGTGCTCTGCCTCTGGGGGCCTCACAGGGGAGCTGGTGTTGGCAGAGTCACCACTGAGCCGAAAAGAGACACCCCTCCCCTCACCCTGACACACACAGAGGCTTGCTGGGAAACTCAGCTGCAGGTGAGTCTGTTGAAATTACATATATAATAGACGGGTGGATGGATGGATGGATGGATGGATGGATGATAGATAGATAGATAGATTTTTTTTTAACAGAGAAGAAGGAGACAGAACTGTGTGACTCCCTTAGCTTGCTGCATGGCTCCAGGAAGGCAGCTGAGCCTCTATTTCCCCTCGAAATGAGTTTATTTACTTTTTACCAGTAGTTAAGCTCATACTATGCTACAGACTAAACGTCTGTGTCCCCCCAGGTCCACATGTCAGAATCTTAGCGCCTAATGAGTAGGTATGAGGAGGCGGGGCCTTTGGGGTGACTAGGTCATGAGGATAGACTCTCAGGAATGGAGTTAGTGCCCTATAATGGGACCCCCGAGAGCTCCATGGTCCCTTCCCCCACATGGGGACACAGCAGGAAGACCACCATCTACGGGTCAGGAGGGCCCTCACCAGACACTGGACTTCCGGCCTCCATGACTGTGAAAAGTACATTTCTGCTGTTTACAAGCCATGCAATCTGTGCTTCTTTGTCGCAGCAGCCTGGAGAGACTAAAGCTTACTACACGCCAGTAAGTAAGCTTTGGCTGTGGCTCCCAGAGCTTTGCTCGTACTAACTTAGTAGCAACCCCATGGGTGAGCACAGTTCTTGCCCCCTTTCAGTGACCAGAAAGATGACACACAGGAAAAGGGAGGTCCCCTGCTCTAGGTCACGGGGCCAGGAAGTGGCAGAATGCAAACCCAGGTCACCTGCTAAAGTTGACCCTCTGAACCACTATCTGGGCTACTGTTTTACTGCTGGCTGGCCCACAGAGAGCTAGAGATTGTCACTCCAAAGATGCTTTGGAGGGGAAGGAGCTGTTTTAAATTCTGTGTGCCAGAGATCAAGATTAGGGGGGTATTAATGAGCATCCGGCATAGGCATTTACTAAGGGGACAAAGAATCTGAATCGTTCCGAGCTGGGGCAGATGGTTCTCTTCAAAGACAAAATGTACGGATTCAGAAGTAACAGAATATGGCCCTGGACCACCCCAGGCAAATGACCCTGCCTCTCGGAGCTTCTCCTTTAGCTGTAAAGTGGGCGTGATCAAGGACCTTCCAGGACCAGGGAAGAATAAGTCACAGAATGTTGTACGTAAGGGCTTAGAAACACACTAGCACATTGAGGTCCTCAACAATGTCACCGCCCTGTAACCATTCTTAGTAATTAGTAAGCAGTTATTATCTGTGATTTATACTCATTAATACAGTATCCGTGGTTATTCGTTGCCACAAGCAAAGTGAATGGTTAGGTTAACCCTTCTGGTGCCTTCCTGGCTTAGATATTTCTAGGTAAGGGGTTGTTCTCCGTGAGTTACTGTCACATAATGCAAAGAAAGCAAGTCTTGCAGCCCCAAGTCTGGGGTGAGAGGCCAGCCCAACAAACCACTTGGTGAATGATTTTTAACTTTTAACATCCCAGAGCCTCAGTTTCCTACATTATCTGCAAAATGTAATAGTAATGTTTTTTCAGGGTCCTAATGAACAGTGGTCACCAAACTGAACACAAATATTTATTTAGATGTCCTTTGTTCTCTGCTGTCTCCTGAAGTCCCCTTGGCTTACTTGTCCTGAAGAGAGTGGTCAGTTGGTCGCCTCTGGTCTCAGCAGACACTGTGAAGAGAACCCACCCCATCACCCATCCGTTATCGATGACCAGCCCAGCCCAGCACCTTGGCCAGGCCAGGGTCGCCTGCAAACAAAATGGGCTGGGAGCGGAGGCACCAAGGAGAGGAGGCCACGGCAGTCTGGTCGGGCAGTGAGCGTGTCGGGGCCTTGGTGCTCAATCCGGTTCTGACTCAGTGGCCAAGGGGGCGGATCAGGGTCAGTCCCGTGTTCAGGCGAAGAAACCAGCCGGTGGGAGAAAGAGCTAGCGTTTACTCCGATTGGGTCAGATCCCTGTGGGAGGGAGTTCATTCCAGAAGGAAGCAAGGACCCACCGGGGCCTGAGTCCCAGCCCTTCCACCCAGTGCCACGTCTCAGACAACTTTATCCATCTCAGTTTACCAACTCAACATGCAGGTCTGTACATTAAGTGAGATTATGTGTTCTAAGCTAGTCATCTGGTGTCCTGCGTGTGGTTTGATGGGATGTGCCACTTTACTGTCCACAAGAGCTTCTGGAAGAAGGTGCTCGTCCAGAACCTGCCCATGCTCTCCCTCACTGAGTCTTCTGCCGCCCGAAAGGACAAGTATCATCCCCCTTTTCAGGGGTGGTAAACGATGGTCGGGCCCTTGGCGAGTTTTTGTAAATAAAGTTTTATTGGCACACAGCCACAGCCATCTGGTTATGGCTTGTCTGCAGCTGCTTTCCTGCTACGATGGCAGAGCTGGGCAGCTGTGACCGAGACCCTCTGTCCAAAACGTTTGCTATCCAGCTCTTTACAGAAAGCTCGCCAATCCCTGCTTTATGCTTGGAGAGGTTCAACCACTCTGCCAGAGTCACAGCTAAAAAGTGGGAAAGCTCAGAATCTCCCCCAAATCTGCCTGCCACCAACCCATAATGGCTTCGTCCCGTGGTGGTGACAACACTCACAAGCCCTGCAGCTCTTCCTCACAACCCGTCCCGCCTGCCCCTGGGGGGCAGTGTCGACCCTGCATTCAGGCCACCGCCTCTCTGGAGGGCGTGTGTGTGTGCACGGACTAGGTCTGGGCTGTGAGTGCGTGTGTGCTGGGGGGCAAAGGTGTGTGTACCCACTGCCCCTCCCCAGTTAGACTCCAGACTCCGTGAGGAAACCTGTTTCTTTCCCACGTTCCCAGGTTCCTGCCACAGGGGACGGGGGTTCAGGCTGAGGACAATGGACAATGGACCAGCTGGGGATTATTTGGAGGTTGTCTGATGGGGTGAAGTCTGCAGCATTTCTTTAATTCAGAATGGAAGTCACTGTGGCTGCTGCGTGGGCAGGGCATCTGGTGGAGCCTTGGTGGAACATAGCTGCCACATCATCTCTTTTCTAGATCTGGACCCAAAGGCACAGGCTGTCCTGGAGCTGCTGAGGATGAGATACCCTTGGACTTGGACGTGGACATGGCCGGGGGTGAGTCACACCACAGGCCTCTGCTCCTCTCCTTACTGCAGCAGCAGTGGCGGCCACAGGGGGGAGAAACAAACATACTTCTGGGGAGACATCGGGCACCGTGATCCCCTGAGGTACAGGGTGGCCAGATTTAACACCTAGAAATACAGGGTGCCCAGCTGACCAGGGATTTCAGATGAGTAACAAATACTTTCTTAGTCTAAGTACGTCCCAGAATTTGCATGGGACATGCTTATACTTAAAAGTTGTTTGCTGTCCACCCACAGTTCAGCTTCAGATGGTCGAGGGTGGGCATTCTGCACTTTACCTGACAACCCTACCACGCTGGAGCCAGACTGTGGGCGAAAGCTGAACAAGTAGAGGTTTGGGGTCAGGTGGGAGGAGTGGTTCTGGAATGTACTGAAGCTGACCCACTGCAGGCCCAGGCAGGGGGCGTTTGAGGGAAGGTAATTCCAGCAAGTAGTCTGATGCTATAATCAAAAGGGGTGTTTGGGCCACACACCTGTCCCTCCGAGCTCACCTTCTCCTGAGAGGGCCACCAGGCTGCTGTCTGTAGGCTCCACAGGTTCCACTGAAAATAGAGAGCCCCCAACAGCAATGAGTGGTGGACGCAGGGTCAGCAGCAAAGGTCTTGACCAAGAACAGACTGGGTAGGGACCAAGACGGAAAGGGTGCCGTTCCTCTATCTTACGGTTCCCTGCCTCTCGTACACCTCCCAGAATGCAGGGGTGCCCAGAAGCCCCCAGCTCAGGAGGGACTCCAGGTGGCTCTGGGTTCTGGTGGAGGAGGTGACGCTATGGAACACAGGCTGTGGCAGCGACAGGGCTGCAGGACAAACCCTGAAGGACTGTGGCTGTGGAGCATGGCATCCTGACTGCAGAAGGGCGCTGTCCCACGGGGAGGCAGGATGGCAGAGAGAAAGGAGGCTGGGCTCAGAGAATATGTGGAGATGCAGCACACACCCACATGTATGCACACACATACACGTGCATGTGCATGCACCATGCACATGCCATATCACATGTGCACACACCCAGAAATCCACCACACATCAGCTCCTTCTTCACCAAACACTGCACAACTATTTCTGGGAAAGAGACCCCAGCTCAGGAAACGAGGGATTCTCTGCGAAGGTGCACCTTGAACTTCCCACCCCAGGTGCCCATGGTGTTGGACTGAGAGATCGTGGGAACTTTGGTGAACTAGGAATAACAGGCATATGATGCATGCGGATCCACCAGCTCCCATCAGGTCCAAGTGAGAACAGCCTCCCCGGGAGGACTTACCTCCAGGCAGAGGGGTCGTCAGCTCCTTCCTGCTGGTCGTCTCTGCAAAGGAAACCCACAGAGAGCGGTGGTTGTGTGGACTGTGAGAGGGAGCTGGCCTTGGCACCCGGAGATGCACAGCACCCACACCATGGTCCCACAGCAGCTCCTGCCCCCACCGTCAACCCCACCAAGGATGCAGGGCCGGGTTCTTCCTACCTGGAAGCTGAGCCAGGCAGAAGGAGGTGTCCAGCAGATTCAGGGAGGAGTTGATCGTGGACTGGGCCAAGCACTCAATGGCAGCCTTGTCGCAGGTACACAGCAGGCGCTCACAGGGGTCTCTGGACTCTGTGCATGGAGCAAGGGCAGAGCCAGCTGAAGCGCTCACTTGGAATTCCAAGAGGAATGCAAACTCCGAAGCTGAACCCCGCTCTGCCCGGCCCGTACCCCACACCTCCCATGGTCTCCTCATCTCATGTGTCTGCTCCACCCCTTCAGGGGTTGGGTGGGTCCAGTCTGGACCCCTGCGCCCTCCTGTTCTCACACACTCACACACGACCCATGGACCATGTTATGGGCTCTGCTGTCAACCTATTTAGAGTCTGCCGTGTCTCCCCACCTCCACTCCACTGTCCTGGCCACTCCGTCATCTGCTGTGTGGGCCACGACAGTGGCCTCCTAACAACTCCCGCCCCCTCCCTGACTGCTTAGTCTGGTCTCACCAAGGAGCCGAGTGGTTAATTCTTTGGAAACTCGGGTCACACCATCATGTCATGTTTTCTGTGTTCAGAACCTCCCAACTCAAGGTCAAAGCCACTGATCCTGCTCCTTCTCAGGCCTCACCTCCTCCTCCCTCCCCACCCCACTCCTGACTCACTGGCCCCCCCATTTCTCAAACACGCCTGGCACCTTGAGCCTCGGGGCCCACGTGTGCTGTCCATCCACCTGCCCTGCCGTTCTCCCTGATACGCCTCGTCTCTGCCTTTGCTCAACTGTCGTCTCCCCTGGGAGGCTGCGCTTGACCTTCTTGTTTAAACAGGTGCCCCACCCCAGCCTCCCTGTGCCTTTCCCTGATCGACTGTCCTCTGCAGCTCTTGTCACTCTAACAGACTGGATCATTTGTTCTGGGCATTGTCAGTATCAGCTGATGATGAAATTACAGAATGTCAGGATGTCCCCAGTGCCTAGACACTTGTCTTGGACTTGGTGTAGGAGCTCAGCACATTTCTTATGGATGGATGGAAGGAAGGAAGGAAGGAAGGAAGGAAGGAAGGAAGGAAGGAAGGAAGGAAGGAAGGAAGGAAGGAATAGTGCCTTCAGTGTTCACTGTGTGCCTCACCTAGTGACTTACACCCATGCCTCTCCTCACATGTTTCTGGAAGCTCCTTACTCCAGCTTGTCCTTGTCGCCTGGCCGGTGGACTCCATCTCACCTGGATTCAAACCCTTGCTCTGCTACTTAGCAGCTGTGTGACTCTGAACAAGCTATTTCTCTGCGCTCTCCTCCTTGTCTGAAAGCTGGGAATAATGACTCCCGTCTAACAGGTTCTCTAGAAGATCAGAGTTGGGGTGTATCAGCGTATGGCACATAGTGGGCACTTCCAGAGGGTGGCTCCGAGACGGTACTGCCAATGCACCATGCTCCTCCTCCCTCTCTGCCTTTGTCTAGTCTGCTGCTTCTGCCCAGAGACATGAAACAAAATTCCTGGAGTCACACAGCGAGCAAGGAACACAGCTGATCCCTACAAACCACCACCAGAGCCGCCTTCGCACATCACAGCTTCTCTCTCCACTTCCACCATTTTGTTCTGAACATGCTCTGGTCACCATGCGAACTCCTTCACGAGCATTATTCATCTTTCACAACAAGTCTCTGAGACAGATTTTCCCCTTCCCGTTTGAGGTTCAGAGGAGGTAATAATTTTCCCCATGTCACGTGATAGGTGAGTAACAAACTATTTGCCCTTCCCAAGTTCCCAGGGTTACTACAAATATGAAAATTGTAAATCAAATAATCTGCTGATTAACTATTGTGTCAACTCAAAGCATGTATTGCACATCTACTGTGCAAGGTATAGGTGCCATAGAAACTGTGGGGCCCTCCATATAGATGCCAATGATGTCAGTGGTGATGATGATGAACCTGAACTCTGGGAGCCCTCCGCCTGGTTCTCTCTGGGGCCTCCGAACAGTCTTCTCTCGCCCAGCACCCCGAGGACACCTGGGGGTGCTCACCACATGTGATCTTCTTGCTGACGCAGTTGACATCTGTGCTGATCTTGGTGGGGTCCTGGAGACAGTCCATCTCCGCAGCCTCCTCGTAGCACCTGCGGTGCTGGAAGCAGCAGCTGCGGCGGGAAGGGGAGGGGTCAGGAGGGAGGCAGGCGGCCTGCGGTCACCCCGCGTCTCCTGATGATTTCTGGTGGCGGTCTGTTTCAAACAGTGCACTCTCACACATACACACACTCACACAATATTTGAATTATATTGCCTACGCAGCAGGTGCCGTTATTATTGTGAGCTTTACATATGTGAGGGCTGAGACACGTGGGGCTCTGCCAAGGCCAAGGTTGATCACAGAGCATAGCTGGCATTCAATGTGGTCAGCTGGCAGCAGCACAGAGGAGGCCAGTGGAGACCAATGGAAAGGAGAAAAAATATACAGGCAGCTGATGACCTTGGGCAAGTTACTAAATTTCTCACATGACCTAAGAATTTTGAGGGGGGTGTTCAAGAAATCATTCATGTAAATCCTGCCATGTGGTAGGTGCTCAAAAAATGGTAGCAGTTAGTTTTGCAGTCTGGTGTGCAAGTTCAAGGTGGCAATAATACCCTGTCCTCCAGGAGTTTGGAAATCCCCATCCCCATCAACTGAACAGTGTAATGTAATTGAAGTTGAGCATGACCCACAATCCTTCCAGTTGCTCGCCATCAGCACTTTGATCATTCTTTTAGGGTTGGAGACAGTAATGAATTACTGCTTCATTGCTTTGACTTCCAGGTTTTCAAGGTGTTTTAATAATTAAAGGAAGTGGTGAGGGAGAACCCGAAAGGAAAATGTTGTCAGGAATGGCCCTGGCACCATGTGCCCACAGAACCAGCCTCTCCCTTTCTGCAGGTCAGCGAGCTGGCTCCAGGGGTCAGTTTGCTCAAGGTCCCAGAAATGGGACACTGCTCCTTCCATCCAGAGGTGACCTATATCTTCTCTTGGAGATTTGGCGATGGGACAGATCTGTGTTGTAATTCCAAAGCCATTAGTCCTTGTCAGTCAATTCTAATCAGTCCTTGTCAGTCCTTTCTAATCAATTCATTTATTTCTTTTTCATCTCTGAAAAGCAATTAGAAGTTGACCACCTGGTTAGTTAATTTACTGAGCTCCCAGTGCCAGCTGCTGGGGTCCGTGCTGGGGCTACATAGCGATACTGCTGTGCAGACCCTCCTCCGAGGACGTTGAATGGGAGACACGTGTGTCCACAGAGGCTCCCACATGGTAGGAGCAAGAAAGGGGAGCCCAGATGTTCGGGAACGTGGAGGTTGCCCCGATGCATTCACTGAGGGGTCCTAGGTGAGCAACACCAGGGAGACCGCAGGCTGCCCCGTGGATTCCAAAGAGGAATCCGTCCCACTTCTGTGAGTCTGTGCGGATGAGAACACACACGCCCTCACGCTGGATCTGGGTACCAGTGGGGTGTGGACGTGGTTCCGGGAGCAGGTCCAGACCTGCATCCCATCTCTTGCTTCCATACTACTGCTGCTGCTGCTGTTGCTATGGTTACAACCACTGTTACTACCACTGCAGCTTTACTGCAGTACATAGTAAATAGTAATAGTAACTGTTCCTATTAATGCTACAACAGTAACTGTGCCTCCTGTTACTACCAGCACTTTGCTATTGTGCCACCATCGCCACCACTCCCCCGCCGCTGCAGCTCTGCAATGACTGTTACTGCTGCTGCGGTGGTGGCTGCTGTTAATGCTGCCGTCATTTGTTACTATCACTACTCCCGCTCCAGCCCTTCTGCAACTTACTATTGCTTACTCACTCGTACTCTCGAATACTTAATAAGCCAGGCAGAATCCCAGCCTCTTTAACTTGTACTTGGCCATTTAATCTTAAATTATATCTCTGTAAGTTTGGCATTATTATTACCTCTATTTTATAGGTAAGAAACTGGAGCACAAAGAAGTTCAATAACATGCCTCAGGTCACAGAGCCCATAGGAGCAGAGGACTGCAATTACTGGGTCGCAGGTGACATGTCAAAAAACCCTAACAGATTCCACCGATTTTTCCTAAAGGACCCTCCAGCTGCCAGTGTCTGGCTGGCGCATCCTTGCTAACACTTGATGCCTCTAAGATTACAAATTCAACTGCCAGTCTGATGGTACCTGGTTCTAATTCGCTCCCCTTGTTTGTGAGGAGGGAGGGCATCCTTATGGGGCACTTATTTATATTTTCTCTGTATTCCTCACTAGACACGTACCTCTCTGAGGCAGGGATGGCATTCTGTTTATATTAAGCATGGTGTTCACATATTATTGGTATTTGATACATGTTTATGGAAAACTGAACAGAAACTTATCCTGAATTAAAGGTAGTTCCCAGGATTTACTATGCTTGGGAGCCACCTGGACAGATTATTTAAAGTCCAGACTCCCAGGTCCTCCCTAAAGGTCATCTGAGTCACTAGATCTGGGCGCGGTCTCTGGAACCTGCATTTTAGCATGCCTCTGGGTGGTGGACTCGAACTCTGGGAAACTAAAATAAAGTTTAGCATACTGGACATGACATAGGATCTTGACAACTTCCTAGAATGGGAGCAGATCACAGACTCACTGCAATTTAAAGGTGAGGAGAGTGGTCACCCCGCAGGGAGTTTTCTGTGTCCCTGCTCTGCTGAGAACCAGCCCACCTGCCACAGCCTGCCCCGGGCTCCTGCTCACCTGTCCGACGCGTCCACGGGGAGCCCTTCCATCTCAAACCTGCAGGCACAGCCGTAGTCTTCCAGGTCCCGGGGGCAGAGGCCAGCCACGCACCTCATGCCGCTGACGAACTGCAGCAGCGCGGGGAAGTTGGTGAAGACAGCCTGCAGCCAGGTGAAGTGGGAGCCCAGGCAGTCTGAAGGAGGGAGAGCAGGCCGGGCGCTGGCAGCCAGAGCCCCGGAGGGAGCCCTGACCCGTGACTTCCTACAGCTTGAGTGGCTGGTGCCTCGTCAACCTACTAGGCACCTGCTATGTCCTCAGGACTGTGTTGGACGATTAAAGTGGAGTAGGTTTATAAGCTGGGGTCCCTGCTGGTTGCCCACCTAACAGCCACTATCCCTTCTTCTCTGCCAACAAAAGTGACAGTACTCAAGGAAGGTGAGCCTGTTCCCCAAGGCCCTGGGGAGGTCACATGGTTGCTCTCAGCTGGCCATGGTCATCCCATGCTTCCGTGATGGTCTAGGGCTGAGCACCTGAGTACGGAACCCAGATGTGGCCAAAACAACTTAACGGAAAGTCTGCGAGAGGCTTTGGAAAATCCTTTTTCTTTAATAAAGAACAAAGGCATATAGGGAGATCTTTTTGATCTAAACCGTTCTCCTCCCTTGAATGTGGGTGAGGATATGCTGGCTGGAGCTGCAGCAGCCACCTTGCAGCCATGAGGTTCCACACCTAACACTGGAAAACCAGTATGTCCAGGGGAGCAATGGGCCAAGACAGAATGAGCCTGCTGGGTCTCAGACCAGCGTTGAGCTACTTACTATGCCAGTCCTGGAGCCTGCAGATGGCTTATGCGAGATGCTTAAAGAGCTTTATTATTTAAGTCACGGCCAGTTTTCCGAATGGGTCCCAGATGATAGATGACACACACTAGAGAACTGTACGTCAGTGCAGGAAGAGAAGGGCCACAGACAGTAGTGATTTGGGGGCACCTACTGTGTTCCTGACACCGTACTTGAAACAGCACAGTAGAGCGAGTGATGCTTTAGAAAGCATTCACGTTTTCTCTTGTCCTGTAAGCCTCATCTTAATCCCATGAGGCAGGCGCTATTCTGTCACCTTTGTTTCACAGGTAAGATGCTGAAGGTCAGAGCCATGCCCGAGGCATCCGTCAGCAACAATAACTTGCCCTAAACAAAATGGGCATGAAAACGGCGTCCAGGTCTCTGGCTTTAACCCTCATGGCCTCCCCTCTGCATGCCCGCCTTTCTGACCCCTGCGGGCCAGTGAGGGCTAAGTGTGGGGCCGAAGGGCACGAGGTCACAAGGGGGAGCTCGGGGGCATCCAGAGTTGCCTGTGAGGCCCCATGGACCCCCAGGACCCAGCCCTGAGGGCTCCAGTTCCTTCCTGCCTCACGGAAACTTCCTTCCCGGGCTTTATTTCGGCGTGTCCTGCTCAAAAACATGAAGCAATGACTCTGCGCTAATGCGAAGAGCCCTGCTAGGATGTGTGTGTGTGTGTAAACACATGTTTTCATTCAAAAACTTGCAGGCACCTACCCCCAGTCATGCATGCAGTTAGATGCAGTCTACGCCCAGTATTGTCTAATTCAAGAGCAGTTCGGAGTCTTTTGGCTCATGTCCATCATAACATTGTCTTATATTTTGAGTAATTTAAGGAATCAATGACAGAAACCACTATGGTAATTAATAGTTGCTTGATAGATATGTTATTGGTAAATGGGATGCTTGATGCCCATTGGAATTCTTAGGCCTTATGCACAGTTATTAGTTGAGGAGAGAAGGTAAAATTACTTTGGTGCGGGGAGACTAAGCTCTGGATTCAGGGGAGAACTTCCTTCTTTCAGCTGAGCGGCCTTAGGTGAGTCCCCTAACGTCCCTCGGTTTCCTCCCCCGCAGGATGGGTTACCGGGAGACTCAGTGAGGCACCCTGCACAAAAGGTGCTGCCTGTCTGCTCAAAGCCTGGGTCACGTTGTTTGGAGCTGGCTGGGGCGGCCATGGACATGCAGGGGGCAGAGACCAAGGTCATTCCCTGAGATTTGCCCCACTGTGAGCCAGCTCTGGGGGATATAGTCTCATTCAGACCGAACTTACCGAAAATTTCGGTCGCGCTTTCCACATTTTTAAACATGCCATTGAAGAGCGTGGCATCTAAGTGGAAGGAAGAGACAAATTACAGATCCTGGTCTCTCCCCTTCCCTGTCCACCCCTCCCCCAGTGAAAAGTAAGTAAAGACCCTTTCTCTTTCTCTAAGGATACATTTGACCTGGGGTTATCGGTCCAGTAACACGGTTACCATAGAGACTGATAAAATGTAACAACACCTGTGTTACTAGGCAACGTTGCTGAATGGTTAAAAATATAAACAGGAACAAAACCCCTGGGTGGTAAGAGATACCCGGACCTGTGGGAACTGTAGGTGAGCCGTAAATACCAGGTGGGGTGACTCCTGGGCAGGCCCTGGGCACCCCAGAACCTGCAGCTGTGAAGTTGTTACTAGAGACACTGATGTCTATGGAGAAGGAAGCTTCTAGGCCAGGAAGGGTCCCGGGGCTGCCCCACCTGGGGCTCCTGGACTCTGTGTTGTCACTGCCAGGCCACCGTCACTGAAGAGGGATGGCCGCCCTGACCGTCTGGCACACAGTTTCCTGGCCTAGATTTTTTTAAGTGCCAAGTGTGGCCTGCGAGTTTAAAGTTCTACTCGGGACGTCCTGTGGGCATTGGCCTCCCCTCGGGGGTCATGCCACTCGGAGAGAGACCACCTGTCACTTGGGTCTGGGCGGGACCGGTCACTGACAGCAGGAACTGTGTGCAAATAATTTGGCCGACTCGGCTCGCCTCCCTGAGAGGTCAGACAGGAGCCTTGAACTCGGGGCTGACAGGCAGCAAGTTCAATGCCCCAAGTTCTTCAGTGATGTCCCTGTAAGAACCCACCCAGGAAGTCCTTGTAACCCTCCCCACCGAGAGACTCCCCCTCCCCCGGGGACCTTACGGGTCCTCTGATAACTGCACGACAACGTCCCTCTGCCTGCGGAAGCTCAGCGCTCGGGTGGAAGCTAACACCCCAGTTACCTCTGACCCCACGATCTGACCCTTCACTTCCTTTCGGTTTCCCTTCCAGCTGCCATTTCTCTTTCGATGGGAATTTTTAGTGTTTTGTCTCAAAGGAGAGACTAGTGGAGGGTCAGACTGTTGAGAGAGAGGCTTTTGAATCCCTTTACCTACAGACCTTGCCACAGTAAGTGGTTTTCGGGTATATTCAAAAGAGGACATGTTCTCTGCCAACATCCTAGGCCATGTTCTATCCAGCTAGGTCTCCTGAGAAAAGTTCAGAGAGCACTTACTGATGTTTTTGGAGAGTCCTGGAGGCAGCTCCTGCGGCCGGTGGGGGGTGTCCAGCGGGTGGCTCCCTGAGCAGGAGGAGGTGGGATCAGCATGAGCACGGCCACCACCTGCCAGCTGGGCACGGCCGGGGCGACAGCTGGGGTGGTGGCCGGATGCTCGTCAGTTCAGTCCTACGTACATCTTTCCAGCACCTGCGCTGTGCTAGGTCTCGGAGGCAGCTCTTGAAGACAGCAATGCAGACTTTCCAAGCAGGAGGGGGCTTCAGTGCATTTGGGATCTCACCCCAGAGTCTGGGAAATTGCTAAGGTGCATTTGCCTCCCCACCCCAGAAACTATTTCATAGCACACCTGCCCACAGCTAAGAATACTGGGGCAGCAACTGGAAACTATTCCCCACTCCTAGATAATGACTTTGCAGGTATTCTTGGTGCAGCGGGTCACTGAGTTCCTGCTCTGGAGGTGGGAGATGGTCCCGTGGCTGAGATGTGCTCACAGGGGACGCTGGGCACCCGCACACTCCTCTGTACATTCAGGATATCGACGCCCACACACTTTCATTAGCAACCGACAAAGTCACCCTGGCTTTGAAATTGCTTGTCCCAGAGGACTGCATTAGCTCACGCACCCAGTCCAGAGGGTAGCAGGGGGTGGGGGTCAGAAGAAATGTAAGGATAGACTTCACCAGAACAAAGCTGCTTCTGATTCCGTGAGAGAGGAAGGTGACCGGCATTCGTACTGTTCTTGCCTCAGTTGGCGTGCACCCCGCCTCTCCCCCTCTGCCTCACACCGTGAGCATTGTCACAGAATTTTACAGGCAACGAAACTGAGACTCACTGACGAAGCTCGGCAGCTTCTGACCAGGCACCCAGGCTTTCCTTTCCCTGGTCCCCACCCAGCTCGGCCAAACCACCTCCTACCTTGACCTTTATCTCCTGTGATGCTGAAAAGCTTACGTTTTCTAGACACCAAGCTACCTCTTGTCACCCTGCCTTTGCTGTGCCCTAGGCCTGGGGTGCCCGCTCTTTCGTCTGCTCCACTTTGCATTGCCGGCTCTTTCCAACATTTTAGGGCTCCACGCCAAGTTCAAGGAGCTGCACCTGGCCCCCGACCTGGGCGCACTGGGGACATTTTCCCGTGCTCCCCTAATGCCAGGGTTCCTTCTCTCCTTGTGCTTATGACCTTGTGTGGCAGTCTGTGTACTTGTTTCCCCACTAAACTGGGGACTCACTGAGGGTAAGCATGTCGACAATGGACACACAATCGCTGTCTGTTCAACGAATGAATGAGTGTACCATGGCTGAACCAGCCAGCACAGGGCCAATGAGTGATGCCCATAGGATCACAGACTCTCAGTCCAGTAAACAGCAAATTTAGGAGACGTTATCTCTAGACAGCAGAAGGATAAGGTCTATTAGTGGTTACCAGTGGGATGTCCTAGTATTGAGTATTGTACCCTGAAGATCCATCAGGGTACATGCATTCAGCCTGCTTTTGCCTGCCCCCCCTCCGCCACCAGCCAGGGGTTCTGGTTCCCTCAGAGGACAATGGGAAGTGAGAACCTACATCTCCCTATGCCACGGGGCTGGTGCAATAGACTCCATCGCAAAGCTCCCTGAGGGGGTCCGAGGGTACCTCCCTCGCCCAACACAGATCTGCCTCCATCCCGCCGGCCAACTCCTGCCTTCACAGTGAGGAGATGAGGGAGACCAGCGCCTGCCCCGCTGTGTGGAGGGGCAGACACACTGGCTGCACCTGGCCCTGGCCCAGGGGGGTGGCAAACACCCGCAGAGAGGCCCTCTTCCCAGTGGGGCACTGAGACCCTCCCCATGACACTCACACCTGACGCCTTGTCTCGAACTCCCACTCACACCGCACGGGGCAGCCCTGAGAAGGCACAGAAAGCTGTAGAGCACTTCACGACTTCGTCACCAAAAATGAGGCAGGTCAAGATCATGCCTGGAACTTGATCCAGCTGGGCGGAAGTCCTGGTCAAGTTTGAGTGGCTGACATACAAGCCCCAGCCACACTAACAATCAGGTCCCGATTCATGATAAAAATGATTTTGTAAGGGAAAAAATTATACACGGAAGAAATAATGAATGAAGGAGCCCAGCAATTTCTGGAAGTGTCTGATCTGCTCTGGCCTGGAAAGAAGGTCTAGGGTGGTGTTTGGAAGCATTTGGACCTGGCAGAGACTCTGAGTCTTACGTGAAAAGGTTATACTGTCATTTCAACTTCCAAGCTCCTGGGTAACAAGCAAGCCTCTTGTACTGTTCGCTAACTTGGGTCATAGTCAAGATTAGTGGTCAGTCATATCATGGACCTGTTTGCATCCCTCTTATTACTGTCTTTGGGAGGGAAGCTTACAGGGGGAGAGTCCAGTGCGTTGGTCCAGAGTTCACCTGGATATGAGAAGGGAGGAGAAGAACACCTGGGCAGCTCATGACTCCAGGGCCCAACCCTCTGCGGGAAGGAGAGCAGTGAGCTGGGGTGATGGAGAGCTACACAAACGTACAAACAAGGAAGAAAAGCGGACGGCGCCAGAAGACTCCGAGTTGAAACCAAGACTCCAAGAGACCTTGAAATGACTACTCCAGGCTGCCAAGAAGTGTGCTTCGGTGACCAGGTTTTGGTGGCATGGGACCCAAGTTTGGAATATGGGGGTTGTGTGTTCACCCTTCATACTGGCCATACCTACAAAGGGGACAAGAGCTGTTGCCTGTCCAGAAGGCCACTCCAGGGTCATCAGCAAAACAAGGGACAGCGGCCCATGAGCAAAGGGGAGAGGGTGCTACCAGGTGGAGACAAGATTGCTCACTTTGCCTTGGTTCTTCCTGGCACCCACCTCATCCGTCATGCATTACACAGCGTGCTCGAAGATATCCGTTGAGTTAAACTTACAGCTTATCATTAGTGTTTGACTTCCATCGCTCATCAGGCGAGGGGATAAAGCAGTCACGAGCAAATCAGATAAAGTCTGGCAATATGTCCCAGTGCTCAGCTTAAGTAATTATATACTAAGCCAGAAGCGCAGTGTGAAATACCAGTACTCACCCACTCCTGGGGCCACCAGCATCCCTATGAGGAGAAGCACAGCCATCGCCGAAGAGCCCAGGGTGGGCCTGAGGCGTCAACTGGAGCGCCCTCCTGGGAGAGAAGCCAGTGGAGTATGACAGGTCTGCTTCCAGAAACGCCACAGAAGCCCTTGTCCCACCAGGCAGTGAGCTCAAGGAGAAGGCCTACAAGGCTTTCTGTCCCAGCTTTGCCCCTAACTAACACTATGCCACCAAAGACTCAGTTTATCTATCTGTAAAATGGGAACTTCACTGGCTGCTCCCTGAGGGCATCTTCCTTCCTTCCTTCCTTCCTTCCTTCCTTCCTTCCTCCCTCCCTCCCTCCCTCCCTCCCTCCATTCCTTCCTTCCTCAGGCACATTGCAGGGATCTGGGAATGCATGGTGAGGAACACATACTCCTCACCTGTGACTCATTCACAGACTAATGGGGAAGAGAGGCAATTTAGCAAATGACTCACTTTGACTCTGGCCACCTGAATTTCAAATGACCCATGCTGGTGACACAGCAGAATTCTGAATACCTATTTAGCAGGCTGACTTTCACCCTTCGTACCATCACTCGACGTAAGTAAATTTGGCCACGGCGTGCTGGTGCTGCCTGCTAGCAAATAATGCTCCAGCTTGCTTCCTTTCCTTGGCTTTTCAGCAATTGGGACACTTTGTGGCTGTCCCAGGGGTTAGAGAGTCGTGTCTCAGGGGCAGCCAGGGCAAGGTGGGCAGCGTCCAGGAACCCACCCCATTTCAACTGCAGCTGCCCTGTGCTCAGATCAGCCGCGTTAACTGCAGCAGGCACTTCCTGTGCTCGACCGTGTATTCCATAGGGAAGGAGAAAACTTCCAAGACCAGAGGGATTTTGGAAGGACGTTAGCTTCCCGGGACCGTCCCTCCTTAAGGAATGCTAGATGGGTGGTTGACTGCGACTCTCCTGCCTTGGAGCATGTTTTTAGGACAATGTGTGAGGGATAACGCAGTGGGACCACGTTACCCTAGTGGCACACTCAGGGCTGCTTGGAAAGGTTGTACATGTTGTGCAACGTGCAAATTATTGCACTGAGCAAGGAAGCAGGGCCTGGTGTTAAGGGGGGTGTTCCAGAGAAGAAGATGCATGTGAGGAGGCATGTGAGGATGTGAGGTCACTACTCTATGAACCTCCCCCAGGGCCTAGCACAGCTTGTGGTGGCTGTGAACTAAGTGTTTGTTGAATGAATGCAAAAAAGCAAGGTGGGAATTCTTTGGGATTCTCACTCAGCTGAAGCATTCTCTAATATTCTGGTTATGATCTGGTTTTTCTCAGGCCGAGTGCTCTGCCTGTATTCTTTTTGAGCCATACAAATTCTTAGAGCAGGTCCACTTTCAAGGTTAGGCAGGCTCTTGGTTGTGCAGAGGTTCAGATCTGATGAATGACTCCGTATCACGGCCACGAATCCCGAGTAGAAACTAGGGGTGAGGCCTGGGATGTCTCTAGATGGAAAGTGACATGCCCTGGAAAGCCTGTGCATGAGTGAGCAGCTGGTGGCCTTTCAGAAGACCCTGCTGAAGTCACACCCACCTGCCTGAGGCTGATGTCCCTACCTGGCACTTCCTGAGTCAGGCTTTACATTGTTACCAGCACACAGTGAGGGAAGCCGGGCTGTCTGAGCCCGGAAGAGGCACTGGAATCATTGAGTCGAAACTCTCATTTCGCTAATGAGATCGTTGGGCCCAGAGAATGGTGATCTAGGGTGAAAATATCCCCCTTCTTTCGTCTGGGGCTCATTATCATGAAGGCACCTGCCCTAGTAGTTTGTTGTGAGAAAGGAATGAGTGAATCTAAGCAGGACAGAAATGGCTCAAAAAACATTCACAATGACAACCACCGTGTCTGGCACTCAGTAAAGGTTCAATAAATAGCAGTTCGTACAAGAACCCCCCCCCCCCCGTTCCTTGTGGACGTCGAAGCCCCTGTTAGGCGACATGGGGGCGGTGGCCAGTTCAGCACGGTGCCTGTGCTGTTTCTTTCTCATGTGACTCTCATTTCAGGGAACATTCCCCCGCTTTGTCCTGATACTCAGAGAAGACAGGCCGGGGGTGGTGTTTATTGGAATCGCAAATACGTTTATTGGATTTTCAGGCATGTATTTATTAGAATGCAAATGAGGAAAAGTGACCTTATTACAGACACACCCTTGCATCAGCTCTAATATGTTTTTTTTAAGTAGGTCATGGGAAGGGGCGTCCTTGCTGGAGGGCGCCGAGTGGCAGTTCGGGAGGGTGGAAAAGGTCTGGAGGTGGCTGCTGGGCGGGGCGCACAGCCATGTGAGTGTGTTCACCGCCGCTGAGCTGCACGCGCAGAAGTGGATACCGTGGTCAGTCTCGTGTTGTGCATATTTTCCCACACAGAAACAAAGGAGGTCAGACCCTGTTTCTTTAAACACCCCCTTTCATTTCTCGGGCTGTTCCTTGGGTCGGGCGCTGCACTAAGCTTTCTCCATGTGCCAGCTGGTGGAGAAACCCTAGGACCTTGGCGATCTCATGCCTCACTTTCTAGGTGGGAAACTGAGGCTTGGAGAGGTCCAGTGGCTGGCCAAGACTGCCTTTGCAAAGAGGTGCCATGGTAGGGGCACCATGGCGCCCCAGACGCAGCATTCGAGCTGAGGTCACTGGTCCATGGGTGTCGCCCTGCACTGCCATGCTGACCATCAAACCCAAAAGCAGCAGCCGAGCCGCACTGCGCAGAAGACCTAGCACCGTTCTGGGTGATGCTTGGGAGGCCCCTCAGGGTGGCCTGCCACTCTCTGGGCCGTCCCGTGACCCTGTGGTTGACACTCCCCGGCTAAGAGCTGAGAAAAGGGAAATGCGGGTGCAGCCCTGAGCAGTGGTGAGGGACACCCCTATAGGGGACATGCACATTAGGGTCTGGGGGAGAGACAGCCAAGGGCAGCTGCTGAAATCCAGCACCTTCTGCTGGTCAAGTCAGGGGCCCTCAGTGTGGGGCTGTATCCACCTTGAAGAAGGACCCCCTTTTCCTCATTTGCCCAAGGAAGCTAGTGGGCTGTCCGTGGCCCTGGGTGGGGCTCGGGGCGGGCAGTGCTGTCCTATGGGACTGAGGGGTCCCCAAGTCCCAGTACACTGGCTGCATACACTGGAGCCCTGGTTCACCAGGCTCTGCCTAATGACCGACCTGACACAGTGCAGGCGTTGTCTGAGAGCAAAGCCTTTCTAGCTGGGCAGACCTGGGGTGGGGTGGGGCGGGGTCGGGGGGGCTCAGGCTCTGCCTTTCCCCTGAGGGCCCTGGCCAGGCACTGAGGCTGCCTGGAACTCACTTTATGGGCAGTAAAAGCCCCACGGGCTGGCTCTCCCTCGGGGCGTCACGAGGGTTAAATGGGCAACCCTAGAACATGGGGGTGGGGCACCGTGCTCAGTAAGGCCGGCCACCATCGGAGGTGACTCTATTTCCACCCAGGTGCCTTGGGGAGAGTCACCGGCTCACCCAGGTCCGCAGGAGCCCCACTGGCTGATTTCCCAGGCGAACGCACCCAGTTTGTTTCTCTGGTATTGCCTCTCCTTGCACAAGGGCTCAGACGGCCTTGGGTGTCTAGATACGTCCTAGAGTCGCAGCCAGGTCTCAGAGTACCCCCCCTCTCCTTTCTCTGTCCGTTCCTCCTCCCTCCCTTCCTCTCTCTGTCCCTCTCTCTCTCCTGACTCCCTCTCTTCTTTCACCCATTTCTACCCTTGTTCTCCCTCCCCGTTCTTCCCTTCACTCCATCCTTGCCCCTCCCTCTCTCCTGCCTTCTCTTGTTGGCTCCCCGCCCCATCAGGAGAAGGGGGTGCCTACCGTGCAGGTCCCACTGGAAAGCAGTTGGGTGTGTGGTCCTCAGCTGTAAACAAGATGGATGCTGAGCCCTTTATACCCCCAGGAAAGACCCTTGGTCATGTGACCCACCCCTCTCTCCTCCACAGGACAGCCTTTCATGAACCCTGGCAGGTGGGCTGCCTCTGTGGGGAGGAGGCTTCATAAGGCTGTGGCTATGAGCAGGTGCAGGCTCCATTGTAAGAGGCCCTACTTTGAGCCTCAGGGAGACCCAGGCTCTAATTAGAGAACAAGGGCTCCCCTGTTCTGCGCCCCCGCTGCACCTCAGAGGCTTGGAGGCCCAGGGATTTTGTCTCGGGTCGTCCTGGGAGATGAAAGACAGCTGAAAGCCACGCAGGCTCTCCCGAAGGGAAAGAGGGCTGCCTTTGTCTGGTCTAGTTAATTCTTCAGCCAGATCTCTGGGTTGACTGGTCCATGTTCTCGGCCTCAGGCCTGGGAATTCGATGCCTCTCTCCTTTAGGGATTTTCTGCCTCAGTTCTGGGGTGGGGCGACTTGGGGCTTTATAATCAGACATCTTCGGTTCCGGTTCGGTGCCAGGACTCATTACCTGTGGGATACTGAGCATCACTGCTCAGTACCAGTCCCGAGTCCGTGACGTGGGGGCAGTCCCACTCGGAGGGCGAGGATGAGAGAGTCAGGTGAAGTGTGTGGAACGGCAGTGGGGCCACCAAATCGTAATCCCTCCTCTCCCCTGCACAGCCCACACGAAAATGGTGTCCTTCCACAAGAGCACACATGTGTCCAGTGTGTGTCCCACACCACGAACGTCCTCATAAGACTTGTCCATACCATCCCTACAGCAGCGGGAAGGGACATCAGCTCCATTTACCGAGAGGACAAGTGGGGGCATCGTGGGTCTGTCCCAGTGCATGTGTGATGGGACCATTCTCAGTGCAGAGGTCAGCCTGGCTGCGAACGCTGCAAGCCGTTCAGTCCTCTTGGCTTCCTGGACAGCCAGGGTTCGTCCAGCGGTGAAACCTGGGGAGCGCTGAGCCTTTACAGAGGCTGCTGAAGGGTTTCTCTGCATCGTTGGTTGTCCTTGTGCACTGAAGCTTTTGTTTATAGATCATGAATTGTTGTCCAGTGCTTCACGTGCACTGGGGAATGAAGCTACGCTGCCCCAGTCCTCTCTCACCAGCACAGAAGACACGCCATCTCCAAAACCGTTCACTCAATGGGCATATACTCCACGAGCAAAATCCGTCCCTCCAGCGTTTTCCGAGCGAGACTCCCGCTCCACGCTAAGGCATAATAACACGCTGCAGAGTTACGTGGCTCCAGACATTTCAGGGGATTTGTGAAGGTTCTCCCCCTAGTTCCCAACAGGGTATTGCAGCCTTACCACTATGGACGTTGGGCCCAGTGACAGTTTGCTGTGGGGGCCACCTGTCATTGTTGGACATTTAGTGACAACCTAGCCCTTTCCCCACCAGATGCTGGCAGCAGTCTCCCTCCCCAGATCGTGACAAACTAAATGTCTCTAGAAACTGCCAAACATCCATTAGGGTTCAAATAACCCCTGAGTGAGAACCACAGGCCTACAACATCCCTGGAGCTTCGGCCTTTCCCTTCTCTGCACGTGGAATAGGGTGAGAGTGAAGGTTTTACCAGAACATGAGAGAAAAGGCTGCTGCGTGAGAGTTCAAAATGACAGATGGCACCAGCACAGCACCTGAATCCTCACTTACACACCCGCACACAAGTGCCCCTCCTCAGAAACAGGAAGACGTGGCCGTGTGCACACAAGGACACAGGAACTCTGGGCCAGAGAAGCTACGCTGACCCTGTGATTTGTCGTGGGGACCTTGGGCCATGCAGTGTCAGCCTGACCTTTCAGCAGCAGGAGGCTGAGTAACCAAGGTCAGCCACGTGGGCCCTTCACGCCTACAGGGCTGACCCCCAATAAAAACCCAGCACCTGTGGCTCGGACTTTTCTGGCTGAGGCTGCTCCACACACGTGGTCACACATCGCTGCAGGGAGAATACATCCCGTTGGCGAAACTCCACTGGAAGAGGACGACTGGAAGCGGGTGCCCGGGCTCCAGGGGAGCCTTCCCTGTACACCTGTTCCCTTTGTTGATCCTAATCTCTGTCCTTTTGCCGCCATAAATGGAAAATGTGAATACAGCAACTGTTCTGAGTTCTGTAAGCCCTGCTCGTGCATCATTGAAGCCGAGGGTACTGATGGGGACCCCCAAACTCAGATGAGGAACCAAGGGGAGGCATCAGCACAAACAGCTCTCTCCACCTCCTCCTGGGGGAAGGTTTCTACCATCATCTCCGGGGTTGGGGAGGTCGTCTGGGTGCCGTGGTGCTGCAGGTCTGGCTAGTGGTACGTAGCCAAGTCTGAATTAGGTGTGTAAGATGCGCAGGCAGAAACAGGAAGATGTGGCCATGTGCACACATTTTTAAACATGCCATTGAAATCCCATGTGAATCTCTCCAGGGTACAGGTTCGGTTTCCTCATTCAGTTTTTGTTGTCTTCCTCAGGCACCAGGTTTAACTCACTCCCTGCACTGTGTCAGCCCAGGGCCCAGCCTGGCTTGTTGGTGCCAGTGTGTCCCCTGCTGCTGTGTCCCAGTCTCTGAATTGCTGCAAGCATCACGGGTGTTTGTTGAGCACAGGTATTAGGTTTCTATGACCTCGGGCAGGCAGGAGAGTTGGCATGACTCCTACCCATGAGTCTTTTAACATGCGGCCGTTCACCTTCACATGCCACAGATTCACAGCAGAGAGAGAAACGCTACTTCCAGAAAGAACTGCTTTCAATTAGCTGATGATCTAGCTGAAGCTTGGTGGATTCTGCAAGTGCAGCCAACTTGAGCTGCGGCCAGGTGAAGAGATGTTGCCCAATTTATTGTTAGGTCCCATGGATTTATCAAGGCCTCACACAGACTTGCAGATATTCTCAAGGCATCTTTGTTTTAAGGCTGAAAAAAAGAAGAGGGAGCTCAAGCACCGAGAAGGAAATGCCACCAAAGCATTAGTTCTGACCGCACCAGGCTCTTCCGGGGGGCAGGCATGTGCAGTGCCTCAGACAGGGAGCGCCCCAGACCCTGTTCCCTCCACTGGGACGTGAGAAGGAACCGGTGCAGGATCCCCCTCGCCGGGTAGCAGCAGAGTCAAGTCGAAAGCAGCCTTCATTTCTCCATGCTCTGTTCAGTGACGTTTTCTAACACCCAGTTCTATCTACCTCCTCTCCCCGGTTTGCATAAAACTAATCTAAACTCATTACAGTGTCGTTCAATAAATGTACTGTGTTGTTTGTGTGGTGATTTTAACGTGATAAGAACAAAAGAAGAGCTACTGAGTCATGAGTCGTTGGCAAGATTTCTCTGTCCTTCTACCTACACCAGGTAAAGGGAGCTCTCTGACTGCTGAGCTTCCTGGGCCCCACTCCCAAGGCTTGGCTTCTGTGTTGCAAGGAAAGAAAAAAGGATGATGATAGGAAGAGAAGACAGGAGCAGTGGGAGGGTAGATTTGCATGAGAAATTAGGGAACGAGTCCCTGGCTGGGTAGCAGCTCAGTTGCTTCAATTGTCCTCCCCATATGCCAAGGTTGCGGGTTCAATCCCTGGTCAGAACACATGCAAGAATCAACCAATGAATGTGTAAATTATTGGAACAAGTTGGTGTTTCTGTCCCTCCCTCTCTCTCTAGTCAATTAATTAAAATATTTTTTAAATGAAATAAGGGAATGTGTTTCAGAGGAAAGAAACTATGAGGCAAAAGGAAATGAAAATAAACCAAGGATGCATCTGGGCACCAAGGAGGGGCCAGGAAGCTCGATTTTAGGAGAGTTATGGGTGGTAAGTTGGGAAACAAAGGCTTTGAAGTGGCAGCTGTGGGAGGTAAGAAATCACGGCCTGCAAAAGTATAAGAAGAGCCTCTAAGAAGTGTTGTCGTGGTGCACATTCGTTGTTCCTTAAGGGCCACAGGGTAGCTGAGCTCTCTGTCTGGGTGAAACATGGCCAGGTCTGGGCCCTGTGAGCGTGCGCCTGGCTTACACCTGGGTCACACTGAGGGGTCATTCTTCAGAGCTTAATACGGTAGCATGGTTTTTAGAAGAGCAGAGTCCCTTGACCAGACAGGCTGGGTGGATGGCACAATGAAATGGCCACATGTTGGTTTTAGGCCTTGATAGACTATGTCAGCCCCTGTGTCTGGAGGAGGGGGAGAAAAACAAGCTAATGCCGGGCATCTCCAAGAGCACATGGGCTTTGATGCCATGGGGATGAGTGGAGAGGGACCACACACCTGCTTCCAGCAACTCACGCTGCCTCTGTAGCTTGAACTACTTGTCCGTACCAGCTTTGGTCAGGAGTTGGAGGCCTCTGTGGACTTGTCTTCCATGTGACTCTTTGTTGCTTATTTGTGTTTCTAGCTTACGTGAGACTCAGGAAGGATCAAGTCACACACAGAAAATGACAGTGCTTGCTCTGGCCGACTCCCACTTTTGTTTTTTAAATACCTTGTTGCAAACATCAAACTGTTAGGTGAAGGGGACTCTGTAATACCCTAGGCTCTTTTTGTCTAGATCATGATGACTAGACGAGTATTGGACCCTGACTCAGGCGGAAAAACTGCTCGGAGTTCTAGAACCTTTCCAGAGATGCATTTTCTTGCCAAGTCACAACATAGCCACTCTGCATACTCACTGTGAGAGTAGGGCACCCTTTCTGCCCTCTGACAGATGAATGTGGCGTTCTTCAGGAACCAGGCGTAGGACTCAAGACAGAACCTGAAACGTTAAATCAGAGTAGAGAGCCACCACTACTTTCTGTGGCTGCTGGAAGACAAGCAGAATTTTAAAAAGTCATATTGGACAATTGCTTGCAGCAAAGACCACCCCCCCATCTTTACAGGGTGTGGGAGGGGAGGTGCAGAATGAGCAGGAAAAAGAGTACACTTTAGAGTCAGAAGGGCTTATTTTTCATCCTCGCATCACTGCTCACAAGGATGCATGACTTTGGACTGATTTCTTGATTCTCTGGACCTCAGCTATTTCATCTCTAAAGGAAAGGCGATAACAGAACCTACACTTTGGAGGATTAAATGAGATGACTTTTGCAAAATTCCTGAACAGAGCTTGTGATAGGTGCTCAGTACAAGATGATGTCCATTTGTCTGTGTGTATGTGAGATGGAGTGAGTGTACAGGGTATGACGGTTAAAGGTGCAGCAAAATACTCTGCAAAATAATACCCTGCTCTTGGCTGGTGCCCACACAACCACTTCCAAGGGCCACGGGGAAAGGGCACCAATTACATCAACAGGAGGAAGGGTTTATAGGGCTGGCCACGTGGCCCACTCACTGCGGACTCGGAATTCACTTCCCCTGAAATATGAGGAGGGTGAGCCCAACCTTCCCCAATTTCTCTTCCATTTGCATCATGCTGTGATTCTAGCACACTCTGGGGAGCAACTAACTACTCAAGCAAGTTAGGGGTAAAGATTTCCCACGTCTATCACCCTCAGTTTAAAACTGAGGCTCAGAGAAAAGTGGATTTGCCCAAGGACGCGTTGCTTTCAAGGGGGCAAGCTGGATTTTAACCCAGGGAAGCTGCTCCACGCCAGAGCACGCTCCCGTTCTGTAACTAGGCAGTAAGACCCAGCTAGAAAAAACAGAGCCCCAGTGGTTCTAGAGAGGGAATTTAACACTAGGAATTAGTTATAAAGGGGTTAGAAGGACTCTAAAAAGGTTAGAAAAAACAGAAACGGCAATATTGCTTAACAGAGAAGTAAGGGAAGAGAAAATCCTTGGCCTCTCTACTGTGCTCCCATCTCCTGCCAGTATCTTCCACTGAATGAACTCACAGGGGCGGGCTGCAAAGGTTTCCTGGGAAACATGAAATGCACCAGTCGGCATGCCTGCCACTCCACCACCTTGAGGAGCAGACTAGAGGAAATGCAGAGTGGATCTGAGAGTCAAGTGGAATGGTGACCGTCACCGGGGCTAGTTTTGTGGTGAGTGCGTGACCTGGGACTGTCGACAGGACATCTCAGAACTTTGACATATCAAGCATGGTCAACCGCTGACATGGCCACTGGGTATTTGGCTACTACATGTCTAGGATGCTGGAGGTGGGGTTCAAACTCAGCTGTGAGAGTGGATAAAGGAGCAGGACGCCAACAACCACAAGTGTATCTTCAATTAGCAACCACTGAGCGCAGCCCCCCAGGCACCGTGCAGGAACGATGACTAGATGATTTCCTTTTAACTCACCCTCACAACAATCTGGCAATGTAGGCAAGAATGCCGCTACCCTTCTACGTGAACGGGATGCCTCCACCTTGTTGCTAACACCCTTGGGTCTATGGATCTTGCTTATTTCCCTCTTTGGGTGGAGGAAACAGCCACCGTCATTAACAGACCCAAGTCCTGGGCCACAAAGGAGGTGGAGAAAGGCTGCAAACCCGAACTTGAGGCTCAGAGCCAGTGGTGAATGGAGACTGGAAAAGCTGAAGGATAGAATGGGTAGACTTTGACAATAACATTGAAGATCTGAGACTGGCCTCACACCCTGGGGCGGGACTCTCGATCCAGGTTGTTCGGTTCTGAGTTTACAGCCAAGAATAAGGATGTGTGACGTGAGTAAGGATCCGGAAGACAGACTAGCGTGCCAGCAACTCCAGAGCAGGTGAGTGCCCAGGCCCAACCTCCTTAACAGAAGACGAGGTCCACCCTCTCATTTCCTTCTTATCAACCTTCTCATGTGGCCTGAAAATGACTGCTAGGGGGTCATGAAAGAGCTGCCATGTAGATGGACACGCCCTCTGATTGTCACCTTCCAGCCAGTCGCACCAGGCTCAGGGCACTTGGGTTGAAGAGCCACTCAAAGTCCTCTGTTGCCATTCCACCAGATAGGACACAGTGACTCCACTACACTTACTGTGTCAGGCTCTGAAGTTGGTTCTGGGGACCCAGAAGTGAATGAGGCTCCATCTGGCTCTCCAGAAGGTGACGGTCTAGTGAAGAAATCGGCCGAGAGTCTGTTCCCTGAGGGACCCCTGTCACCTGTCTGTGGATTAGTTAAGGCCTGCCACCTCTGGCCTACAGAGAAGCCGTGTAGAACAGGAGGCATGTAAATACCAGGAAAGCAACTTGGGGCCCGGCTTACCTCATGGCCTGCATCCTGGGGTCCCTCCTCTGGCTCATGCAGAGGCATTGCTGGAAAAATCGGCACAGCTCCATCAGGCAAGGGTTGAGCTTCTGGATGGCCAGGGCGACAGGGACAGCTGTCACGGCCCCCTCTCTGAGGAGCTGCCGAGGACACCCTAGAAGACATAATCCTAGACCCCTCAAATCAACACAACTGTAAGAGCCATCTTCCGTTTGATTGGTACTGTGCTAAGTGAATAGAGCCTTGCCCCTGATCTCAGGTGGCTCTGAGACAGGCAGGTGAACATGGCGTTGCTTTGCTGCTGCCCGGTAAAGCTGCAGGTCTGAGAGACGGGTGGGAGGACACGTGGGGATCCGGCTCCTGGAGGAAATCAGAGACGGTTTCCCTGAGGAGTAAATATGAACAAGGACCTCAAACACTGAATGGGCTTTGGGTTTAGATAGAGCTGGGCTCAAAACCGAGTCACTTTTAATAAGTAGGACTCACTCAAATTGCTTAATGAAGATCACATTATCTATCTTGAAGAATCATTGCACAGAAAACATAAAAATAGGCATAACTCAGTGCCGGGCACACAGTCGGAGCCCAATAAATATTTGTTGAGTGGAAGAATGAGTGAATGCTAAAAATGTTGTGGCATACTGTGTTTGTGAATGGGCAGAACATTTACTGAAAGATGCCAGAACTCCTTATTTTATATTTATATTTCCCATTAGGATGGATGGAGCTGTAAGTAAATATACATATATAGATGCAGATTCAAATAAAGACATACTCATATAGATACAGGTGGGGTTAGGGTTGGGGTTAGGAAGGCAGGGTTCTTTGGAAAAGACGGTAATGCTGGGAAAATCGAAGGCAGCTGGAAAAGAGGATAGCCAAACAGGAGGTGGCCCGACTCCAGGACAGAAGCCATCAGCGAGCGTCTGCAGGAGTGGAGCAGGCTTTGAGGGCAGGACGTGTGGACATCGCTGATTCACGGGTTTGCCAGGAGTCAGAGCCGACTCAACGGCACACGACAACAAAGACATGGATACAGAAAACTCGTTTTCTCAAAGCCAGTCTGACGACCTCTGCCATCTGCACCGCGGCTGGGTTTCTTTAGAATCCCTGGGGGAAGGAAGGGCTATCACTTCCTACGGTTGCATAATCGTGTCTTTGTGTCTACAAGGCCCTCTACTGCGGCTGAGAGTGGGTGGAGGCAGATCTGCGGTGATGTGAAAAGGGAGGCTGTGTGCAGGCTCCAGCGATTTAATAATGCCGTTGACACATGGACTGGACGGTTGGGGGACATTGGGGAAAGCAGGATAGAAAGGCATCCAGGCCTGGGAGGGGCCTGAGGGCCCATCCCGCTATGAAGACCTCACTTCGTATCAGTTTCTCCCTTATGGAAACAGGAGGGAGGAGAGTTGAGGCATCCAAAAGCTGGGAAAATGCTGCCCAGACCACAGAAATGGGGCGCCCTGAGCCTCCAATGACCCAGGTCCAGGCTTGGGAAGGTGTTTCCTCTAGAATTTCAGAAACACGTGCAAGGATGGGGAAGGCAGGGTGTCCTTTAAAACAGAAAAAAAAACGAACCCAGAAAATGGGCGTTGGGATTTGGAGTCATTCAGCACCCTCCTTCCCCTGTCCTCTGCTAACACCACGCTCATGAGAAAAACCACTTCCATCCGCGAGGCACACAACACGTTCTCAATAGGTGTTCACTTAATACAGGCTGACTGAATTAAATTATACGGAGCTCTTTAGTTCCGAATCACTTCCACCCACGTTATCTCCTTTCAGAAAGAATCCTGTGGGGAAAAAGGACACTTTTAGTGCCCATGCAATTGGCATTCTCGCTCTACAGCCAGCCGATGGCACTGGATTCTGGAAGCTGGGTGCTGGGGGCCACCTCACCAGTACACGGGAGACCTAGGATTTGAGTCCCAGCAGCCGGACTCAGAGTTGATCAAACAAACCTATTTTTTATTATACTGTGCAATCTCGTCCAAAACAAACAAAAGCAACTGGAGTGACAGGGTGCTGGTACGTACTTGAAACTTGAACTTGGTGGAGTCCAAGGACCAGGGCTGGCTCTTCTCCAGGGGTAAATGGCCACAGGAAATCACCTGCAATGAGCAAGAATGACCTCAGAAAATCCCAATGAAATGGTCTTAGGTTATACACGCAAACAGAGAATCATAGCACCTTAAGAGTAAAGCATTCTTGCAACCAAAGAAAAATTGTGGCCAAGAGAGAGGAAGTGATTTATCCAAGATCAGAGAGCAATGTAACAGCAAGGCTTACTTCTCCTGCTAGAACCAGTGAAGTACAATCACCAGCTTAGTCTGCCTTCTGGCACCCCATGCCACTGCGCCCCTGCCCCAAAGCTGTTCCTGCTTATGGTGTTGCGTTGCTCTTTCCAGCGCATGTTCTTACCTGTCTCTGGGTACCTGGGGGCCGGGGCCTTGGTCGGACTGGAAGTCTGTGTGCCAGGGGTGAACGTTCCTGGAAGGAGAGGAGACAGAGGTAAGCCTGCATTTCACAGGGTGCTTGATTGGGAGCAGAGGCCTCAGGCCACCAGTCCTGCCCTGTGCATCCCACGTTGGTTATCGAGCCAGGTTCCAGGCAGGGCACTGAGGATGCAGAATTGAGTAAGAAACCGGACCCACAGCAGAGGCAAGTCCCAGCAGTAACTGCAACCCGGTGCACTGGTGCCACAGGAGACCCACTAATGCCGGGCACTGCCCGGTGTGTCCCGGTGCTGCCCAAGCAGGGTCCCAGCACAGGTGCTCCCGGGCAAAGGGAAGGTGACACGCTTTTCATTCACCTGAGTCTTGGGTACACACGCACTCCATCCCCACCCTGTAGGTGGCCTGTCCTCTTCATGGCAGAGCAAGGGCTCATCCTTTCGATCACAAAGTCCTGGTTTAATGGCCACAGGATATGACCCCTGCTGTCAAGATTCTGGCCTTTGGCAAAACCAGCCAAGCAGCCTCCTTATGGGGAAGTGGCACCTGAAGAAGAACCTCCTCCATTTCTAAGATGACAAAACCAGGACTCAGAGAGATGGAGAGAACTTCATCAGGACACAGAGCCATAGTCAAGTGAGGCCTTCGACACAGCTGTGTCGGAAATAAAGACCAGCGCTCGTGGGCTGTGCTGGCTGCTGCCGCCCAGCTGGCCGGGCCCAAGCATGTTAATCCTTCCTTGTCCCCATGCACTTGTGTCATTCACCGATGAAGGCCATCACGTTTGTTTTTCCAGGTCTGTTTGTGTAATCGACTTTATTAGTGTAAAGCTCAGGCTTTGTGTTTATGCCCATTAAAATTCATCTGCTCCTTCCCCTCCGTTTCTTAAGAAATTCAAAAACTCTTAAATAGAGCCTGCTGTGTTTCAGGGGAACTGGAGATGAAGAACACAGGCCCTTGAGGAGAGCATTGCCCACAGGGGAGGGAGGTCAAGTTCAGGGACATTGACAGCCCAAGGATGGTAACTGGTACTGTCCATTGACTGGGGAGGAGTGTGGCAGGAGGCCCTCTGGCTGTAGGATCAGAGGAAGTGATTTTTAAAATAAAGAAACATTTTTGTATAATTATAGGCTTAGAAAATGTGGAAAATTCCCAGCTTTGGAGTGAAGAAAAGTAAGTCTTATCTACTTTCCAGATGGAGTCCAGGTTAATATGTTGTGAATTTCTTTTCAGTCTTATTTGGTTTTGTGTCCTGTTTTCTCTGTATTTTTATTACACACACATGCACACACATAAGTACATATACATATTAGAGTTGGAATCACACTAGATAATTTTTAAGTGCCTTTAAGAGCCCAACCCTTCCCCATATTACATATTACATACTATTACTTTAATTATATTTACGTATGTAATCGATGTATGTGCTGCATTATACTACACGTACATGATGTATATGTCATAATAGAATAACTTTAATGTATAGTAATACTATGCCAGAAAAGCAGTTGAATTGTCTGAGGTGAGCAATGCCAGCTTCCTGTGGTCTCTTGCTTAGTGGACAGTGAAAAGGGGAAGGGGAGAAAAAACTGGCAAGAGGGTGCATAAAAGAGGTGGGGTGAGAAAGTGCTGTGAGGAGGGGGTTTTCCTTCCTCCCTCCCTCCCTCCCTCCCTTTCCTCAAAGATGGGAGGGAAGAGATGGGGTAAAGAAAAGGAGAAGAGAGCATTTGTGCTGTGATTTTTAATTGTGTTGCTAACATGCTTTATTACATTTCTGCATGCATATTATATTTTAAAAAGTTAGAAAGGGTTTTAAAAACAGATGCTAAATTTAGTTTAGAAGTGGGGGACTTGAGAGAGAGCATCCTCTCTTACCTGAGGTTGGGCTGGCCTGGGACGGGCTGCCCTGTGTCCTAGCAGGAGGCTCAGGAAGGCTCCCTAAGGTCCCGGTCTGTGCACTCTGCTGGGCCTCTGCAGGCGGCGCTGGTCCAGAGGGAAGCGGTTCCCAGGGAGGCCCTCCAGGTGCTTCCTCACGGGTGGTCTGAGCCCAGGGCACAGGCGGGCTGGAAGCCCAGGCCTGCCTGTTGGCTGTCACCTTCCTGGTAGCTGCACAAGCGACAGTAATGGGGCATTTATATGCTTCACTACTTTGATTCAGATATAAAATTGATAAGACACCAAAATATAACCACAGGGTCAGTGCAATGTGCATGTTTAATATAGACAATCTAGGGACTTAAATGCCACCAAGAACTGGAATAAAGGGACCAAAGTAAACGTTATTTTCCTAACTACCAACTTAAAAAAAATCTCCAAATCCTTGGGACACCTAAGCAATCAGCTGGGGGGTGTGTTTTGAGAAAAGTGGGCTTTTGCAGCGTGATTTCTAACCGAGTGGCGCAGTGGAAAGGTTATGGGGTTTGAGGTGAGGGACCTGGAGGGGTGAATTCTGCTCCTGCTTCTTCCATGCTGTAAACTTTGGCACAAGTTACTGAACTCTTTCTAGTTTTTTCACTGAAATGGAGATGATAATAATAATACCCTGCAGTATTGCAGGACCGTTATTAAGAGAAATAAATCTTCCTTCACTGGTCTTTTAAAGCACAGCTAGAGTCTCCCTTCTTCATTCCCATGGTAGGAATTAAAATTCATTTTTTCGAATTTTGCAAATCCAATCCCCTTGGAAGTTTTAAACCTCTAAGTTAAGTTGAGAACAGTTGCCATCTTCGAAATATTCGGATATCTTTTCCAGAAAATGGTGTATTGTTTCATTGATTTACATATTCTTTTATACTTTCATTAAAGTTTTTTGTTTTTTTGTTTTTTTTTTTTACATAAAACCAGCACTTCTGTCATTTCTCTTGCCGTTTAGCAATCACGTCTTTGTCATACCGTAAACCTTTCTAATCGTGTGTGTCTGGATGCTGGCTGTTGTACTAAGGACATTTCTACATAATGAAGTTCGATCCTTTTCCCCATTATTGGGTCCCTGCTGCCTCTTCTTTTTTCCCCCATTGGAAACTTTATTGTATTTTACCCCTTACTAGTCCAGCCCCAGTAGTTGCCTCTCGCGAGAGTAGCTGCCCCTCGCGAGAGTAGCTGCCCCTCGAGATAGTACCTGGCCAGCAAGCTCCCTCTCGCGAGAGTAGCTGCTTCTCTCCACGGTGCCTCGCTCGGAAGCAGCTTCTGGCTGTAATGGCTGCCTGTTGTGTTGTCTGGACCAGTAAGTGCCTGTCATGTTATTGTCTAGTTGTGTAGTTGCATTTCATGAGATTTAGGGGATTTTAATGTAATAAGTGCGTGCGTGTGTTTTAATTTGTTATTGAATTTAGGTTACATTAGTCAATAAGATTACATAGGTTTCAGGTGTACAGTTCTATATTGACCACCCCAAGTCAAGTCTCCTTTCGTCACTATTTATGCCCCCTTTACTCTCTCCTACCTCCCTGAACCCCCCTTTCCCCTGGTAATCACCGTGCTAGTCTGTGTCTATGAGGACTTTATGTTTTATTTTTATTTTTTGCTTAATCCCTTCACCTTTTTCACCCAGCCTCTCTCCCCGCTCCCCTTTAACAACTGTCAGCTGTCAGTCTGTTTTCTGTAACTATGAGTCTGTCTCTGTTGTGTTAGTTTATTCTGTTGATTAGGTTCCACATAAAAGCAGAATCACACGGCACCTGTCTGCCTGCCTCTGACTGGCCCACCCCACCCAGCATAATAATACTCTCCAGATCCATCCACACCTCTGCAAAAGGTTTCTTTTTATAGCTGTGTAGTATTCCATTGTGTGAATGCACCACAGCTTTTTGCCCACTCATCCACTGAGGGGCACTGGGGCTGCTTCCAGATCCTAACGATTGTAAATAATGCTGCGGTGAACATAGGGGTGCTTTTGCTATTTTGATTTAGTGTTTCAGGTTTCTTTTAATAAATTCTCAGAAGTGGAGTTGCTGGTCATGAGGCAGTTCTATTTTTAATTTTGTGAGATATCTTTATACTGTTTTCCACAGTGGCTGCACCAGTCTGCATTCCCACCAATAGAGCAGAAGGGTTCCCCTTTGCCCATGTCCTCGCCAGCACTTGTTGTTTGCTGATTTATTAGTGGTGGCCATTCTCACAGGTGTGAGGTGGTATCTCATTGTGGTTTTAATTGGCAATTATCTGATGATTAGTGATGTTGAGCATCTTCCCATATATCGGCCATCTGTATTGTCCTCTTTGGAGAAGTAGCTGTTCAAGTTCTTTGTTTATTTTTAATTGGATTGTCTGCTTTGTTTTGTTTTGTTTTTTGATGTTGTGTTTTATAAATTCTTTGGATATTAGCCTTTTATCAGATGTATCAGCGAATATGTTCTCCCATTCAGTGGGTTGTCTTTTCATTTTGTTGATGGTTTCCTTTGCCGTGCAAAAACTGTATAGTTTGATGTGGTCCCATTTGTTTATTTTTTCTTGTTTCCCTTGCCCCAGAAGATATATCAGAAAAAATATTGCTACAAGAAATATCTGAGATTTTACTGCATATGTCTTCTTCTAGGCCTGCTTCCTAACTCTTATCAATTCTTACCTCACAGGGAAGCCCCCTCTCTGGGCTCTCCAGGACAATAAACTCTGTGTAGGCAGGATTATAACTACCTGTTTACTTGCCTATGTCTCTTTCCCTGGTCTCTGAGCTCAGGAAGAAAAGGGGACATGGACAGAGTTGTGTCGTTAACAGCCTGGTGTCTGATATTAAATACATGTCTTGATAAGTGAGTGAATGAATGAATGAATGAATGAATTCTGATGATTCTGGTCCATGGCTGGGGCTCGTTGAGACAGTCCTGACTCTTACTGAAAGAGCTAGCCTAGTTGTGTCTTATTTTCAAGTCAGTAAGCACACCTTTTGCTTCTTTAGAACAGCACCACTGAACGTGCCCTCAGGATGGTAGGGAAGGAGGAACCTCCTGGCCCACCACGAGTGGTAGCTTTTCACACTGGCATCGTTGTGCACATATTCTTGGCACCATTATCCAGCCAGCTACAAACTGACCTACCCCCGCCGTGAACTGTTGAGTGCATTTCACCATTTCGTGTGAACGTCAGGAGAGATGTTGCTAAATGCTTTGCTGAAATACAAATACCTTTTTTTCTACTACAATATAGTTCAAGTATGGAAGATATTTTCATTGGGAGATGCTGGGTGAAGGGCCCTAGGGAACTCTGTTTACTATACTTGCAACTTCTTGTGAGCGTAAAACTATTTCAATATTGAAAAAATTATACAAATGACTGTCAGGAGGACATATGTCAATGACACTTGGCTCGGCTTGTCCTATTGAACCATACTGGTTCGTGTTGATGTCTTATTTAAGGGAGACTGAAGAAGAAAGAGGTTGGTAAAGAGGGAAAAGGGGAGGATTTCACTTATTTAGGTGAGTTTAGAGGGAACAGGAGGGCGAAATGGGACAGGAGATGAAAGGGTGAGAAAGCCTCTTACCCAAGCCTGGGAGGGTGGAAGAGATGCTGCCCAGCATGGCCATGGCCTTGGTGAGAGGTTCGGGCAGGCTGTCCATGTTCACAGTCTGCTCTCCCTGTGAAGGATGTGTCGTCTCTGTCCTGGGAGAGGTTCTCAGAGCAGACCCGCTGGTGCTCCGGGCTATGTGTGGAGGGCTTGTCCATGGTAGCGTTTGCTGGCTTGTGGGTGTGTGGTTGGAAGCCATGGCTGTGCCCCTGGTAGCTGCACGTTCGAGGAGACAATCAATGACAGCCTGAAAGCACTCGTCACTTGGGACGTAAGGAAGTGTTGCGTCATTGGAAGCTCATCCCTCACACAGAAAATATTTAGAACACAGAGGCTCAAGCCTTACTTGGACCAGCACCATTTGTCACCAAAAAGAGGGTTTCTCCTGAAGTGACATATCAATCCAAAATATCAGTCTCTGAAAAAGCCACGTGGAAGCACAGTGAACAGAATGCAGAGTTGTCAGGAAAAAAGTACAAGGCGATAGGGAGCAGAGAGGACTACAGGACAAAAAAACAGGACAAAGGTGTCCCTCCTACTAGGGGGATTCAATGGGGGCAGCAGCTACTCAACACCAGTTGCTTGTTGCTGTGGGTAAGGAGAGGACCCAGGGTTGCCAGATCTTTTGCAAAAAAAGATATATCTATTCAAACATTTTTTAAATAGCAGAATCCTCTGATTTTAAACAAAATACTTGTGGGCAGCATCCAGCCTTCGGTTTGCTCGGAGGGACCCTGGCCTGGAGACTCTAGAGCAGGAGTTCGGGAGCTTCGCACTCACCCAGGACACCAGACAGGCTGCCGGTGAATGTGTAGTTAACAACCGGAGACTCCTCTGCCACCTCCCAGAAGTCAGAAAGGTTCCTTCCTGCAAAAACCCCGCCCGCAGGTTCAGTCCTGGGCAGGTCAGATAGTGGACATGTTTAACTCTGAGCCCAGAGAGCTTGTCAAAGACTGGCCGGGCACTCACCTGACTTTCCTGTCATCACGCAGATGAAGATGCAGTCAGATTCATTGGTCTGACTCACTGTAAGACAAGAGCGCACAGCCAGACTTACCACAGGGTCTGCAGCTGTGAAGTCTTTGGTCGAAATGAAAATTAAGCTGGAAATCCCTAGCTCAGGATGCTGTAGGGAAGTAAGGCTAACTTTTTACTTGGAAGTCAGCCTTGATCGTCTGGGTGCTCTGGGGGGTGGGCTGCAGTGTAATGTCATGGCTAAGGGCACAGATTCTGGGATCAGCTTCCTCACTTACAACATCGGTCTGCCACCTCCCAGCTACATGAGCAAGAGTGAACTATTGACTTCTCTAGGACTCGGTTTACCCATCTTTAAAATGGTGAACACTTTAGTCCTGAAGTCCCTGATTTGCAATTTCCAAATTCCCAAATCTCTGTAAGGTGGAAGGCTTTGTGTCATTTTGGTACCAAAACTCATTTGGTGGCCAAAGCTGACTTGACAGATGTGATTGATTGTAGTCTCTATCCCATGCAGTGCAAAGGGTCAGTCCTTCTGCTGAGTGAGTCCAGGTGTCTGATGGTGGCATGCTGTTCTGGATGCTGCCAGAGGTCAGGGAGGGTGCAGACACCTACTAGACCTTCAAAAGTCTGGAAGCATCTGAGTTCCTAACTGCTTTCCCCTTTGGGATCCACATGGACATACAGTCCCATGTCCCTTGTCAGAAGGCTGTGATGATCCAATGAGATGTGTGTGAAGCTCCGTGTTTGATGCAGGACAAATAGAAAAGCTCAGGGAAGAGTCAATAATTATTGTTGTTGCTAAGTTGCTGCTATTATTATATGAATTACGTAGTGACCAAGAGCATGAACTTCAGACCCAGATCACCTGGGTTAGAGTTCTGTCTTGGCAGAATGATCTTGGGCAGGTTCCCCAACGTCTCTGTGCCACAGTTTCCTCAGTCGTCAAGTGAGGATGAAATGGAGGTCACTGTGGCAGCGCCCTGGCAAGGGCGTAGTGAGGACCCAAAGAGGGAATACATGGCAAGCCCTTGGAAGACTCCCTGGTACCAAATGATACCTATTATCATTATTTCTCTTTCTGTCTCCCTCTATAAAACAGGAGTTTCTCCACTGCAGAGAAAACTATCCTTCTGGTGAAACCGAGTGTTGGGCTGTTAAATAGAGCTGTGCTTTGCAAAGTGGGTCCCTGGGGGATTGTCAATTGCCTACAGGTTATTTGAGGTCACCTTATAATGAGGAACGTCTCTCAGTTGTACGTCAGACATGGGCTTAGGCTCCATATAGATCTAAAGCTGAATTCCGAACAACCTTGACCAAAACAGCCGACCTCTCTGAACCTCAGTTTTCTCATCTTTAACGTGGGAGCACAGCTGACCCACAGAAGCTGACTTCTTGAGGCTGACTCAGTTTCCCCCAGCTTTGACCCCTCTGGTTTGCACACCAGGAACAGCTCTGATGGGAAGATGGAACCTGTGGATACTGGTGGTTGAAACTGGCCACACTGATGTTCCTGGCAGCCTGGCCTGTGGCAGGGTTGGGCTATTCCACTGGCTTTGATACCCTCCGTGACGGATGCTAGATTCATATTTGCCAAGCACTTTCAAGACAGACGCACCTGAGAGGATGGAGGTGGACTTAAAAATCTCTGTCAGGTAGCTGGTCGAGTTTCCAATGAAGTCCACCAGTAGGGCCGTGAAATCTGTAAGACAGATTGAGGCGGTTTCCGTCTCTGAGACTTGGTTTCAACTTCAGAGACTTGATGGGAGAGGTGATTGCATTTGGATAGTTCAGAGTAGTTTTACAAGTTGTATTCGGTTCAGTGATTTGAGGAATATTAACAATCATAGACAGAAATACCACTATTTTTTTTTAAAAAGTTGTATTTTCAGGCAGGCAGAACCCTTTGGGATCCCCCACTTTAATCCCTTCTCCCCTCCATTGCCCTCTCCCCCAGACCCCTCTCTGCCAACCCCATAGAGCTGTGTAAGGCCCATCGTTGCCTAGTGGCTTTTCCGACATGTGCCCTCACCCCGGTCATCCTACCCACCTCTGCGTGGCCTGCAATGCCCTTCCTGTCTCACCCGTTAGTTCCTAGCTCGTTTCCGTGACCGTCTCCTGCTGCAGCACATGGCCTTGCCAGTGCTCACTCTGCTGCCTGGGCTTTTGCCTGTCCCCGGGTGTCACAGGGCTGTCTCCCCACTTCCCACAGGTCACCCCTGAATTGTCACCTCATTAGAAAAGACTTCCCTGACCACACACAGCAGCCCTCCCACTACCACGTCCCTGCTCACCATGTCCCCGCTTTATTGTCCCCACAGCCACACTGTCAGCCAACGTACGGTGTGTTTGCACATTAGTCCTTTACTTTCTGTCCCTGCTACAGAACCTAAGTTCCGTGGGAGCAGGGGGTGCCCTCTTTGCTCAGTGTGGCACCCAATCCCCCAGAAGAGTGTCTGAGCTCAATAAAGAATCGTGGAATGAAGGAATTAGTGGCAAGAGAGTAGTTTTCAGTCCTATTTTTAAGGGTTGTCTAAATATAAGGACCATGTAATACTTTCAACTTTCAATTAGAAAACTAATATGTGAATAACTCATTTAAAAAATCAGATAATACAAGACCCCCTTACTCAGTACTTTTCCACTCCAGAGCACGCACTCCCACCTTCTTCTCAGAGGTAATTGCCTGCCTGCCTGGTGTCTGCATATGTATGTGGACATCCACCGGTTTTTTCATCGGTGACATTATATTCTGCATATTATTTTGTAACTTCCTTTTTCTAATTAAGAGTGTCATGGCAATTTTTCCATATGGAGGCCAAACCTGGCCACCCCCATTCACTTGTATTGTCTCCAGAGGTTTATACTATAGACTATTGGACCATTTTCCTAAGGACAGATACTTAGTGCGTTCTCAGATTTTGCTATTAAAATAATGCTGCATGAACATTATGTTCTTGCTGCTCTGTGCAGGCATAAATATTTCTCTGGGGGAAGAAAACAAGAAAAGAACTTTCTGGGACATAAGCATCTATTTAAGCATAATAGATGTTTCTTCATTTCTGTATCATACTCTAAGAAGAAAAAATTAGCTCAAACTTCTCTAGAAGAGCACAAGCAACATCAGGAGAGCAGTTCGTGGGCCGTCCCTCCCACCTGACAGGTCATTGGTCCGATTGTTCACGCAGTAGCAGTGCCGCGTGGGGAACTTGGCCGGGTCCACCGTCTTCAGGTGGGAAACTGGGGAGAGAAGCAGCCCACACAGCAGTCCTGGCACACAGCCTGTGCCCGCCCACCCACCGCCCCCCGCCGTGGTCGCCCAGAGGCACTTACTGTTGTAAATGGCCACGGAAACCTTGTGGAAGGCGAAGGAGCTGTAGGAAGTGATGCTCAGCAGGGAGAAGAATTTCTTGCTATCTGCCAATGATATTGAAGTAAGGAAACAGACAAATGCCTGCTCACAAGAACAAGTAAATAGGAAATTTGTAAACAGGTAAGAGAAATGAATGGTACAATGAACACATAATAAAATAACTACCAAAAAATGACAAAAACCAAAAATAATAAAACCAAATACAAGCAAATAAAAAGTGCAGAAACACACGTGCCTTGGCTAGGCTCCCTGGCCCCTCCACCCGGAGGCTCCTGCAGCTCCCTCTCAAGGTAGCTCTGATCAGAAATGCCAGTGCCTGCGCCTCACTTGGAGTGCAGCTCGCTCTCAAAGTGCTGGCCAGCCCACTTCTTCGGGCGTCTTCACTCCGCTCATGAGTCAGGCAGACAGCACAGTCTCCCCTCTGATCACGGAGATGCTGGGGTCCGGAGGCCTGGCGTGTCTGACCCAGGTCACAGGACCGAGACCCGACTGGGCCCGGACTGCGCTTTGAAGAAAAGGTTACCTTTCAAAGCTCTGCTCAGCATCCCGTTCACCACCTGCGTCAGGTTGAGTGCCGACAGATCGACCGACCTCGCAGGCAGCTCTGGAAGAGAAAGGGCCTGGTTTCCAACGTCCGGGTAGATAGATGTGCCTCCGCTTTTGACATTTTCTGAACTCCCCACCCTCCACCCTGTTGTCCTTCATGCTGGGCACCAGGAGTGTGAAGAAGAAAGGCAGTTTGTGTCCTCAGCAGGGGACAGCCAGCAGAGTACACTGTGACAAGTCAGAGTAGCGAGGGGGAGTCTGGGTGCAGTGCAGGAACGCTTATTTGGGGGAATACATTATCCCTGCACAGGAGAGAGTAGAGATTGGGGGGACGTGCAGACATGCTTCTACACGTATACGGAGAAGTCCAAGGGAATGGCCCAAACTCTGGATTTGGAAATCATCACTTGTTTGACAGAGGTGCTCAGACGTTGCTGGGCACTGGCGTCCCCGGAAAGATATATATTTTTTCATACCACAAATCCGATGTTTGGGTTCCATCCCCAGAGATTCATGTTTAATACGTCTGGGATGTGACCCAGATGTCAGGACTAAAACCAGTTGATCAGTCAATCGATCACTCATTGGTAGCATGCAGGTAGGTAGAGAGAGGCTTCTGGGTTAAAATCCGCTTTCTCCCAGCTCTTCCCTGAAGCTTTGGCAACAACAGCTTTTACTTAATGTTCACATAAGCACGTGGCTAAAGCAATGCAAAGGTTGGAGAGATGCCATTGTCTCTCTGTGGGGGTGGAGTCAGGTCCAGAGAAGTGGGGGAATTCCCATGGAGCCCTGGGTGGGGGCGGGAACTCACCTGGTATCCAGAAAGCAACACCGCCCACCCTTTCCTGCCTCCCCTCTCCTCTAAGACCAGACTCTGGGAAGAGAAAAGGCTTCAGGAGAGAAATGGAAGCACCCCCCATTCCTCAAGCCCCGTGTCACTGGAGAAGCCTGGGAGACCTCTACTGTGCAGTCCACAGGCCAGCGACCATGGGAATCATGGAGGACCATGTGAAAAAGCAGAGTCCAAGTCCCTGCTCGAGATTCCAGTCTCCCTGGGCTGCATGTGGCCTTGAAATGTACAGCTTCACAAATAGGCCAGGTGACTCCAATCCAGGGGGCTAATGCACCCCGCCCCTTTAGTAAATTAGGAGACCAAGGCTCAGAGAGGAAAAACAACGTGCCTAAATTTGCACAACTGAGGGGTAATGAAGGGGTCAGGACCCAGTTTCTAGAGCTACAGAGCACCGGCCTTTCTGAAATATCAGGCCACTTGCCCACTCGGCAAAGTTCATGGTGTTGAAGAATAAAATGTCAAAAAAAATTCCGATATGCTAAAGGCATTCTGCCATTCTTCATTCATTCAACAAACACCCACCAAGAGCCAAGTAGAGTCCTAGGTTCTGGGTGTACAGAGGTCAAGGGAAAGGACCAGGTCTCCTCCTCCAAGGGCTTCCTGTCTGTGGCTCGGGAAGGAGAAAGCAGAGTCCTGAGGACCTGCATGTGAGGAGCGTCGCACAGGGAGGCACGGGAGGCTGTGAGCGCCTCTATTGGGACACCCCACCTGGTCAAAGGCCCCCATGGAAGGACGGAAAGCCGAGACCTGAAAGACTCACTGTTTGGATGAGAGGCTGTTTACTCCTACAGCATTTGTTACTATTATAATTGCAAAGATTATTTTTCATGTTGCATTCCCATGGGGAAAGTGCCTTATACCCATTCTATAGATGGAAAAGCCAAGGCCCAGAGAGGCTAAAAAATGTTTTCCCTAGTTATAGTGTCACCATCAGGGTTTAAGGCTGCCAGTTACCTGTTGCACCCAGGAAAGCGCCAGCTTTCTCCTTCTTAACTTCTTTATTCCCCGCTGAAATACAAGTTCTTGTGAATAAAACAGCATCATGGAAGCACAGCCTCACACAACTTACAGCATCCTGACAAGCCACCTTCTCCAATGGTCCCTCTGCAGGGTGAGGGAATCGAGGCCCAGAACAGGGAAGGGGTGTTCCTAATTCCCACATCTGGCCAGTGGCCTGCTTCCCCTCCCCAAGCCCCAGGCAGTCCCCTTTCTTCTTTCTGCTTCTGTGAGTCTATTTTAGATCCCACATATGTGACATCACGCAGTATTTGCCGCCCCGTGTCTGCATTATTTCACTTAGCATAATGTCCTCCGGGACCACCCACGTTGTTGTGCGTGGCAGAGTGGTCTTGTTAGGGCTGAATGGCTGGATAATATCCCACGGTGTGTAAATACCACGCTTCCTGTATCCATTCAGCGGTGAGTGGACATTTAGGTCATGCCCTGCTCTTCAAGCACCCTGTTGAGAGTCAAGCCCAATGAGTTTGGGCTTTCACAGGTTACCAGGCTTTTGGGTTAAATATCGGAGCTTCGGGTTAGAGGTAGGTGGGGGCCATGGATCCCCTCCTCTGCAGTATGACTGTGGGGGATGCTGGCTGTGCTACAACAGGAGGGAGTCTGAGACACGCATTTATGGACAAGCAACGGGGCCAACGCTGCAAACAAGCTGTGCCCTGGGGTGGGAGTGGTCACTCTCCCCTCTCAGGGGCTCTGAGTGGCACTCCGCCTGCACAGTCCAGGCTAAAGCAACCACACTGAGGTCTCTGGGGGGGGCACTGAGCACCCTTGCTAGTGCCCTGGCCAGGAGGCAGAGTCCTCCGTGCAGGTGAGGGACTAAGGTCGTCTGGGTTCAGGATCCCCAGCTACTGGGAGGCTAGAGGCTGCTGGGCCTGCAGTGTGGCTGAGCCCATCGAGCTAGATGACGGGGCCCTGTGCTGTCTTCTTCACTGGGAGCTTTTCTTAAACACCACTTTTTTCCTGAAAAAAAAATTATTTCCACCACTCCGTTTTTATAATTACAAATCCGTGGGTGGATTTTAATAACAAAATTTGAAGTGTGAATTAAACAGCCCTGAAGCAGGGATTTCTGAACAGGATGTCATACAGAAGCATATTTAAATAAATTTTCAGACAGAGCACCTAAAACTGTTCTCTTTTGGGGTAAAAAGACCATCATTGTAGTATCTTTGAAATAGAAGGTATTGGCACTTTCCATACTTATTTGTGCTTAGTGTTTGCATTGCCTTTCATCCTTTGCTTACCTGTAGAGCAGAATTGTTGTTAGCATTTAAAGAGGAGAAAATATTTATTGAAAATTACTCTCTTTGGGCACAAGAAATCAGTATAACTGGTATCCTATGGGGCAGGGAAAGGGTGGGCTGGGAGCCATTTTAACTTCATACACTTTGTACCAGTTGCATTGTGAACCACATAAATGTACAAATTAAAAAAAAATAAAAATTTAAAATACAGAGTAATTCCCATCTCATGTCCCCAAAGCAAAAGCATGCAAAAAAATGACCCTGCATGTTTAGCGAAAAGCTAGGAGCAGAAGCCCCGCCCCTGACTCCTCAGTGTCCTTCACATCGGAATGCGTTGGCCACCTTGCTGCCCGCCCATTCCCGACCAATCAAAAAAGGGGGGGAAGGAAAAGGCAAAGAAAGACAAGATTGTTACAAAGGTGGTGATGGCATATAACAATACCTCCCGTTATGAACTCTTCCATTGCCAATAGAATGTCAAGGTCTTTGTGGATTTAATAAGATCATGAAAATCCAGGACTTCCATGAACCCTAAAGCAATGACCAACCCATAGAAATGGTAACTACGGCTGTGAGAGCTTGAGATATAGATATAATCCTCCTTCACAGGTAAAGGAAGTGAGGCTCAGAGAAGCCAGGGAGTTCACCCAAGACAGTGTGAGTGAGGAAGGAGCACCTGCCCATTTACCTGTTGTAGGTAAGAAGGTCATCACGTTTTCCTTCTTGGCTTCTTCTTTAATAGCAGTCACTAAAATAAAAGGAAGTTTTCATCAGAACAGTTATAACCCAGACATGACCTCAGAGAGAACTAATCCAAAATACTCATGCTAAAGAGAGAAAATTATGGAATGGTGAAGCGACTTGCCGAAAATCACACACACAGTTTGTTCATTCATCCAATCATTCAGTCCGATATATATCGGCCACCTGTAATGTACTAGTGACTGATAATGTAATTCAGCAGCTGGACTTGAGCAGGCGCTGTGTGTGTTAGACACCAAGGCAGCACGGCGAGACACGGATGTGGACTCCATCCTCACGGAGCTCATATTTTGCTTGGGAAGGCAGACATCGAGAAAACGAAGACTCGGGATTCTACTGCAAATAAGGTTAGATACTTTGAAGGGCACTTTGTGGGCATATAACAGGGACCCTGATCTAACCTCAGCGATCTGAAAGCTTTCCCCGGGAGGTGATGTTCAGCTGAGGTCTGTGGGTTGAACAGTAATTGAGTAGGTTAACTGGCTGAGGGGTTACTCAGCGTACAGCTAGCATGTGCCTGGGGTTTGAGATGGGCCTGAGTGTGACTTGAAGGAAGTGTGAGAGGCTGAGAGTGACAGAACACACAGAACAAGGAGGTGGGGGCTGTAGGAAGTGGCCATGGCGAGGTGGGCAGGGTCACCTCGATCATGTAAAGGGCTGAGGACACTATCCAAAAAGAAGTAGGAAGCTACTGGGTAATTTGGGGAGAGGGTAGAAATGAGGGGGGCACTTGGAAGGTGACCTACTGAGATTTATGAAAAGAACAGGCAAGCTGGTGAGTGGAGGACGGATTATGGAGAAACAAGACGAGAAGCAGGGAAGCGAAGATGATGGTTTGGACAGGAATGGTAACAGTGGAGGTGAAGATGATTCTGTTGCATAAATGCCATTTCGATCAAGCTCATTTAGGATTCTGGCTTGAAGTGTTGGCTGCTACCAGCATTTATAAAGAAGACACTTCTCGAACTTTGACAGGACCCACCTGTGTTCCAAAGGGACAGGACACATGCGAGGCCCACGCACAGCCTCACCGGAGCACCGTGTACTGGGAAGCCTGGCATGTTTGTGATGGTCTAGACCACCTGGAAACAAGCAAGCAAGCAGCTTGAAGAAACAGGGTAGATTACAGAATATTCTTGAGAACACTGCACGGGGAGTCATTAGCAATCTGTTCTGAAAAGGCTCTGTATCACTAGGATAGGTTGGGTTATGCAAGAGTAATGAGTTAACCCCACCGTCTCACTGGCTTAATTCAACAGCAAAAGTTGATTTCTTGTCTGTAGTCCACAGTCGCTGCATCCTGGTGGGAAACTCTGCTCCATGCGGTCACTCAGGGACCCTGACTAAGGGAGCCTCCCCTGTCTCGTGTGTGGTCCTTTGTCTGGTCCGTGCAGCCTCCTTAGTCGCTGATTTATCACGCAGCGGAAGGGAGAGAGGTGGTAGACCACGTATCCCCTCTTCAGTGCTCTGGCAGGGAGTGACACACCCCCTTTTATTTAGGGCCCATGCCAGAATTACTGGGGTGGCCCCGCATACTGGCAGATCTGGGCACATGAGGGAGGTGCGCCTGCCTACTCAGGGAGAATCGGTGTCTCTTCCACGGTTTCTCTGGCTGGTTAGATGGGAAACACCCTCCGAACAGCACATTGCAGCTGCTTATAAATGGGAAAAAATTAATAACACGAGTGTCTGTGAGCGTTCGCACTTCCTTCTCGGCAGCGCTGTGTCCCAGCAAATCTCCTGGGCATGTGCTGTGCAGAATCAGCGTGACAGTCAAAGCTGCAGAGCTGAGACTAATGAGACTAATGGTGACAATTTACTGAGTGCTCTCTGAGTGCCAGACACCACACAGAATGCTGTCTGGCGCATATTATCACTTAAGAACCACAGAATCTCTCTGTGTCATTGTTAACGTAATTCCCGTTTGACAGACAGGCTGCACAGGCAGGAATTTGCCCTGGGAAAAGAATGAAATAGATCTGGAAGGTATATGGGGGAAGGGAGAGAAGTCGAGAGAAAGTGGCATTGAGGAAAAGGTCATGGCCAATTAGGTTCGAAGAAGTTGTGCTGCCCATTTGAGACGGACTCACCTTTGGAATTTCATTGAAAGATCCCAGTAAACATTTAAATTGCTTTCTAATTATTGGTGGGTTGTAAGTGATGTCTCTTCTGGGTGCCACCCTGCCCAGAGCCGGGCCTTCCAAGGGAGCAAGCATTTGAAATGCTTTTGTCTTGTAAACCTGTCTCTTGGCAGTTGAACTGGCAGGGCCCTTGGCCCTGAACCTGAGAGTGCAGAGGGGACTCCGCAGCAGTGTGCCTTCGTTTTTAGACCTCGTCTGTTATTTCCTTCCTTTGAAAAAATCCATCTCGTGTCCACGTGCAGTGCTGCCATTTTGTGGGTTTGGTAAGCTCCAGATACTTCTATTTTGTGTGCTTTTTATCAGAATTATGTTAAACTGCTACCACACAGAATGCTCAGAACTTTCAACTCGCCTTTATTAAAATAAATATTTAAAATAACTATAGGAAAAAAATGAAAAATTCATCTTTCTCATTTTACTTTCTCAGTCATCTTGTAGAGAGAGACTTGGACATTCTGATTTCACAAGAGAGGGGCCCAGGACCAGAGGTCGAGTCCCCCTGCTTATGGTCACACGGCTCCTGAGGGGACAACAGGGATTTGAACTGTGGCCCCTCAGACACCAAAGTCTGTGTCCTTTTCTGCCACGCAGTACTCTGTTCCCCTGCCCGTTGAAACACCATCCAGCACAGCCACAGATGGGTCTGATGTTGAAAACAAACAATCGATTATTGCAAAGCACTTTGGTGGACAGAAGGAGCTACAAGTCCGGTCACACTCCTGGAAGAAGGGCTGCGCACACAGCGCTGTCGTGACCGACGAGCCAAGAATCTGCCCAAGAGTCTTGTGAAATGAATTCACAGCACGTCCCTGTTACACTGGCAACAGCCCTGGGGCTGGAACGTGACTGGTGAGAGCGAAGCCTCTGCAGCCTTCATTAAACATCGTGTCGCTTCCAGTTAACAAGGATCACCAGCCACAGTTAGTGCAGCCAGCTGAGCAGGCCTGCCTTTCTCACTGCACTTGGCAGCCCAAGGAAAGGTGCCTGAGCAGACACAGAACAATTACAGTGCCCAGTGGAGAGGCGAGCGCTCGCCCTGATGTCCCATTTCGTGTGGACCAGCTGCAGGGAGAGCTACGCGTGCTCAGGATGGTCCATTCATTCAGCAGCCTTCGTCACCACCATCGGCTCCCTCTTCCTGAGAAGAACCCCGGGGCTCAGGGGTACCCAACCCCTTGCCCAAGGCCCTCAGACAGACCTCACCCCAGGCGGTGGGCTCCCAAGCTTGAGGGACAACACAGAGAGGGGAGGCCCTGGCTTTTCAATAATAGTTAGTGCAGAAAAAGAGGTGAAGAGTCTAGTATTTGTGGACTGTCTGATGTGCCAGGAATTTTCCCTGTGGTCACCCACTGGTCCTCGAAACAATCCTATTTACTGGCGGTTTTCCTTACTTTACAGTGTGAGGAAACTAAGGCTCAGATGAGTTAGGTCTTAGCCTCCATCCATGTAGATCCTGGGTGACAGAAATGCCCAGATTCCTCCTCTGTCAGCGTCCAGGGGCCCAAAGCTCGGGAGCAACGGCAGGTGCGCTCTTTGCTGGCTCCACGCTTCGGGGAGGAGAGGAAGCCAGAGGGTTTTAAAATATCAACAGCATTTGACTTACCTGTCTCCTGAGCAGGATAAAGACTTCAAAGGGTTTAAGCAGCCAGAAGGATTAACGGCTAAGTCTGGGCTGAGCGGAGGGGTTTATATGAGTTCTTAGTGAAAGATACAGGGGGTGGGGGTGGGAAAGGCTTGATCACTCTGCCTTAAATCCTCCGGTGGGGGCAGAAATGGAATAATAATCCTACCCAGACCTGGGGGCAGTGAAACAGGATCGAGTCCACTGGAGAAGAACACCCCTGCTAGGTGCTGAATGGACTGGTGAGCAGAATGACAAAGCAGCCATTCAGCGCAGATGGGAGCTCTCTTCTGAGAGTAATTATGGGTGTTGAAGGAGCAGAGAAGGATCACGGAGTGATGATTTCCCCTTCCTGTTGTAAAGGTCTGGGAGCCAAGCGTCACCTGGCATGGGGGCCCACAGTCACTCTGCTCGTTCCTTTTAGCAGGTGCCCAGAGCAGACGAGGCAAGCCTGGCCCTTGCTGCCTGCTGCCATAAGGACTCAAGGGGGGTTGCGTTGTTAAACAGTCAAAAAACCAAAACAATAGTATGTAGTGACACGTCGAAATGGTATGAAATTGAAATTTCAGTGTCTATAAATAAAGTTTTATTGGCACATTCCACACTCATTCATTTGCCTTCTCTCCAAGGCTGCTTGTGCTACCTCAGCAGACTGGAGGAGTTGTGCTGGAGCCCCCGTGGCCCACAAAGCCGGAGACACTGATGCTCTGGGCCTTTACCGAAAAAGTTTGCCAACTCCTGGCCCAGAAGATCCTGTGCAGTCAGATTCCTTCCGCTTGTGCCACCCAAGTTCAAGGTTGGCCTTTCTTGTCTGCGCTTCTGGAATTTTTGCTAACTTGTCAGCTGCTACCACTCTAGGTTCCCTGAATGAATGTCCCTTGTATCAGCCACAGAGGTCTTTTTTTAAACCACTTTGTTGAGGAATCATATATACTCTCAAATTCAGCCATTTGAAGTATACAATTCAATGGCTTTTACAATTTGACAAGTGGCATAACCATTACCACAATCTAGTTTCAGAGTATTTTGACCACTCACTAAGATTCTTTGTGCCCATTTACAGTTCATCCCCCCACCCCCCCAAGCCTCCGGCCCCAGGCACCCATCCGCTCCCCATCTCCGTAGGTTTGTGGGTGACAGTACCCTCCTGACTAAGCCCCTGCTTCTGCCGATGCCCCCTTCAGCGTTCTCCATGCAGAAGCCAGAGACCCCCTTTTTGTCACAGATCAGATCTTGTCACCCCTCTCCTCAAAGCCTCGCAGGGACTTCCCATCTGACTAAGAGTAAAAGCAAAGGTCCTCATTGCGGCCCAGGAGGCCCTTCCTGACCCCCTGTTACTCCCTGGTTTCATCTCCTGCTCCTCTGGGCCACCTCTACTGGCCCGAGGCTGACCCGCCCGGGACCAGAAGGTCAAGTCCCGGGCATGTTTCCCTACTTGATGTGGAGGCAGGGGACAAGGACAATGGGACTTCTCTCAGGGGGACCTCACCTTACATGCCTTCAGTGTGGGGAAGCCATTGGGTCCCAGGTCCACTGGAAGTTCAGGCTCGTTGTAGGAAAGAGACATTGTTAGGAACAATAGCTGCTCCCAGGAGTATCTGCGATGTGACGCTGTGAATGGACTTGCCCCATTTGTGTGAATGGAAAGGGATTTTCTCAGGGATATAAGTTTTAGGCTCTTTCTCGGTCAGTGAGGCTGAGACTGGGGGTGGAGAAGTTCTGTGGGGGAGGAATAAGTGCTTGCAGAGTGAATGCTGTTTTCATCACTGCAAAGCCAGCCACAGGCCTTAGCAGTGACAGATGTGGACCTCGGAGCTGGATCATGACCTTGAATCAGAAGAACAGCCGCCTACTCGGGTTCCTAGAGGCTACAAGCACTGTGTATATGATGAATCCTGCCCGCGGGCATTACGGTTGGCCTGCTCAGTGCTGGCCCACTTTGTCCTTTGAACTAGAGTGTGCACTGGGGCAACCTGGCTGGGGTTTTGTTTACTTCAGGTACGTAGGGATTTGAATGGGCTCAGGTAGCAGGTGCTGGTGATTCCCGCCCCCAAATGTCCTCCGCCCACCTGAACCCTCCTGCAGTTGCATTAGACAGGTCTCACTCAGTACACTGACAGCCCCCCACCTGTTGGCCGTGTCTTCCTCCCCCTCTGCCTTAGGGCTTTGGCACCTCGGAGCTTGCTCAGCTGTCTCGCAGAGAAACCTGATGGAGAAAGACATTTACAGCCCTGGGGCCACCCTCAACCCCAGAGGAGCTGGGGCCAGCTGGTGAATGGCCCAGATTCCGGCCTCAAGGTGGAATGAGTCTTCGGTACATTTACACGGGGCCAGAAGACATTAGAGGGTTCCTGGTGGATCGAGCCAGTCACCGCATGGATCAGCTCACCCTGTTGGCTCCCCCCTCCCCGACCAACTCATCTTGCTATCTCAGTGCTTCCTGAGATCATTTTCCAAATCAACTATCTGCACCCAACCTCTTGTCTATTCTTGTGGCAACCCAATTTAGGCAGCCTGGCACGTGGGTACAAGATAGAGTCCAAAGCTGTCACTCACAGAAACTTTGCTCTGGGCTGGCTCCCAGGTTCTCTCTGCAAGGCAATCCAGATAACCACCTTTCAAGGTAGATAGCGTTCTCCCCACTTTACCGGTAATAAGTTAAGGCACAAAGATGTTAAGGGCCTCTCCCAGGTTCCCCACCCTGACTCCCTCCTCTTATGGGAAAGCATCCCTTCCTGCTGTACTGGTGATGGAGAGGCATCTGACGTGACCTTTACTGATCTCCGCCCCGCCGACTCACAGTTCCTCTGTGATCTTTCTTCCTAGTTGGTTTTGGAGATGAAGCATCTCCTAAGGAAGTCACCTGAGGATCAGGGACAGGAGGGCTTGGGCTCTGCTTGTGGCTCTTCCACTTGTTAGTGGCTGATGGTGGGCAGGCCTCTCTGCGTGTCTGGACCTGAGTTTCCTCATCTATAAAGTGAAAGTAATAATGTCTGAAAACTGTGAAACCTGCATAACTGTGGCTGTTTCCCAGGAAATGGACAACCCCTTGCGTTCAATTCTTTTCTTCCGGTCTTTCCTCCGGCAACGTTTTCTTTCTTATTTATGGTCTCCCCCTTCGCTGCTTCCTTTCCCGCATTTTACAAATATACTCGTCTCCCTCATCGCCTTCCTGCCACCAACAACAAACCGTCTTTTCTCATCACTCCGGGTCACCATCCAAGCAAATAACATGCTACGGCATAATCATTGAAATGTCAGTTTATTAATAAGTGGTGCAGTATTTACTTGTTTTAAGAGAGAACATAAAAAATCAAGTAAGAATTATTTGCATAATATATGGAAATCAACCTGTTAAAGTTGTTCAGATATTGGACAGAGCCAGAATATAAAGGACACGTACGATTTAAAAATTACAGGAAATGATATTATAAAGAGCACTGAAGGCCACTTGTGGAATGTTCCCATGGAAGCCGGAATGTGAAGAAAGCCTGCTCGGAGCGCGGAGACAAGTTCAGGGGCAAGGCGCCAGAACCGTATGCTGTCAAAGGAGGTTAAAGAAATGACAATCCAAAATCAAATACAGTGGGTTTGTTTTCCATTGCTGCTACATTAGAGGATCGAGAAAAAGAATAGCCATATCCTGTCGAAAGCAACACCGAGAGCACTTTTCTCATTAAACCAGGGAATGATTGACAAATCAGAGGAAGGTGGCCCAGCCTCCTACGGCGATTTTCAAGATGGCACGCAGCCTGCCTCGTGTCTCCAGCAGCAAAATCTTTGACACCTGACAGAATGGATCCACCAGTCGTGGAACTTGGCCTCTAACCTGGGCTCGTAACCTTCGCAGGCGGAGAGCGAAGCTGCTCTCCCCTCCCTTGAAAAAGGATTCAGTGGGGAAGAAGCCCCGCATTGCCAGACCAGGTTGGCCTCCACTGGAAACCTCTGTCTTTTACCATCGGCAGTGAGAAACACAGCTGTTTTGAGAGTTTGGCCTCGCAGACAGTGTTTTGAAGACTCACCTGTTTCTGCAGTTTTTCAAAGACCTGAAATACAGGTACAGTCTAGAGACAAAAGGCCCGAGTCACGAGGGACATTTGAACTTGTTTGGTTAAAGCAATGACAGGAGATCTATCTGTTCGGGCCGAGAACAAGGGGTGCAATGGGGTTTATCTGCAGCTGCACAGAACTCCGAGAGCTAATGGTGCCAACATAAACCAGATAATTTAGGTGGCATTCTTTCCTGCCACGGACAGCTGGAGTGTGGAACCACTCAGAGGGACAGACAGGACCCGCTAACAGCCAAGTGGAGCAGCCTCTGCCGGAATCGCTCTTGTCTCCCGGGAAGCAAGGGGTCTGTGATCATTTTACTGTAGGGCTGCCTGGGCAGAGGAGGGCAGGGCATGGGAAGGACCAGGGGGCACAATTTGGTAGCATTTCCACTTGACCTGGGAGACTTGAGTAGGGGGAGAATGAGCTTTGGAGGTTCTCGGGCTTTGGTTACGATCCCATCTCTACTCTCCTAGTGAGTGAGCTCTGGCAAATGATTCTCCCTCTCAGCTTTCGTTTCCTTACCTACAGGATGGCGCCGTGCCCCTCCCCCAGGGGTTGCCGTGAGCATTGCATGAAATCGAGAGAGAGAGCTGTGACACTGCAGGCCACTCATAACGGCAGCTTAGGGTCCGTCTCTCTGTCCTTCCCGGCCTCCCATCTTGCGGGCAGAGGAGGAGAACGGAACTCTGAAAATAGGCTCAGCTCTCAGGACTCTGAGGCATCAAATTTTTGTCCACTCCATTATATTCCTAAGCACTGGGCTAGGCTTTTGACTGCTTAATTATGTTATACTCAGGTTATTTGTATATAGGGCTCATTTCGACTTGTTTTGCCCTGGAACTCATTTTAACCCATAACAGTGCTATGTGGAGGCTAAGAAGACTTCGGTGGGAACCCGTCTCTAAAATCAGAGGGTCACCTACCGCTGTCTGAAAAACTGACCGCTTTTCTACATCTCAGGAGCTTCTGGTTCCATCTGATTCTGGAGAACTGAACTTCCTGCTACTGGGCTCAACAAGGGCTGTTGAGGAGCCGGCCAGATTCTGGCAAATCTGTTCCAAGAGCAAGATAAGGGGAAATGACTATGGAAACCCACATTTGAGCCAACAGAGGCCTGTTTGCGTCCTAAAGCAATTTCCTAATTACCCCAAAGTAAAATGTCTCGTGCCGAACCCCGTTTACTCCTTTGCAGCTTTTGGTGGAAACCTTAGAGAACCTGGCGGTGACCTGGGCAAAACGGGCCTTCTGTGGGACGGGACAGGAACCCAGCTGTGTCCAGGCGAGACCAGAGACCCCAGCACAAAAGCAGAACTGGCAACTTGGGGTCACATGTACCCCAAAAGAAATCACATCCCATATTCTAAATCAAACCCATCAAATTTTTTAAAAGGAAAAATCCTGTTAAATTGGCTTATACAAGAAGATACCATCTGAGGCATGATTCTGGAGCTGAGTGGGCCCAAGTCACAGACCAAAGAGCTGAACAAGTCCAAACGTGGCAGGGCAAGGAGGGGACAGAGTAAAGGGGTGGGAGGAGTGGAGGGAAGGGGAAGAAGGAACGCCGTCATCTTGTAAGCATAGGATCATCAATTATATTCCAGAAGAGTCCAAAAGAAGTCCCAACAAATGTGTCTGAGTTAGCAGCGTCTAGAGTGGGCAGCAAGGTTTCCTGCATCTCCTGGGCCCGACAGCAATACTTGGTTCTCACTGTTATTTTAGTTTCGATCTCCAGCATCTGGACCAGACGCTGGGAGGCCTGGGTTCTCTAGTCACTCTGCACCCCCAGTCATGCAGTCCTCACTGAGTGCGATTCTGCTTCTGCGTGATCAGGGTCTCCTCTTGCTCTGAGGATCTAAGAACCTATGAATTTCTCTCTCCCTGCATCTGCACTAATGAAGCACACGACTGGGCACAGCTTTCCCACAGGCATGCTGAAGTGGAGGTTGTTAAAGCCTGTGAACAAAAGCCCCTGGGGACAGTCGGAACAAGCTTGAATACTTCTTCTGGGAGTCCTCCAGCCCCTGGAGGGTGGTGTCTGACATATATTGTGGCCCAGCCTGATTTTCCTAAAGGAAGCCACCAGTGCCTTTACTTTGAATGGTTTTTGTTACTCAGCTTTTCCTCCCTGCAAATCATCCTCTGACAGAATGGTGCCATCCCTGATATTTTGTGTCCAGTGGGACGGCTACGACCCTGCCTCTGAGATCCGACAGGCCTGCTCTTCATTCCGGTATCCCCACTCTCATTTTGATGGAAGAGTAAACATTTTTATTTGTAAAGATGTACTTATTCGAAAAGCAATGGTGTAAGTGCCTGATTTTGTTATAATTGGGATTGTATCTCTGCCATTTTTTATGAAAACAAACAATGGTGTAAATTTAGAGTTCAAAATTAATACCAAAGATGGAGGCAGTGGAGTCCACACTATAGTAGAGGAACATGTCTGACAGTCCCCAGTATATTGCTGTCACTGTACTAGGTGCTTCCTATATATTGATTGTCTCATTGAAAAATCAAAACTGGTTGGAAAAGTCCGACACTTCTGAATGTCTTGAAACTCAAGTTACTTCCAGGTCACCTCTATATCCTTCCTACCTCTCTGACATTTCCATTACTGGCTTCCAAAACCGCTAAAGCTATGCAGGTAGCCTGGTTTCCAACATGTTCTAACCTCGGGCATCAGTGAGTTGCTACCTGCTGCCTTGTTTAGGGGACTGTTGGCTCAGATTTGAATAGTGTAACATCAGTAAGACAAGAAATTGGATTGATTGGGATACAAAGAAAGGACTTACAGTCCTTTAAAAAGTTCCTCTTGAAATAAGCAAGCCTTCCTCATAATAAAGATATGAGGAAATTCTTAAGGATACCTGGGGTTCAGAAAGCGAAGAAAGTTCTCATGGTTCTAGATGCCTTGGAAGCACTCTCACAGAAAACAAAGACCAGCTACATGGCTTTCTGGGGAAAGCCTGGCGCGTCACTCTCCAAGGTGCAATCAGCTTTTAAGATCACTGGATAAATTTCTCCTCCACCCCAGGGGAATCAGGCCAGCTCATCCCCATGGCAGAGTCACACCTTTCTCTTGAGACAGAGGCTGTGTCTTGGCTGGTACCATAAGCTGCTCTTGGTCAACATGATGAGATGAAAAGCAGCTCAGCTATTCGCCTGAACTCAGTCCTAGTAGGGATTGAGAGGGGAGGTGTTCCCCCACCCCAGACCCAAGAACCTTCCCAGGTCTCCAGAACCTTCTTCTTGTACACCTTATCTGAAGCTATCAAGTCCAAAGCATTGAACCCAAAGTCCCCACTCAACCCACTCATTCTTCCCTTGGTCGAACTGTTTTGATGCAGAAGTTTTGCTCAGTTTCTTCCATGCTCAGTCTTCCAGTGATTCTAAGTGAGAATGCATTCCTGTCTGCATAGAGTTGTCTTCAGTGATGAAATCAGATTCCTTGCCACTCTTGGCAGACATTATTAGAAGGAAGCTCTGATATCTGCAGCCACCAAATTCCTAGTTTTTGATGGCAGAAATTGTGGTTTTCTTAGTTCTGAATTTCAAGTGCATTGCTCAGTGCCTTGCCGCTTAATAAATCTTGTAAATGAATAAGTAAATGTTTTTATTACATTGTCCTTACAGTGGCATTGAATTATGAAAATGGGCTCGGCGAATTATGGGTGGATCCTGTTGTATTAGGATTCTCTACAAGTAATTTTTCTTTCAATTTACAGTGCCAAGAACTGCCTTGCACAAAATAGACAAGGCGTAATGCGTAGCTGTCAATCAGTTAGCTCATTTTGAACTGTATGTACTATACCTTGGGCTTTTTAGATATGTTTTTATGAAGACCAGAGCTTCATGATGTCAGTGTCATGTCTAATAAGTCTGACTCAGTTTCCAATGAGATTAGAGTTATGGAATAGGACTTTTCCAATTGGGGGGTTTTCTCTCACGATTTTTAAAGCCTTTTGAGTGTGTGTGTTTCCTCATGTGCTGGTGTATGACAGTCAGAATGTACACTTGATCTCAAGCACTTTCTGCTCAGCCCAATAAACCCCCCTTTCACTACCAGTTGGAAAGTAGATTTACCTCATTCTTCCTGATCCCACTAAAACATGACCTCTCAAAATTTTCATATCACTTGGGACACAGAGACTGAATCCACAGAGTGAGATCATAGTTTCCCTGAAGAAGATCATTCCTAGTTTTTATAATGGAATTAACTTATCACCATTTCAGGGGATTCTGCCCAAACTGCTATGTCCTGGGCAAACTTCAGAACCACTGGCATTATCTGAAGTGGTATAATCTTCGCGTCATTAACCAGTTCTTCTGGATCATCACAACAGATCGTGCTGTTCTTTTGTCTGACAAAAAGACCATTGTAGAAGCACACACTTTCTCCCCAGAACTCATGTTCAGTCCTAGACCTTGAACTTCTTCATCAGTGCCAGCCATGTTGGTGATGTTGTCTAGGGGCAGGCAAAGGGAGCAGGTTTGGTTTGCTTCTCTGGAATATCTATATGTATTTTTCATTTTTACTGTATCGACATAAAATATAGTATCAGGAAAATTACACATATATTTTTCAAAGGGGATATCAAAGCAAACTATTCTAGATTATTTTTCTTTTTTGTTTTCTTAGATGGGAAAAAATAGCTCTTAAGAGTCTTATCACTTACTCATTCATGAAAAATGTACTTGGCCTTTGCACTGACAATGACAACATACGACATGGTGGAGACACAGTGGTAAGAAACACAAAGCCAATTCCTGCCATCCTGGCCTTAGGAAATAATAGCATCTCCCCTCCTTTTAGGTTGTTAGAAGAACCCAAGGCAGTCCTGTAACTCTGGGTCCCTGGTAACTATTGTTAGCTCGAGGATGAGAAAGCCTTACTTTGAGGTCCTGGAGAATGCATCTTTGCGTAAGATGCTGAGGCTACTAGGTCCGGTGAGGGTATTTGTAAGTCAGGAAAAATAGTGGGTGTCCGTGTGGGGTGCGTGATTCATTCTCTGTTTTTCTTGTTGCTATTTCAAAGAACTCATATGTATAAAGAAGAACAGTAACATATCAGGGCTGTCCAACCTTTTGGCATTTCTGGGTCACACTGGAAGAAGAAGGTTTATCTTGAGCCACACACTCAATACCATTGCAACATATAAGCATAAAATAATCTCATAGTGTTTTAAGTAAATTTAGGATTTTGTGTTGGGCCGCAATCATAGCCATCCTGAATTGCATGCGGCCTGTGGCTGCAGGTTGGACACCTCTGTATGGTAGGTGGCTCAGTCATTTCTGGTGAAAGATTCTAGGAAGGTCAGAATCAAGAACCAAGGCCTAGGGAAGGGGCATAGGATTTCTTAGGTTAGTAACCCAAATGGCACTCTCAGGCATAGTGCAGGGAGCTGTGAGGAGGACCAAGTGACCCCTGCCCTTTGCCCTTCACATGGCTGGAAGCCACTGGCAAACCACAGGGGCAGGGGTTTCATGTCCGAAGTGCATGATCATTCTGGTGTACTTCCCAGCTCAGACTTCAAGGTCCACACCCATCCGTTAACAGGACTCTGTGTAAAACACCCTTTCTACCTCTCATACTGCCTGACCTTGGCCAAGGACTCAAGGCTTAGGTTGCAAATTCCAAAGGTCAGGGACTAACCCTTCATTATCACTGTGTTCTAAGCCTTCTGTATGGTACCTGTTGACTTATAGGAAGTGCTTCCTCTCCCCCTCAGAGTACAAGGCCACTGCATTAGGTAGCGATGAAACCGTCAGCCAGGTCTGCCAGAGCTGTGATGACTCTGGGGACGCACACCGGTGCACTTACATGGAGACATTTGTTTAGACCACTTCAATCAGCTTGAGGGTTACCATGGTGACCGCCCACAACCAGTGGGTAGATGTGTGCAAAGGGTGAGATAATCATTACTGCAGAGGAGTCATTTGGCTAATTAAGCCCAACCCTAATAGAAACCTTTCCCATCAAAGTATTTCAGAGAGTAGCATTATCTCTTAAGGGGCCACAGCTCGTTAAGCTCATTAAACTTGTGCCTCGTAGTAACACTCACGTGGCAGAGCAGTGTCTCCCGGGCTCTGTGCTCGCGCCTCAGCTACTCTTACAGTTACGTGTAAAGATCTAGAAGAGTAGAAATAGATGGTTCTGGAAATTCTGTCTATGTGCATATTAATAAATGTAGCTTGCTTGTATTTTTTTTCTGGATCCAAAATACACTGCATCAGTAAGCACATTTTGCAAATAAAAGCTGACAACCCCTCCCCCTGCATAAATTGTGCAGTGAGTGCTTTCTACACAACGGAGAGTACAGGTGTCTTGGCACAATTTCTGGGACCTGCTGCATAAAGGGGAGAGTTGTGTGGTCAGAGGAGACCAGGTAATGGCATGAGTCAGATGACCAGGCTTGGAGTCCCAGCTCTCCCGGGGACGATGGAGTGGTCCCAGGCATGTCACTCTGCCTGAGCCAAAGGTTTCTCAGCTTTGCAAAGAGGGCTGTGGGCCAGGTAAGTCCTGTGCCCTTTGATGCCACTTTCTAGTTGAGATGGATCTTTTATCTAAGTATCAGGGCAGGGATGGGAGTTGGAACCTCATTTTGAAGGCACTGAACTTAGCTGCTGCACAGAGGGGCGCCCCACTTCTGGTAATTTCACAATCCTTGGCTACATGAATTGGGAACTTTTCAGACCTGTGCATGAGTGTTTTCTCCCTGCCAATTCGTAACTCATCCGAAATGCTACCCTGGGAATACCACCACTTTTTTACAGGTGAGGAAACTGAGGCATGACAGTAGACAATGGCAGACCAACCGAGGTCATTTGAGGGCTTTTAGAAGGTTTTGCTAGTTTTCGCCTTAATAAAATCATTTCTAAGATTCTTGGTTTTGGAGATGTGAGACTACCTCACTCCTAACATCTTAGCTCAGGAGGCAGCCTCGTTGGTATGCGATGTGTTTCTGTTGACAGCATTATTTGCTTGTTTTGTAAAACAATTAATCAACCATTGGCATGTGTAACAGAGAGATGTGGTGATCCAGGAAATAAGTTAAACTGCTTCCCTGCTTCCCTAACCAAAACCCAAACCCGCCAACCAGACAGACAAACAGAACAGCACGTCATTAATTTCTCCCTGTACTGGTCCAATCAGGAGTAGGAGTAAAAACGGCAGGTAAGTGTGCATCCTAGAAGACGTTAGCAGTACCACTTATATAGTGTAGAGTCATGCAAACCATGCGTCAAAGGAAGTGGCTTCACTGTGGTGACATGAGGGACAGGCCATGACAAGCCCCTGCCTGGGGGGGGGCCTTCACGCACATGCATGTGTTCAATGCAGCCACCGGTGACCTCACTGGTAGGTGACAGGTGTGAGAGCAAGTGAGCTATACAAAGTCTGTCTACATTACAAGGAGGAGTCAGCCCGTGACCCCCTTTACATGGGCTTGTTGGAAGGGGTCCATATGGAATCGGAAATCCCGTCCCCCGTGGATGATGGTGGCATAGAGCCACTGGGGGTGAAGGGGTCCGTGTCGGTGTCTGTCTCACCCTCGGCAAGGTACCGTTTCTCCCTCATCCAGCTCGAGCCCCCACTCGGGCCAAACACGTCGTCTCTGTCTTGGGAGATGCTGAAGCCACTTGGAGACCGTTCCAGCTCCTCGTGGTTGACCGACATCAGGGACAGGGGTGTGTCGCTGTCCCGTGTGATGCTGCGTCTCTGCCGCGGGGAGACCCTGTCCGAGCAGGGGTCAGCCGGGGACGGGTGGCTCCCCCGGGAGTCGAGAAGAGTCAAGATGGGCAGGACGGTGGGCCTTTCCATTGACGGCGCCGTTGAGGAGCGGAGGGCTGCTTGAACCTTCCCAGAACTGGGTCCCCCTCGGGGCAGGTTCACAGGGCCATGGGCAAGGAACCCATAGGGGCTGACTCTGTCGATGGGCACCTGGTGGAAGCTGTAGGGGGCCTCGGCGGGGCCAGTCTCGGAGTAACTGCAAATGATGGTTTTCAAGTCAGGGTCCCGGTTGTCCCCTTTCTTCTCCACCTCGGCCGGTGAGGGTGTCCCCTTGGTGGGGTCGTACTCCGTGACATGCACCTGCAGCCGCTCCACGTGTTGCATGTGCATGTCCACAAGGAAGTCCAGTTTCTTCCCCATGTCGTGAACCTGGAAAACATGAGGAAGCAGGAATCACTGTTTTCTCTGCGGGTGGGAACACTATCATTATCTCTGTGTTGCAGGTGAGGAAACAGAGTCACTAATGGATGAAGCAACTTGTCAAAAGTCACAGAGCTGGTACACAGAAGGGCTGAGACTTTTTAAAATATAAATTAAAATTTTAAAATGAAAAACGATTTTCTTGATAGGCCAAAAAACAATAATAATCAAAGAACTTTTCTCTCACCTCTCCTGTACAGATCCAAGCCGGGGTTATGAATGAAGTAAAGGGGTGGACGGACCTCCTAGTGGAACTCAGCAGTACCACCTACCCAGTGTAAAGTCTTGCACACGAGGCTGAAGGACCCAGGGGATGGGGGAAGGGGATGAGCAGTTTCTAAGGGGCCACCGTGAAGCACGTGAGAACAGCAGTGACCATCAGTTAGGGGCCGACAGTATGGCAGCTATTACTCCTTAGGTAATAAGGAGTAATAAGTAATTCACAGATGCCAACTCATTTAATTTCCACAGCAGCCTTATGAAGTATTCAAATCCCCGTTTTACAGTTGAGGACACTGAGGCTCGGGACCATTCATTCATGTGCATGTGGTCACCCAGCCAGTAAGTGCGAAATCGGAGACAGAATCTCCACACCTGTTTTTGGAAAGGTAGATACGTACGTTATTGACCTATGGGGAAGAAATGACTTTTGGACACAAATTTTATATACCGGTTCCTTAGTGCGGGAAAGGGAAGTCTTACCTGTCTCTCGACTTTCACAAACTTCCCCATCATGCTTTGGTCTTCAATTTCTGATGTGGACGCTCTGGCCACGTACGGTTCATTCCTAGGAAAGAGCCAACAGTCCTGTAAGATTGTTACACCTATTTTTGCTTTGCAAGGTCGTTTCGGCCCCGGTGGGCCATATTCCCATGCTCATCCTTGTGCCCCCAACCCCAATTCGGGAGGCACATGTGAGTCAGGAAAGTGAGTAAAGCCCCTCACTGTGCTGAGAGGGTCTGATGCCTTGAAATGCCTTTCCTTTGCCTTTGGTCTCAGACTGCTGCCTGAGAGCCTGGTGGGCCGTGGGGAGGGGGTGGTCTGATCTCTGAAACTCTATACAGTGGGGGACGATATTTCATTGGTTCCACTTTGTTAAGAGTGGAAATCAGATGCTGAATCTAGAAAATGACGTGCAAGATGGCACTGGAGGGATTGGGGCCGGAATGAGTGCTGTGTTTGCTCTTTGGTGACACGGTGACCTCTGTCTAAGTGCCAGCTGGTCGCAGTTGTTAGGGTCTATGCAGAAGAGTGCTTTCAGGGAGCCAGGTTCCTGCTCAAAACGGCGCATGTGAACTGCTGTCTAGGAAGCTGACTTTCTCTCCCAGGCCACCGGCTCCTGCTCAGTCCCGGGTCCCTCCTCGGGTGAGCAGTCCCGAGTTGTGCTACATCCAGTGCTTTTCTTACCCCACACAGCATTCTACCATATTACAACCATCTCAAAAGAGGGATATTTCACTTAAAATTTGGATAATCAGCTTTTCTTGAAAATAGACTATCTGAAAGCAGGATCTTCATGCCTAAAATTAGCATTATTTTCACATTCAATAACCATAAAAAAATGCATCCCCCACATGGTGTGGGTAAGGGAGCGGGAAGTCTCTTGCACAGAAAATGGCCACAAATCAGAACAGCCTTCAGACTCTTTCTCTCTGTTTTATCTGGGGGACTGGCAACCTCACCCCACCACAGGGGAACCACTGGGACTCGGGGTGGGGGCACTCCGCGGGCTGTGGCCCCGCACGGCCTGTCCGTAAGTACCCACAGACCCCACCTGGGAGACTGCTGGGATGGGTAGGTGAACGCTGTCCCTTTCTGAGACTTCTTGTGTTTTGGAGTGGATGGCGGTCCAGGGGTGAAAATCATATCTATTCTGGAAGAGAGAACACAACGAGAGGGATTAAATGACAAAGGTCTACACTACAGAGAGGAAAGCCGTTCATTCCGGTCCCTCTTCAGTCAGGTATGGACTTGGAATATAGAACTAAAGAGACCAAGGAGGACAGGGACAGAGAGAGAAACACAGAGAGAAAGGAAAAAAGAATTTGTCACCTCATTACATTATCTTTATTTTTGGCCTGGTAGTGCGGGGGGACATAGACAGCTAAACCACTGAGACGGGGAGAGGGTGCACCTCCTTATTTCTTACAGGAAACGTCACGTGTGCGGCAAGCCCATCTGGTCTTGCAGCTTGTTTACGCCTCCCCAAAACACCCAGCTAGGCGGTTTTTCCACGAAACCCTGGGCTCTGCCCTCGGCTCCGCAGATCTCTGCTGCTGGGCAGGCTTCTCGGGCTCTAGGGGCTTGGCTCTGACCCTGGCGCCATACCCTGCTTCCTCTGCCGCGTGGGGCACCAGCTCCCCATCGGTGCAGCTCCGAACACAAGAGATGGATGTCCCCATGGGCTGCAGAGCTGAGAAGGGCCAGGACATGAGAGCAGCCCTGAAGGCTCGTCACAGGCCCAGGACCACGGAGACTATGCACCCAGAAGCAGCCATGGCTCACTCGGTGTCTGCAGACCCAGTTGTCCCTCTCCTGACACCACTGGGGACTGGGTGGCCTTTCCTTTCTCTCTGGCCTCTCAGTGCCACTATCAGTGTCACTAGGGCCACACAATTCATCATCCAGGCAGTCAGCCTTCAGCCATGACTCACAGAAATTCATTTGCCAGATAAAGATCTAAAGGTATAAAGGTCCACCTGACATTCAGAAGGAACAGTACTCTGCAGTGGGTGCACCCTGGACCTCACGTTCCTCTGGTCTCTCAGAGCCGTAGTGCGTAAGGAACTGAGTTAGGCTTGAGCTCGTTCACACGCCCGCTTGTTAAGAAGGCCCCGAGTACCGACTGTGTGCCCATCGGCATTGTTAGCTTCCGACCCGTCATGTGTGATGGTCCTAGTAACCCTGTGGGACACCCCAGTGAGGAAATACTATTCAGATAAGAGACCGAGGTCCAGAGAGGACCTGACTCGTGTCCATTGGCAACTGCAGAGAAGGCGCTTCGAGTAGGACTTTGTTTTCTTAACCTCAGTTCCAGGACTCCTGGCAGCATTTTTCCTTTATTTTGTAAATGGTTTTCCTTTTTAAAAACGTGCTACAATTCAATTCATGAAAGATTCACTAAATCTAAGAAGTAGGAAGAAATCCCACATGGACTCATTATGTGCTATACATGTGCCCTGGGAATCCATTGGGGACAATCCCACTGCTGTCTCTGGGCCCCTAATGGGACAGTGTGTGTCGTGTGTATTTCTGAGTAAATGTGTGTGTGTTCGTTTGTGATCACATCGTACGTATGTATTAGTTAATATTCCTGCAAGATCTAGTAGGCAGAGCATGTGTATATGTAAATACATAATGATATATAAATGTAAATATAATTTACATATTTGTATACTCATACATCTCTGTATGCACACGTGTAGTGTGTATATCTGTTTCTGCCTGTATTATTAGTTTGTTGTCATGAACAGATTCCCAGGTCATACAATTTTTTTCACCTGTCTCTATTTTGTAAAGGTTGTGTGATGGTTATATAACCTTAATGAGAGCAGACGCTGTTCCTTTCTTCACCATTATTTTATAACTGAGGAGGTGTGGCTGTTAGAAAGAATACGAGCTTTGTAGCAAGTCAAACCTGGTTTGAACATTCCAGCTCTGCCACCTGCCAGCTGGGTAATGAATTTTGGGTGAGTCCTTTGCCCTCCGAGCTTTGGTTTTCTGCTTGGTAAAATGGTACCTGTAATGTACCACCTTACGGGGTTATGAGGGATTAGACACACGTAGGCAGAGCGCCCAGGTGGTCAGGAAAAATGGTGGCAACTAATTGGGTATCGATGCTGTTTCTATGTTTTTGCTACACCTGATGCATGTTTTTTCAATACGTTGAAAAATTTATATTTAGAATTAGCCAGCTAGACTCTGTTTAGGTGATGCCAGTTTTGCTGACAACATCCAAAGCATCCTAGTCAGGGGCCAGTGGGACATATGCTTTCTGGCCATGAGGTCTCATCGGGGTGTTGACCTTGGCCACACCAATGTCACAGAGCTTTCTCCCAGCCACTCTGATCTGGAGCTGGTTGGCTCTGACATGCACAAGGTTGGATGGACATACTTGTTCTTAAAATTTCTCCGCTGCGTTGGATTCTTTCTGAATGCCTTTCGCTCTCTGTTCTCAGGGTCTGTGGGTGAATTCTTTAGCAGCCTGGGAGCACAGTCCTTCTGAATGTAACTGTCTTACCTTGTCTGAAGGTACTTTATCCTGGAAAGCATGTCGAGGTGTCCCGCAGAATACTGCTCAATCACATCTTTCACGTCGTAAGGCCTCAAGGTCTCCTTGAATTTTTTTTTGTAGAGACGGAACTGTAAAATTCTGTAAAGGTGAAGTAGAGACATCTGAGTGTCGTGCATAGAGACTGGAGGAACCTATAATCAAAGGCGAGCAAACTCAGGGGCGGTGGGGGAGGAAAGAACCAAAGAGAAAAGGACTTGAAGCTCCGATTCCTGGTCCTGCTCTAGCCTTTCAAACTGCACAGAATAGGCGGGTTAGAACCTCTCCCACAGGACCACCTCCCTTCAATTATTTGCATAAGAAACAAAATCACAGTAACCCCAAGAGCTAATGTTGACTGAGGATTCATTTCAGACACTGAGCTAAGCATTTCATGAACAATCTGCTGATAGACCCATTTGTGGACGGGGAGACTGTGGCCCGGGAGCTTCAGCGGCTGCCCAGGACCGTTTGCTCATCACATCAGAGCCGTCCTCACACTCCGGGCTGCATCTGATGAGGCCATGCCCTGCATTACGGTGTCGCGCTGCCTGCTGCCCGTTTGAGGATAGATGATGCCTCTCGTCCTGAATAGCCTCTTCAGTGCTTTGGCTTATAAGCTTTTAATAAAAAAGAGAAACTAGCTTCTGTTCCCCAAGTTCTCTCGGGGGACACCCAGAACTCATAGATACTCACCTCCATCTTCCCGGGAGCCAATAACATCACCCTGGATGGCTAATGCTCCTTGACAACCCCATCCTGAGATCAACCCCCACTGCAACAGCATCAACTAAAACCCCTAACCCCAGGTCAGCGCTAGGAACCACCACAGACCCAGGCCTCCCCCCACCCACTGTCTAGTGCATTCAAAGTGTGTAGCCTTTTGTTTGCCGTAGCCCGTGGCTCCAGCCTCTAAACACCATTTGACATGTTGATCAAACTATCCTGTTAATTTGCCATCCCTTCCAACCTCATGCCATTTAATGAGCCTGCCCTTTGCGTAACTCCATCTAACTTAGGTGTCAGAACTATGGCTCAAAGGCCAGACCTGGCCCACTGCCTGTGTTTGAAAGTAAAGTTATGCCGAAACACAGCAACAGCCAATCACTTACATATTGTCTACGGCACCACAAAGTCAGAGTTGGACACATGCAACACACACCTGTGGCCCACAAAGCCAAAAATATTGATTATCTGGCTCTTCACAGAAGAAGTTTGCCCACCCTGGACTGAGACATCAATGAAATGCTAGAAAGGACAGAGCAGAAGCCAGACCGTGGAGCATCCCAGGAGAGGGAGAGACGCCCTCCAGGGTGTCACACACTCATCCCCAGAACTCTCTGGGCAAGGCCATTCAACCAGTTACCGGCAGTCATGTCCTGTCCAGTCGTGTCTCGGTCACAGTGCACGTGATGGCGTCATGAGACAACAGGGCCATGGCTTTGCTGAGGCCACATATTATAATGCTCCTGTGTTTCCCTCATCATTCGGACTGGGAACCTTGCTGGACACATCACGGTTAGTTCTTGGAGAACCAGCTAGTTTCTAGAGTTCACTGCCACCATTGTGGGGTTCTTATAAGCCCATACCCTGATCAAAGTTTTCTTGCAAGAGTGGTGTATTTTTATTTTCTTACGGAATTCTAAAGCAAAATAGGCATAGCCACAGGGGATTACAGTCTCATCTGATACAAATAAATAATCCAAAATTGATTATCTTGTTAAAAATTCTGTATCAAAAGAAGTACATGAATGAAGAGAGATGAAAAGCCCTTTTGAGTAAGAGGCCTGCCCAGGAAGAAACCCCCATGTCCTGACACGCCCCCTCACCCACAACACCCTTTAAAATATACGGTGGCCAAAGCCAGACAGAAGCATGACAGTGGGAAATACTGTCGGGAGCCCATAAGGGCGCTTTGGTGCACAGGTGAGCATCGAGTCACCCACGATGGCTTGCTGATGTACAAACCACTTTTCCCGAGGCAGCGCCCTCCGTGGGGTGCTGACATCCTCTTATACCTGCCGCAGGGGCTTCCTGACCACCTTCCCAAAGCCAAAGGCACTCTACAAATGTCCTGTGGCCCGGAGCTGGGGCCACAGGTGGGGAGGTAGGGGGGTGGCCTTACCTGACAGCTCGGATAACAACCTTCAGGGTGGGGATCATGTCTTCGACAAGGAAGTCACTCCCGTAGTCCCTGTCTTCGGCCGCGGGATCGCCCGTGCCGGCATCTGGGAGGGAGACACACGTATCAGGGGTGGACCAGAGCACTTGGGAAGTCACAGGGACCTGGTTCAGTCCCGGCCTTCCCTGCTCCACCTCCGGGGTCCTTGCTTCCACCTCCAGGGACCCTGCAGCTTCTCCAGTGGTGACATCACCCAGTTTTTCTCAGTACCCCTCTTCTATGACCCGGAAACCCCAGTCCACGGGGCCTCTTGGAGGCAGCCAAGGGCATATATATGGTGCTGGTTCAGACTCTTGCTCTTGCAAGTTATTAGCCTGTGACCTTGGGGAGGCTGTTTTCTGAGCCCTGCTCACCTCCCGCAGCCCTCGAAGGGTTCTCTTCCAACACGTCTTCCCACCCCCGTCTCCAGATCACCCTGCACCCGGCCCCTCCCCATCCTTCAGGTGGACCTCCATGCCAGGACCCTCATCACTGCCACCCTAGGGACCTGGGTGAGAGGTTCCTGAACTCCCTGCTGGTCTGCACAGAGGCATGGGGTTGACTACAGCCAGGAGACCAGCCACCTGGGACCCCCCTGCCCTGTGGGTTGTGGGGATGAGTCACAGATGCCTCCAGCCCTGGGACGTAAATGAGATGAAATGAGGAGCTGGTTCAGGGAGGGTAGGGAATGGGCTACTTTGCAGACTGGAGGGTCCTTTGATGGGGGATGGAGGGAAGGAGGCGGCCGGGGGAGCCAGAGTGGAGGTCTCGGGCAGGGGGCGGGGGAGGAAGGCCTTACCTTCGGAACTCTGCCAGAAAGCGTAGGCTTTCATGCGGAAGGCGGTGCGGAAGCGTTCTTTATTGTTTAAGCCAACAGGCTTTGGCTCTTTAGAAGGACTTTCTTCTATGGCATCTACATTCAGAGGGGTAAATAGCTTTCCTTTAGTATTGCTACCACGAGGATTAGAAAGGCGAACCCGATCCAAGAGACCCAGCTTTTGGCTACAAAATAAGCAAAAGTGAACAATTTTCCTCCTTGAGTGCAGGCTTTCGGAACTTCCCATCCCTCTCCATAAAGACTCACACACTCTCCTCCACGCATGAGTGGGACAGGCGCCCTCCACGCCACACCGGATGGAGAGGCTCGGGTGGGGCAGGGCTGGGTTCACACCCTAGCTCGACAACGTGGGGCACGTTCGTGAGCTCCTCTGCACTTCCATGCCCTCTGCTTACGCGGAGCTGCACTGAAGACGCTGGCTCGCCTCCGTGCACAGCAATGCCTCATCCTTTCTCCATCTCCTTGGCCCCAGTAACTTCCTTTGGACCACTCCACGCTGCCCAGACAGCGGCTTGCGCGGGAAAAGCCTGATCACTTGTCTCCCGGGCAGAATTAAGTAACATAAATTGCACGAGGCTGGTACCCTAACCTGGTGTCCACAGACACCCCTCCACGTATAGAATTTAGGGGTGTCCATGAGCTTGGATGGGGAAAACACGGCTCCTTCGATTTGCTAACATCTAGCTGGAATTTAGCGTGTCTTTCCATATTATGATTGTAGGTAACACGCCCCACTCAGATCCTGAATGTCCCCGTCACATGCCTCAACTTTCCACCACAGAAAGCACAGGTCATTTTATACCCTGTGCTTGTCACAGTTCCAAAGTGATGGTAGCGTTCAACCTGCCACCAGGTCCTGTCACCAGATTTGTCACAGAGAAGCGTGTACATGACCCATCTCAAATGTTTAAATTTTTGGATGGCTGTGTGTCAATATAGTGTTGACCCTTGAATAACTTGGGCTTAACTGTGCAGGTTCACTTAGAGTGGATTCTAAAGAATAAATACACTGTTGGCCCTCTGTATTCCCCTGGTTTCACAGCTAGACACTCAACTAACTGCGATCAAAACAGTGTTTTTGATCTGCACATGGGAATCCACGGATCTGGTGGGCCAACCGTAGGCGTTACTGGTCTCTGCCATTTCATAAGGAACTTGACCGTTTGTGGATTGTGGTGTCCGTGGGGGTCCTGGAACCAATCCCCATGGATACCAGGGATGGCTGTAGTTATGTTCTGGGGGAGTCAAAAGTCTACTGTAGATTTTTGACTGTGGCGGTCAGCCCCCAAACTCCCATGCTATTCAAGGGTCCACTGTAACCAGATTTTCTTGTAAATGCGTGCATTTTACTTATGGATTCAAAATTGTTATTCTGAGGAAGGGTCCCTGGATATCATCCTACTTCCCAAAGCATTTTTGGCACAGGAAAAAAACAAAACAGTTACTAAGTCCAGTATAAAGTCGTCCTGGTGCAAAACCAGCTGCACCTGGACTTGAAGTCCAGCTCTGCCCTTCAGCCTCTGGATGACCCTGGGCACGTCTCTGGCCTGGGCACATCTGTGAGCCTCAGTTACCTCATCTTGAAAACAGGGAGAAGCATTTCTGCTCTACCTGATTGCTAGGTAATGTTGGCATAGGATATGGCATAGAGCAGGCACATAGTAGGTACTCAATAAATACGAATTTCTTCCATTCCTCAGCCCTTTCTATGCAGTTGGTACACAGCAGAGAGAAGCCAAACTGCATGTTTTCACACATGGACAAACTCAGCTCAGTGGCTTCCTCCCCATCACCCGCACAGGGCTTGTCACATAGTAGGCATGTCATGCACTTGTGGAATAATTGCATAAGTGAATGGATGTGGGCTGTCAAGTCAGAGATAATTTAGTATTTCTAAGAGGGTGTCTGGCTATCACAGCCACGCGCTCGGTGCCAGAGCTGCTGACGTCTTTGTGCCGTGGTGTGGAGAGGTCACGGGTGTCGGAGCTGCAGAGGAGGCTGGGACACCCCCAACCAAGCAGGAGCCTGATGCTGACTGAGCACCAGGTCCCCGAGGGTTCAGCGAGTCTAACAACGTCTGCCTCCTAGACGCCTGGGGAGCATTACACATAGTAACATCTGCTGTTTCTGCCGTCAGACTGGCCCTGAACACACACACACACAAATGAGTGAACACACGCCCGAACCTTTGTGGTTCCTCACTGCCTCTGCACTGTTCTCTCTCACCCTCACTGCTACCTGAGTGACCTGCCCAGGGTCAATTCAGAGAACCTCCAACACACAGATGCGACTCACTTTCCTGAGTCGAAGTCACGGTTTGCTAACCTGCTTCCCCCACCTGAAGTGGATGAACGACTGATAGGATGAAGAACAATGTATCAGGGTCCGCTGGAAAGACTGGACTGCACGGGAAAGCGACTCAACATACGTGGAAGACGCTCCCTACCTATGAGTGAGTAAAGGGGCCTGTAGACCAGTCGCTTCTCAGGCCCCCTTCTTCCTGGCCCCTGGTACATATCTTGAGGGTCTGTCCTTCTCTGGCCACCATGTCCCTTGCTGGCCCCCAAGTCTCCTCCTGCATGGATGGGTACCCACAGGTCCTACAGCTTGTCGTGCCCTTTCTTGCCTTTTCCGTGACCTCATTCCATCTGCCCTTTAAAACTGCCTGCGCCCCCCACCTTGGAAATTACGTGCCCACCTCTGTTCCAAAGACATGCTGTGCTTTTCTCTGTCTCAGTGTAACCTACTGTGTGGAGATAGTGCGTCCCATGTCTGCTCGCCCCACTGCTGCAATCCGAGCAAAGCAAGGACTCTGCCTGGTCACCTCCGAACCTGGCACATACCCCTGCTGAGCACATCCCAGGGTGCAGGGTCACGGCAAGAATCATGGGCTTTGGAGCAATAGCAGCCTGGGTGGAAAAGTCCAGAGAAGGACGTGCCCCAGGACACCAGGCTCATCCTCTCCGGTCCCCTGCCTCCTCTCCTGCAGGAGGGTGACAGCCAGCCCTCCCAGCAGGTCAAGGGTTAAGTGCGGGTGCATGGAGACTGCTGAGCCACTGTCTGGGATGAGAGAAGCCTTCCAGAAACACTGGCTGTCATCGTTATCTCCGGAAAGCATTCTCTTCCCACCTCAGCAGGAGAGGGCTAATGGTGTGTAAAAAGGGTGGATAAAATGTCCCCTGGCCACAAAGAAAAAAAAAGAAGTCATAAATAAATAAATTGAAATAAGTTCTTTTAAGTTTCTTTTTATCTTTCTATTAGACTTGACATTCTATATATTACTTTATAGCACTTCTTCACTCTAGTCTCAAACATCCTCCATCGTCACTGAACTTGACCTTCCAGATAAACGAAGCAAGACAAAAGCAACAGCAGCCACGCTGTCCTGACGTGAAACCTCAGCATAAGTGCTGACTACTGGAAAGAGAATGAGAGGACTCTCTGGGTTCCATCTGGGCCGAATTTAAGTTTCACTTGTTGGGCATTTCAATGGCTCATTGCAACTGCTAACAGTTGGAACGGCTGTGACTACGCTCACTGAATACCCCACTGGCCACAGAGCAGGGTTTTTATGAGATGGGTTTCTTCAGCACCAGGAATCTGGATGTGCCGGGCACTGGTCAGAAACCTCTGCTCTGAATTGCTCGGGGCCAGTGCATCTGGGAGGCTACAGAATTCTCCCTCCAGCAAAGTGGGTCACCAGTTTACTTCTGAATTGTGTTGCCTGAACTCTAAAACTCTACAGGATGATCAAGGGCAAGGCACAGTGCGCCCCTGAAATTCAAAACCCGCCTCTGCCTCTCCCCACGTGCATTTGCAGTCCCGATTCAGGCCTTGGGCTCGGAGGTGCTGCGGGCAGCATGAAAAGCCCTCCCCGGAGCTGACATCAGGTTTCCTTGGAAAGCTGGGGTCCCTGATTGGTTAGGCGCAGACAGACAATTTTGAAATGTGTATTGAAAAAGCTGGAACTAAATGAATTGGGGACAGAGAAGTAAAATCAAGGTGTTCTGTCCTGGCAGAGGTAGCCCATGTCCTGGGCTCCTGGCTCAGGTCTCAGCCCCAGGGAAGTCCAGCCATAGCTCCGGGCAAGTCCCTGACTTCCCCCCCCCCCCCCCCAGCCTTTGCATCAGTCGTGACCCGCACCTAAACCCTAAAGGAATCTGACTTTTTATCTGAAACTCAGCCAGACTTACAGTAGAAAGTGTTACAAAGCTCATTGTCCCCCCAGAGCCAACCCGCTTTATCCGGTACACACAGCCTATACTTTGATCCTTTGCAGAAAACTCCCGTGTCTATTTTCCAGTTGGTTGATAATTCAGAGGGAATGAGGTGCTACAGGTCTACACTCCCCCGTGTCCCACAGGGAAACCCGAGACTAAGCCTCAGTGTTGGGAATGACTCTGAGGTTAAACAACCGGTCCGCGTCCCATCTCCACATGTCAGGTACTCACGGCCTGGCACCGGTGTCATGGGGTCTGTCTGGGTGGCACGAAATAGTAAGAGCCATGGGATTGAGTCCAAGGCTCTTATTTTGCTCCAGGTAACAATTTTCTCATCAGTAAAATGAGGGGCTTGGCTTAATTGAACTTTCCATTCCTGTGCACCTTTAGTAGTTGTTGATTCCAGGGCACAGAGGAGATTTATTGCCAACCTCATCCATCACTGTGTGAGATGAATCTCATGGGGCTAATGTTGCAGGGAGGAGGCAAAGTGTGAATTACAGCATCTGACCGTGTGCTCCTGCACTCTGTGGTATACCCTGGCGCTGAGCCTTTCCCTGCCTGCATGGCCCCCTCTCACGGCAGGAACTGCAGCTCCACGAGCCAAGAGAAGGCAGTAGGAACAAAACAATGGATTAGGTTAACTGTTCCCAACAGCCACGAGGACCAGCAGAGTGGCTGCGATCACGGACTATGAAGATCTGAGTCCTACTCTTGCTGCGTTCTTAGCAACACGACTTTGTGCGAGTCACTTGCCTCTTTGAACCTCAGTTTTCTCCTGTAAAATGAGAATTAAAAGTAGCGTCTATTCATGGGCTCACTGTGGGGCTAGATGTGTTTAGAACGATACCTGGCAAACAGTAAGCATTCTTTCTAAATGATTGCTATTATGCCTGAATTCTCTGATCCTTTCGCCTACTGAACTTGACAGCTTTGCACTGGGAAGGACATAATACAGACAGGAGATAAAGAAGCCGCCTGAACACACTTCTCTCTCCAAAGACAGCAGAAGAGTCCTGAAGGCTGCTGTTCAGACTGAATTGCGTGAACATGCAAAGTGCGCCATTGGGCTCAAGCAAATGGTTATTGTCAACAACTACCTGTTTTAAAAATTCAAAAATGCTAGTTTCCATCAGACCAGTGCCCCTAATCACCAGCAGTGCTGCACATGCAGTGAATAGTATAACTGATGTTGAAAGTAATATCCCAGCACAAAATAGCAGTCTCTTCTGGTGTAATCTATAGGATAAATGAGGCTTGGTGAGGTATACTGTTGATGTTCCGCAATGCAATACTATTTTGAGGGATCTGAGAATTCATGGGTAGAATTGATGCCTGTCATGGACAACAGTAATTTCTGTCCGCTCTGTGTTTCATCCCTATGCTTCAGGAAAAAGGACCATCTTCTATTCAGGAGCCGATGCCTCTAACTTCGACCCAGTGACTAACAGGGGCTGCCAATCACAGCATCCCAAACTCATACCCGTCCACTCCAACAGGCGAACACATAACCCAGAGTTGGGCTGGCAGTAGCTTCTCACTGAGCCACAGAGATTGTTCAAAGTGTGCACACAAGACACAGAGTGGGCCAATCTAAGTGCCTCCCGGGGGACTTTCGGACTGGAGCTGGGCAGAGACAAAGGGGAAAACGGGGGACCCCCTGCAGCTGCCTGCACCCACGCATCATCGGGATGGCGGAAGTCAGCTGAAAGAGTGAGGCCAAAAAGAGCAGAGATGAGGAGAGAGACCCCAGAAGGTCCCACTCCTTATTTCCCAGGGGTTCCCCTTGTGTCTGATGGGGACCCTCGAGCTAGTACATGTTCCTCCTAGTCCAGGCCAGAGTAGGTTGGGCTTATGACACTGGTAGAGTAGTTTGTCCGTGTGTGCATCCATCGTCCGTCCATCCATCCATTCATCTATCCACCCACTTTTTCAGTAAGCCTCACAGGGCATCGATCTGGGGATTCATGAACCCAGGCACAGTGATATTTTACATGTATGCTCCAGATTGGCTGACTTCTGTCCCCATCTGTATAGAAAAGGCTCTAAAGGTAGATTTCATAATTGGCAGTGTCCACACCTGTGTGGTTTAAAGGTCTGTTGGTCATGAGAAAAGGAGGGGAAAGAGCACCCACTGGGGGTCCCGAGACCTGAGCTGTGGAACCCCTGGAGCTGGTGAGCTCTGTGACGTAGGGCGAGCCTGCCCTCCTGGGGGTGGGGGGGCTCAGTTTCTGTAAGAATACCTGGAAGAGGGTCTCTGAGGTCCCCTCCCGCTCTGCCTCAGTAAGCCACGGGCTGCTGCAGGCTCTCTAGCTGATATCCCTAGATCCAGCCATGGTCATTCCCCCAGTCCCTTCTAGTCCCCCGCGGTGGCCCCACATCCAGGAGAGAAACCCTCATCCATTTGAAACAGGCGCAAAGAAGGCAGAGGCTGACCTGTGTTTCCATGTGCGAGTTAGCCAGCACTGTCTGTAACTCTCCTCAGGTGGGATTATGGAGGGGATGGGGTACCACGGGCCCCAGTCAGAAGGACCTGACCCAGCTTCCCAAAGACTACTGTCCTCAAGCAGTTCCCCTACAAGTTGGCCCAGGGTCCTGTCACCTCCTCTGTCCAAATCCCATCAGATCTAGGACAGCATTTGAACTTCATGTCTAGGAGACTCAGTGCATGGTCCCTAAGTAGTTTGTCCACAATAATAGATCAAAAGTGTATACTTTAAATGGACATTTGCAAGAGATAGTCGTTCTTCACAATCCCGAGCAGGGCACACAGTCTCCCTGACATTGTGGCATCTCCTTGAGAAGGACAGAGAGGGAGGGACAGAGAAGCACTCAGAGCCCAGAAGCTCCCTGCACCTGCAGTGAGCCTGCTTGACTGGGGAGACGTCTGCAGTGGTGGGGATCGTCAGGTAGAGTCTTGACGCACTTTCTGAAGAGCCATCCGCGAGCCCAAGGAGCGAATGATGTGATACGCAATGACATGTCATGGCCTTGACACTCAGACCTGAGTTTGAATGTTGGTCTTGCTGCTCAGCCGGGTCACCCGGAGGGAGTAGTGACTCAACCTCTCTGAGCCCAGATCTCTCCAATCCAAAAATGAGGACAGGAGGATACATTGTGGTTGGGAGGACCCAATGAAATAATGTGCACAGGACTCTGGGCACAGAATCCCGGCCCAAGGGGACACTCAGGCGGCGGCTGTTGCTATGGTCACCACTGAGGTGGCTTTGAATGGATTAACATGAGGAGGACACAGGGAAGAGTGGTCCCAAAACTCTACATGTGACTGGCATGGACTCCCGGGGACCTGAACCGAATGGAACTAGACCCTCGCTCTCAACACAGTGGTGGGAAAAAGAAGTTCATAATCAGAAACGTACCTGGCTGTGGACTCGAGCTGTTCTTTCCTACAAGAGAGGAGGAGAGAGAAAATAAAGCGCTGATGACGTGGAACCCTCCCCCCCCCGAGGCTGCCCCGAAGCTTCCCTTTGGCGAAGATACAGGAGGAAAGCAGAACTCAAGGACAGGGTGGAGTCTGGAGGGGCCGCCGAGTGAGAGGGGCTTCCCCTCCTGGACCCCAGCCCCCGCTGCTCTGAGCCCCAAGGCTCCCAGCCCTTCACTTACTGGACCAGAAAACAGTGGCTGAGCACCTTCTCTGCCCCAGGCCCTGTGCTTGGCTCGAGGGTGTGTGTAGCACGGGGGACAGAGCAGGGAACCAGGAGTTTCATCACTGAGTGGCTATAAACCCATCACTCTGTCATCACCATCTTCACTGCAAGTATCACTGGACAACCATTAACAGCTGGGTACTGTTTGAAGTGCTTTTACGGATCGACTCATTTAGTCCTCATAACAACCCTATGAAGTGAGTATTGGTATCATCCCTGCTTTCCCGATGAGAAACCAAAGCACAGAGAGGTTAAGGAAATTGCTCAAGGTCTCACAGTTAGGAAGCAGTGAACTCAGAACTCGAACCCAGGCAACCTGGCTCCTGAGCCCATGCTGCGACCATGGAGCCACACGTGCAATGCCCAGAATTCCCTTCCTGGAACAGCTGTGCTCATCCTTCGAGTTCCAGCTGAAAGGGCCCCTTTGTTGCAGTTCTTATTTTACTCCCCAGGGTCCACGATGAGCTAATCTCTTCATTTGTGGGGCTGTACACTGTTCACATCGTGTTATAATTACGTGTTAGTCCATGAACTGCTTTGCAGGCAGATCCTCTGTTTTTTTTAGCCCTAAAATCTAAGCATCCCATCCCTGGCACGTGGTAAGTGCACAGTGAAAACTGAACGAGTCCTGGGATCTGCGTGGCAGGGGAGAAGACAGGTGGGGAGAAGAGAGGCATCACGGGAGCGGAGCAAAGGGACTGGCTGGAGAGTTAGGAATTTCTAGCTCAAGGGTCAGCTCAACACCCAGTTCCAGTGTGGCCTTGGGCTGGTCACACAGCCGCCGGCCCCTTTCCTCTCTTGAAGCATGTGGACAGAAAATGTTCTGACGTCCTAGAATTCTCCTGGGCGCTGACTCCAGGAGGCGTAGAGAAGGAAGGGGCGAGAGGGCAGTCTGGGGGAAGGCGGGAACAGAAGGACTAGGGAGCGTGTTAAAGAATTGGGGGCGTCACTCCCCGTGCCCCCTCCAACTTAATTCCAATACCGAATGATTCCAGAGCTACGCCTTTCAATATGGCAGGCACAAGTCACAAATGGCTACTAAGATCAAAATAAAGCACCATTAAAAATTTAGTTCCTGTTGCACCAATAATAGTCAGATGTTCGACAGCCAACGTGGTTAAGTGTTTAGCATCCTGGGCAGCACAGCCGTAGGCTGCTCTACTCCCACTTTTGGGGAACCCAATCAGTGTGCACGCTCTTCTGCTGATGGAAAACAGTATCTGGTTTTTCCCATCTGCACTCACTTCTGCTTGCATAAAGGGTCAGCTATCATCCCCCAGGGTCTTCCTGCACCTTCTCAGACTCCGACCACCTAACTGCACCAAGTCCACCCAGTCTCCACTGGCCAGCAGATCGGGAGACCTGGGTTCGGTCTCAGCTATGCCCAACACAGTGTGTGGCCTTGAATAAGGTCTTGAACTTCTGGGGTCCTCAGTTTCTTCTCATAGAAAACTGGATTTGGACTTGAAACTTTCTGAGGTTCTTTGCAATTCAAAAACAGTGAGTTTGTTCTTTTAAATGGTAAGAAAAGAAAAATTAAAAGGGACGCCCGTCATCCATCACCTCCAGTCCCAGCCACAGAGACACTTGCAAACTAACAAAGGATGACCCTGAGCTGGAGAGTTCGATGTGGCACCACTCCTGGAAAAGGGCAATAGGGCTCCACCATTCGAAATCGGGGGAGGAATGTGAAACGGGGCGGCCACCGTGGAAAAGAGTCTGGCAGTTCTGCAGGAAGTTAAACACAGAGAAACCAACTCCACTCCTAGAGGTGCCCGCCCCAGAGCACTGCAAACACACGTCCACAGGACAAACACCCAAACGCTCAAGGCAGCATCACGGCCAGGGGGCGCCTACGACCCAAATGTCCCTCCACCGGTCCGTGGTCAACGATGGGCCACATACAGTGCATTGTCACTCAGCCACAGAAAGGAATAAAGGTCTGATACACAGGACACCGGGGGTGACACTTGAAAATGTCGCACTCCGTGAAATACGTCACACAAAAAAGGACACATATTGTGTGGCTCCATCTTTGTATGAAATATCCAGAATGGGCAGAAGACACAGAAAATTGCTCTGTGGCTGCAGGGGCGGGGGAGGAGGACCCGCTGTGTGTACATGCACACACACTAACCACCACGGAATCGTCCGCTTTGTAAAGGAACTTTTGTAGTCTGTGAAATACAAGTCGTTATTAAAAAAAAAAAAGAAAGAAAAACAAAAAACAAACCATAGGAAGCAAGACATATCAGTGTCTTATCAACTACATCTCTGCCATTAAACATGCGGGGTGTGCTGGAAGTTAGAGGCACTCTTTCCAAAGGGCCTGCCTTGTTTCAGAGTGGTTGCTAAGTGAATTTCTCTAGTGACTTTACCCTTTTGTCCTGGAAAAGCAAACAAAGAAAGAAACGTTCTCTCTCAGTCTCCCAGACGTTCCCAGATCACAGCAGCTGTCCGCCACACACCGCATGCCTCCCAGTCGCTGACAGCCAGGACAATGCCTTGTTTACAGCAAGTCAACCCAAAAGAACGGGCCTGTCGCCAAGAGCTTGGGATGCACAGCAAACGGAAATCATCTTGGTTCTGTGTTCAGTGTGGTTGCACATGCTGTTTTTGAGTTCAAGGTCACTCTGTTCTCTTAAGGGAAAGCCACCTGCCATCCTAAGAAGACCATCGCTACCCAAAAGAAGACTGATTCTCTGCCAAACCTGAAACAATTACAGCAATGACGAATTTCAGAATCAAAAGGAACCACGGACAGTATTTTTCTGAACAAGCAAGTCTAATTACAAGTAAGAAGACACAGTCAGTAAACTCAGACTTCATCGCTTATTTACCGAAGCCTCGTTTCTCCTCATCTCCTTCACCCTTACAAGTCATCGCCCCTGAGTCCTTTCCCCCTTGGTTATTCCCGTCCGGGTTCTCTCCCTACCCGCTCCCTACTGCTCACCCTTCGGTGCCCAAAGGGTAAGATGCCCAAAGTTCCTGAGCCCCAGTCCCTTCATCCATGCCAGGTACCAGGTGCCACCCACCGTGGAACCTGTCTCCAGGTGCGCACACTGGGCCACTGCGTCAGAATCCCTTGGGGACTCGTACCCCGCTGACACTGTCTGCATTCACACGACCTCCCACCTGAAGGTCAGGGCACCTCACACTTGAGAACCTCTGACTGACTCTGCGGGTGCCTGTGAGGATTAGGTGGCACGTGCACTGGGAGGCCTGGAACGTACTGGACACCCAGTAAGTGTCCGTTTCGCCCTTTCAGAGGCCCTGGCCATGCAAAGAGGTCTTTATTTTCCTTTTCTCTCTCATCTCCCCCTCTGGGGACACAAAACCACCTCCCCAGGTCACCACAGGGTCCCTCCTGCGGATTCTCCTGCCTGGCCATTCCCAGCATGCCCTGCTGCAGCGGGTGCTGGCCGTGATGGGTGGTGGGGACATTCAGAATCGGGAGGGCAGCCCCTCACAACGGCCCCCCACTTCCTCGGCCACCAATCCTGCTCCAACATTGACCAGACCTTCCCTTACCTGCCACCCCATGTCCTCTAGCTGGTAACCCCAAGTGGTACCCTGCATCATCCAGGCTTTTTAAAAATGCTTCGATGCTGAGTCCCCTCCCTGGGGTGCGGCCTGGGCACTGGGACGCTGTAAGCTCCCCAGTGATTCTACCAGCACAGACCCTCAGGAGGGTGGTGGGCCACGCCCTGAGCGCCTGGGAGCGGGGGAGGGGGGGCGGGGGGGGGGGGGCGGTCACCACTTGCCTGAAGAATGGAAAAGAGACGATAGACTCATAGAACCTCCATGTCGCCACGAGGTCAATCCTGTTGGGGTTGGTAGCATAGTACCTCCAGGCAGCCTGTGGGGGGAGACAGGAGGGAGCTGGTATCACCCCAAAGCCTTCCCAGGAGTCCCACAGCCGCAGGACACTGTGTACGTCCTTGACTCCTGAGCATTTAAATGAGCGCCAGGGCCACTCCCAGGGAAGCCACGGTCTGCCTTTCTGTAGCATCTCCGGGAAGACACACTTCCTCAGCCCCACACTCTCAGAGCTGCCTCTGGGGCTATGGGTGTGCGGTGGAGGTGAGCTGCAGTGCGGGGGGGGGGGGGGGGGGGGGATGGGGGGTGGAGTGGAGTGCTGGGTATGAAGTCTCTGACAGGCAGGGACTTGTCTCAGGTTCCCTGAGACACTCAAACCAGTAGGAAGACACGTATCGCCTGTTGTCCCATTTCTGGGTGCAAGAGACAAGGAGGTAGGGTTTGGATTCTAACACACTGGAGCCACGGGGATGCTGGGGTGGTCTGGGGTTTGGGGGGTAAGGGGGCAAACTCCAGGCGACTGCGACTGGCCAGGAGATGACAGTGTACAGGGTTACACCACGTCCCACCCAGGATCAGACCACAGAGACACTCACCGCAGTGGGCACAAGTTCACGAGAGGGTGGTCATGCACACATTCTGTCCTATGTGGCTGTACCCAGGACACTACTGTCTTGTCCTCTGTGCTCTCAATGGCCCATAAAGGAGAAAGTCCCTCTGAAGAGGGACTACTTCAGCCTTTGTCACCACCTCTGGCTACTATCCCTGACCCCCAGCCCATGGTGGGGGTGACGGAGGTGGAGAGCTGGCAGGTACCCCGCAGGCCGAATGGGTGAAGTGTTCAGGACTGTGCACCTGTAAGGCATCTCTTCCTGCTTTGCCGTATGGGCTCTCTGACTTTGGCAGATGTGAGGGGCCCCCGCTCCTCGGAGGTGACTGGCTAAGCTCCTGGACTCTACTAGGTTGACCCTTCCCTGCAGGTCCCCAGGTCAGGATTGGGGCGGGGAGGAGAAAGACCTAAATTCTCCACTGCAGATGAAAATGTAAAATAGCAGATGGGCTGGTGTCTGTGTGAGTTCTGTGTCTATTTCCTGACTGGCTTACAACATGATGGAAGAATAATAGGATTGTCGCTAAGTAACCCCCAGAGAGAGGCCACATCGATAACCACACAAACGCCCACAATTACCCACAAGCACCCATGGTCCTGGGTCCGTCCTAGTTCGTGGTCATTCCCTCTCCCGAACACACGGACATGCGTGCAAACACACATGTACACACATGCAAACTGTATGCACTTGCACACATGCATGCACACGTGTACCACTTGTGCATGCACACCACAGATCTTAATCCAGCCGGCCCGCCCCAGGCCCAGACAGACACAGACCTGAATGAGCTCAGCAGCCGGCTTCCTCCTTTTCTCAAAGTGCTTCTGACGGTGCTGCTCCTGCACCTTGAGGGCCAGCCCGGAGCCCAGGATGCCCTGGAGGGAGAAGTCCCACTCTGAGTCAGCCCCTGGGGACTCTCTGAGCCCCACGCCCAGGCCCCCAGTGACAATGCTGAGTGATGGGGAGAGGGGAAAGACCCCTCCTTCGCTGGCAGGGAGTAGGTTGCCTTAAAGTCAGGAAGGCCGGACTCTGACACTTCTGCAGCCCTTTGCTCAGCCACGTCTGCCGCTCAGCAACGTGAGACCCTGAGCAAGTCTCCTCTGTGCTGCACCTCTGCTTCCTGCACGGGGAAGGGGGTGACAGTGCCTCTCTCACGACAGCGCCAAGGGACAAGTGGGAGGGTGCACAGGAGCCGCTGGGGGAGGGCCTGACCCAGAATCCATGTCTGGTAAATGGGAGTGGAATTTAAAATCACTTTAACTGCTGGAATCATCACCTGAGGCTTTTGTTAAGAGCTGGAGTTTCCCAGAAGTGTGATGTTTTGATTTCCAGGTCAGACCCAAGAATGGATTCAATGGATAAGAGCACGTCCTTTTCGACTTGAGAGAGAACCGAGTGTCACTCCCACGGACCTTCACCGGGACAGGTGAGGAAGGTCACGTGTCCGAGGTCAAGCAGCCCAAGGGAGGGCTGCAGTAGAGAAAGAGCACCCCCAACCTCAGGATGGGTGGTGAGGGGGGAGCAAGTGGACAGTTAGATCGGCAGGGCCTTCTCAACCTTCCTGAGGAAGAGCCAGGCTATAGAACCGCCAGACCAGGCAGGCCCACGACCCAGGGGCTTTACAACTGCGGAGGCCTTACTAACCCGCTGAGACCTCGGGTTTCTCCGCTGGAAAAGGGAGGTCAGCACAGCACCGAACTCCTAATGTTGTCATGGAGATTAAATGAAATGGCATAAGGGAAAGCACTTGGCGTGATTCCAGCACACAGGACGTTCAACAAGTGCTGTTGTCGTCTATTTTCATGTTACTATTACACCTACAGGCTCTGGGCTTGAGGAAATTATCGTATCAGGAGTCAAGACTCGCTTTTGAAGGAAATGCATTTTTTCAAATATAAACAAGCAGATGACGAGCAAGGGAAGGGAGCTCCCACATCTGAAGGACTGCGATGGGCGAGGAAGACAAACTAAACACTGTGCACTCTGTCACGTGGGCACTAGACCAGCAGGCGATCACGTGAATGTCTACTCACTATGTTGTCCTCCTGACACTAACACAATAATGTAGGGTGACTGTAGATGAAAAATTTTTACAAATTTGAAATAGGTAGATGAAAGGCATCATTTCAGCCCCCAAGTTGCTCACAGTGTCCCAGGGAGGCAAGTGTGGAAGCCAGCAATCCCAGCGTGGGGTCAGAGATGCCTTTCCTGGTTATGCCCCGAGGAGGGAGCAGGTAGCCAGTCTACAGAAGGCGGCCTGACACTGGGACTTGGAGGAGACGTTTGAAGGACTCACTCTCGGCAGAGGGAACAGCACAGCCCGTGGCAGACAGGCGGACGCCGTGCGCTGGGGGTGGCTAGTGAGTGGACAGAGCTGGAGTTCGGGTCGTGAGTCCCACAGGGAGGAAGATGAAGCGGGGAGGCGGACCTGCGGCCGGGCGGGGAGGGGTCCTGCGCGTCGCACCAGGGTGAACGTTGGAGGCACTCACCGCGGGAAGGGCGAAGAAGGAGACCCCGATCAAGGAGAAGGTGGCCGCAATCAGCCGGCCCTCCCACGTCTTGGGTGTCTTGTCCCCGTAGCCGATGGTGGCCAGTGTGATCTGAAGAGAGAAAGGTTCAGACACGGGGCTCCCCAGGCAGCGGGAAACCAGGGATGTGCCCCGCGTCCACCCGTCGGCCTCTGCACTGAGCCGGGCTGGGCGGGCGCTGGTACCACCAAGAAGCAGACCCCGCGGGAGAAAAGCCGCCGAGCAGCAAGGAACTTCCATGCGGGCCTGGAGGCCCGTGTCTGAGTTCGGGTCCCCTACCCGAACTCATGGGCATGTCTAATGTCTGTATGTGTTGTGTATTCCGGTGGGTTTTGAACTCCTGAACACAGAAGGCAGGCTGTCAAAGCAGTTAGCGGTATGTACCCAACTGCCCAAGTTCAAATCCCAGGTTAGCGACTACCTGGCTCAGCTGTCTTCCTCGGATTAGCTACTTAACTGCGTCATGCCTCAGTTTCCGCATTTTTAAAAAGGGTCTCATAATCGTTGTTTGAGTTTAAATATGTTAATAAAGGTAAAGGGCTTAGAGCCAGGCTGTGGAGCCAAGTCGGCCTTCAGGGGGTGCTGCCCTGGGTGGCCGGTGTCCCTGCGGCTGTGGGGTTGTGTGTCTCTAGGTATGTTTCAAGGTCGGAGTCGTGTGTGCCTCTGTCACTGTGTCTGTACGCATGTGGCTGCTAACAGCCTACAGCTAATGAGGTGAGGTCCCTAGTGTCCGTGGGGCCAGACTGCTCCGAGCCCTGACTTGTCACTATGGAAAGCCTGTGCGTTCCATGTGCAGAGTCGGCAGGGGCACCTCCCACAGGCAGGTCAGAAAAGGGAGGAGGTCCAGCTGTCCCCTGCGGCTGCAGAATGCAGCTGCCCAGGCCCGGCCCCACCTCTCGCTGCTGTAACAGTCCACCCCCCCGCCCAGGGTGAGGGGAGGAGACAGGGCTTGGACTCACCAGGCCCCACCAAAGGGCGTCTGCGTAGGTCTCAAACTCCTCCTTCATCTCTTCTCCTTGGGCATCGACCTCCGGCACGTCTTTCTCAACCAGGTAGACAAGGAATGAAGAAAGGATGAGCGTCAGGAACCCGATGTACCAGGCGGTGATGAGCTCCTGGGGGAGCAAGCAGAGGCCAGGGAAGGACTCACGGGAGGCCGTGGGGTGGACACAGGAGGCAGACACACTGGAACGGGGCGGAGCCTGCCAGCTCTGTGGCTGAGGGCAAGTGACTCGCCTTCTCCGGCCCTCACCTGCCATCACTGGAAAATGGGCTCAGGCACAGGGCCCCTCTTGGCACCAGGCACACAGTGAACTCAGGGCTGTAGGAGGAAGCTCTCCTCCTGGGGGGAGCTCGCTACCACCGCTCCCGAGGCTTCGCCGGGAGGCGAGAGGGCCCGGCTGCTGCCTCGGAAACAAGGCTCGGGACCCTGGAGACTTTCGTCAGTGCAGGGCTACGCAGGATCGAGCTCGGTTCTCCTGGGAAGCCAACAGCAAGGGGCAGCACTGTGGCCCAGGGGACAGAGCTGTGGACAGGGCCCCAGCGTGCCACCAAGTGACCGCGTGACCCTGGACCAATGACCCCTCCCCAGCCTCAATTTCCTTGATTTTTAAAACAAAGGACTGGACCATAGAGTTCCAGGCAGCAACGTGCATCGCTGGTGGAATGCACAGTTTCTGTGTTAGTTGCCTACTGATTGGAGCCATATTAAAAACAAGTGTAAAACACATAAAACCTGTCATGTCCTGCATGTTATCACCTGATAGACTAGGACACATGAGTAAGGAAACATGGGAAAGCTGGCTGCAAAAAAAGGGGGAGGGGGATAATGGGGAGAACGAAATGGGACAATTGTAATAGCATAATCAATATAAAATACACTTTAAAAAGCGTTCAGGCACAGTAAGGAGGCAGGCATAGTAAGAGGGATGGCAAAGATGGTGTAACTGTGGTTTCCGACACCCGACCACGACACCCTCTAAGGCCGTTTCTCTCATTCTGTCCCAGTGTCAAGGCTTAGCATGGCAGCTTGGGTGGGGAGAAGGTCAAGGTTATTGGCACACCGTGTAGAGATTAAGCCTGTCATTCTTGTTGAGTCTCCAGAGAACAAAGTTGTGCACATCAATGTACGTCACCCACCTGACCATCAGCGGCCAGTCGGCTGGCCTTCTGGGTCACCGGGATCTTGCTGACAGGTTGCTTCCCGTCTCCCCTGTGCCTTTGCTGATGCTGAACTACTGCTGCCTGAACTATCCTTCTCCAAGAGACTGCCCAGAGCATCGTCATGCCATCTTCAGACTCCCGTCACCTCCATATGACACTTCCTTGGATGTTGGCGCTCCCAACTAGACAGAGGGCTTATCCCAAGCTCCTCATGCCTCTGCTCTTTTCCAAGCAGTCTTCTCTAAATGCCTCGCACTTCATTACGCTCAGGTGCCACTCGGACTGGCTTCCCACCGGGCTGCCCACGCACAGTGCACAGGTGTGAGCCCCCACACAGCAAACAAGTCAGAGTGGAGGGTGCGTGCAGGCCAGCCAGCCATTCTCCTCTTCCGGGGCCTGCCCTGCAGAGGGTTCAAGAAGGCAGGCAGGAATTAGGTCATCCTTCTGCATGCTCATGTCTGGGCGCGAGCACCTCGCTGCAGGTGGTCCTTGCGTTCCTATGTGTTTTCATACCTTCTGGCCCTAATGTGAGTCAGAAGTTTCACCTGGTGCTTAACTTACAAGGAAATATCGCATGTGCAGAAAAACTGGCTGCGTCGGATTATTAAGGGCGGTGTAATCGTGCTGATGAGGAGCGAGAATGGGTCTCAACTCTGTGCTTTGCCGTCTTGAAAAGGCTGTTCGGGGTAATTCTGCCTTTATGTGATTTTCACCAGCAGCTCTGTGGCCAAGGCTACAACTGGTGCCCGATGTCTGGCATGTGCCCAAGCCCCCTGCAGTCAGGTCGGGGCTGGAGGACCGGGGTCCAGCCACTGTGAGGAGTGACAGGCAGGAACTCCAGCCTGCAGGATGCTCCAGGGCCCCTTCCCTTGCCTCAGTGACTCTCGTGTTCAAGACAGATGGGGGCACCCAACCCACATCAGACCCTGCGTGTGCCTGAAGACGTCAACACTGTTGAGCTCGGTCATGGTGATGCCAGGGCTTCTTCATTCTGGGAGCAGAGCCTGCCTTTCCTGTCCTTAAAACTCTGGCTCTGTGTCACACAGGCCTTGCACACTTGCCATCTCTGAGGTCCTTCACTGACTTCTCCTGCACTGGCCTGCGGAGGGCTTCCCTGCCCGAGTGGGGCACGGGACTCTCCTTCACTCTCCAGGGCCCAGCCGAGACGGGTGCTAAACCCATGTGGTCCCTGAGGTTTGGGCGATCCGAGGGCGCCACAGCTCCAGGTGCAGGGCTCTGCCTGCCTCAGTTTCCACACCTGCTCGAGTACATGGGACTCTGGGAAGGGGTCAGACTGAGCCCCACTGTCCCAGCTCCTGCTGTCCCTCCGAGAGCTGCGCTCCATGGTGACTAGCAGCAAACCACTGAATGTGGGCTCTGGAGCTGGGCTGCCTGGGGTGCGTCCCGCTGCATGACCGTGGGCAGGTCGCTGCCCCCTTCTGCCCCTGTGTCCTTATCGGTGTAATGAGGAGACAATCGTGCCCAACTCCTGGGGCAAACTAACCCATGTTCTAGGCACCGACCAATAGCAACGGTGCCATCTCCACAAGCTGGGTGTGGTCTGAGTGCTTTTCACGGGAGGTGAGTGTGTTATTATTCTCATTTCCCAAATGCGGGACTAAGTCCTGGGGAGGTTACAGAAAATCTCCAAGGTCACACCAGTGGGGTTTGGATTCCCACCAGTCTGCATGACTCTGGAACCTCCTCCCATCCTACATTACCTTGCATTAGCTCATTTCACCCCAGGGGCAGAGGTATTATGATCCCTGTTTTAGAAATGAGGAAACTGCAGGTCAAACAGGCCAACTGGCCGGTCGTCTGTACCTGGTGGAGCTGAGACCGGAGCCCGGGCCTACCTGCTTCCGCTCACTGCAGCACACTGCTTACGCCCCGCCCCTCTTCCTGCTCCTCACTGTCACCATCATCATCAGTGTGGCCAAACGCCCTCCCCCTCCATCTAGGCAAATCGTACTGGAGGAGACGCCGTGGTCTCGTGGCCTCTCTGTGGCACCTACTTTGCTGTGGGCGCAGATGGCCGAGCCCAGGAGCTTCCAGGTGCCGCCCCTGCGGTCCATCCGCAGCATGCGCAGGATCTGCAGGAAGCGCAGGCTCCGCAGGGAGGTGGCCAGGACATTGCCCTGGTTGCCCACGGCGACCACGGGCACAGAGGCAATCAGCACGAAGATGTCTGGGAGAGAGGACAAAGGGCCAGTGACCAGAGCTGCCCGGGGCTACAGCGGGGCCATCACAGCCACTGTCTGCCAGCACACGGGCACATGGCGAGCGTGGCTGTGTTAAACCGCGACATCAACCACATACGCTAAGCAGGATGACTCTCCCGTGACAGAGGGGGGAACGTAGGGTATAAGGTGCAGTTGGAGCCACTCAGCACGTTTTCCTGATAAAAGGAGAATCTGCTAGAATGGAGAGGAGGACCAGAATGGCTGAGCTGAAACACTGGAGGGAGTCAGAGGAGTTAAGATGATGTATGATGTGCCTTGAAAGGTAGTGAGCACCCCATGATTAGAGGTATGCGAGCAGTCTGCATGACCGGCTGCAGACTACTGCGAAGGGGACTGGAGCATCAGACAGGAGGGCTGCTGGACTAAAAGGCCTGTGGAGGGTCGGTCCAGCCCTGACGTTCTATGGTCCTGCACCTTTAGCCATCCCTGGGATTCGATGCCCTAAGTCCCCAAGCATCTCTGCAGCAGACTCTGTCAAGCTGCTCTGTGATTTCGGTAGGACCTTCACATGGGAGCACACGGGTCCACCCGGTGCCAACAGGGTGAGTGGGCTACCAGAAAGACTACACCCACACGCAGGCCTCAGTGACACCTCTGCAAAGCACCTTTGGGTGGAGACACAGCAGCACGGTGGCCGGTGGGGGGAGGGCACAGGGACCAGGTTCATCCAGACCTGGGTTTTAGGAGGGAATATGCTAGTCCCTCCCTGTGTGCCTGTTACATGACTCAGCTCCAGGAGCCTCAGTTTCCACCTCTGGAAAATGGCCATAATGCGGTCCTACAGAGGCAATTCTCAACCTGCAGTGGTGTCGCACCTGCTGCCCCCACCGCAGCCAGTCTGGAGATGCACGGGCCATGGGGCTGTCACCGTGACAGGGTGCTGCTCGGCAAGGGACCGAGCTGCTCAGTGTCCTACAACGGACTGGCTGTTCCACAGCCCAAGTGCCAAGTGCGCCCCCTGCCCCACGAAGGACCCCTGCTCCGTGTGCTCATTGTGAGGAGCAGGCGCAGCAAGGGGCCTCCAGCTCACAGCGATGGGGGGACAGGATGGCCTGGCCTCTGCAGAGCCCTGTGAATTCCCAAAAGTAAGAGAGTCTGCTGAAAATGTCCCCATAGAAAAAAGGCACCAACGGAAGGGACTCAGCCGTGGCGGACAGGGGTACGGGGCTTACCCAACATGCACAGGGGCTTCCTGGCGAACTTCAGCCGCCCCCGCCAGCCTTTGTATCGGCAGCAGCACCCAGCGGCCCAGACCCTCAAGGCAAACTCAGCTCCGAAAACGAAAATTGCAAACGTTTCCTGTGTTGAAGGTGAATGAAGAGACATGGATTAATCGCGGTTTCCACGGGGGTTGCTGCTCTGCTGGTGGAAGGGAGAGAGCAGGTGTCCTCCAGCCGGGAGGCAGCTCCCATCCAAACATTCAGACTTGCAAAGTGATTGCTTGTTCTTCTTCCTCTATGTTCCAATGGATCGTTTTTAAAAATCGCTCTAATGTATTAAAAGTCCCTAAGAAGTGCAATTGGGGTGAAGAGGTTTCAGTGAAACCAGCCATTAATCCCACGCAGCACCTGGCCCGGCTCTGCTAACCGTGGCCAAAGCGGCTGAGCGCAGATTCTGGGCCAGGCGCCGCCCCGAGGGAGTGCTCCATCAGATTACGCTCCTTTCACGTTTTGAGAAACCGAGGCATGGAGCAGCTCAACAAGTTTCTTGGGGCTATGAAGTGACAAAGAACGAACCCCAGGCTGGGGCCAAGGCTCACGCCCCGCGGCGTGAGCGCCACGCTGCTTCCCGGGCCGCTGGGTCAGCCCCACCTCCCTCTCTCCTTGGTGGTCTCCCTGGGCCCCTGGGGACTTGCTGCTCCTCAGCCATCCCAGAAACCTGGCTCCTGGGAAGGGGGTTCACGTGCTCAGGTCTCAGCTCGGGGCTGTGAGGATCAATCAGATGGCGAACACCTGCCCTCAGGAGGCACCTGCTGATGCTGGAGCCCAGGATGGCATGTCAGTGTGAGGCACAGGATCTGCTGCGCCCTGGGGGGTCCACAAAACTGGGGGGAGGGCACCTCTTCCCTGAGGGGGCTGGTCGGCTGTGGGGGCTGCAGGAAGAGCCAGTCCTTCCTGGGGCCTTTGCCTGCTGCAGAGGAGGCCGCATCCAGCCCATCGGCATGTGCTGCTCACCTGGTATTTCCATATATTTCAGGTGAGGATGTGAGGAGAGGAGAGGCAAGGGTGTCAGGTGACTGGCTGGGGCTGCTGGCCCCACTGTCTCTACCAACCCCCGTGGGGAGAGAACAGAAAGTACAAACAGGCGGAGGCCCTGGCGGAGGACTGAAGTTTTATGTCAAAATGGAATTTCCACCTGGCCTTGAATGGAGTAAGAGAGCCTTGGGGTTTAGGAAGGAAAAGCGAAGGTGGGCTTCCAAGTGGAACAGGCCTCTGCTGGCTTTCAGAGGACCGGGAAGCTGTGTTCGGGAATTTACCGAAGGTGTACTGGTTTTTGCTCCGACCTTCTCTCTGACCTGGAATAAGAAATGGCCCAAACCACTCCACCTGTGCCCCCCGCAGACCTGACCGTCTGACCACAGAAGCGTCTACCCCAGACACACGGCACCACGGCGGGTGCGCAATCTCACCAGTAACAGAAGCCAGTCTCCCGAAACGGTCTCGTACTCCTTGAATGTGGTCAGGACGGCCAGAATCAAGCACCCCAGGACGATCAGGAACCTGGAAGGGAAAGAAGGAGGAGACTAAGGACACGTCCGGTCCTGGCTTGCTCCACGGCTGGGCAGGGGGCGGTGACAGACAGCAGGGTGAAGCCAGAACCTGCATCGGACGTGGACATGTGTTGTGGTGTCCCTTTCACCTCCCAGCAGTCACCAAGGCAGGCAGGGTGACTGTTCCGACTGGAGAAACAAGGCTGGCGGGGGCTAGACACGGTGCATGCCTCCACTTTCCCAGTGAGCGGAATCCATCAGTTACTGGTCCCAACTCTAGGGGCTGCAGAACTGCCCCGCCCAGACCAGAAGTTAACACACGCTTCAGTAAATCATTAGGAATGTGAATTAATTAATAACATATCCTGCACATGTAGGGCTATGATTTTCAAATATATAAAAAAAGTTCTTCGTATAAAGAAAACAAACTCATTCCAACAATTGATCAATTCAGTGAAGATCTCTATCACCTGAGTATGCTCGTTTGTTTTCTGTTTTTCACAGTCAACAGGTACCCAAGGAAATAACCTCTTTCACCTGGGGAACCTTCAGAATTGTTTCTAAAGTACTCTTGAAGCTAGAAGGAATAAGAGCCACCATGCTGCATGGCACAGAACGCTGGTCCTTGGAAAGCCTTAGAGGGTCGGCTGGTTCACAGGCCTGCCCCAGGCAGGAGCAGACTGCAAACAATTCTTCGAGACTTATCTTTGCAAACTCTGCGTGCGGGGTGGCAGGGTGGTGCGCACCTGCCCATGACTCATTGTTTCGACACAGAAAAAGGGCTCTTCTTCCCTCTGGGTGGAGAGTCTGTAGTTCAATGGTTATGATCGGCTTCCCTGGGTGTCAAAGAGGGAATTTACAGGCTGGGGCCCATTCGTGGGCCTTGGTACCACGCACTCAGGCTCTCCTGCTCCTCAGAATCGGGCTCTTCACCCTACTGAACCCAGTAGGGTGGTTCAGTGCTTTCCAAAGCACTTCAAAAAGTCCGTGCTTTTTTGGCCTGCTCATGTAAGTGGGTACCCACTTCTTCATTCATTTAATACTTCTATGGCACATAGTGAGAACACAAAGCTGTATTTCAGTGATAGATGAGCTGGACCTGTTCTCATGAGCTCACAGTCCCGACAAACAGGCAGCTCTCTCATGGGTAAAGGGAAGGACCACGAGGGAAGGAGGTTTGGACACGTCCACTCCCCGCCTCGACTGGGGGCCTGAGTCCCTGGCTCTGAGCCTTGGCCACAGAGCCACTGATCCTGACCACACTTTCTGATCAGTACAGCTGCCGATCAGCAGACCTGAAGCTCAATGTTTGCAACCCCGCCTCGGAACCCGAGCTAGATTTTTGATTCCTTCCTGCATTTGGCTGTTTTACTTTAAATTCATGACTCCAACCCCTGCCCGCAGCAATCTGCTGACTCTGTATCCCTAGGTTGTCTTTGCAGGTGATAGGATGAGTATGAAAAAGACCAGGATGGTAACCACACCCACCATGAACTACCCTTTGGTGAGCACTAACCACTTCACAACTTCTTCCCACTGTCAAGACAGCTGAACCCACCTTAGAGACAAAGAAACTCATCAGAAGGAATGATTAACATCACGATAATTGTGTTGTCAGTAAAAACACCAGAGTCTGAAGTCCAAAGTCACAGGCTCACAGGAGGCTCTGGCACTCCCCGCGATGCTCTCCAGTAGCTCAGTGACTTTGGGAACACCACTGAGCCCAGAGGGGTGACACATCTTCCCAGAGGTCACAGCTCCTGTAAGGACCACGGGAAACAATGGGTGGGAAGCGGATGGCTTCTCCCAGACACAGGCCCGTCATCCACCTGCCAGGCCCTGGGGACCCTGCAGGGAGCTGAATCCGTCTCTCAAGACCCTGCAGTGCAAACCCTCGTTCCCTCAGGGTTTTATTGCTTCATCCACAGGCTCTGGAGATCAGCCCTAGATTAGAACCCCCTTCTTCCTGTTACACTGTGGCACCTCAGGCAAAGTATGCAGCCCTTCTGCCTCTGGATTTCCTCCTCTGTCGAATGAATCCAACAAAAACGCCCATCCCTTCAACTTCAGTAACCAAATGCAGGCCAGGCGCCTCGGAGCTCGCCTGGTGGAGAGTTAGCCTTCGGCAGGTGCCAGCTGCCGTTCTGCTGCGACTTACTATCTGCCTGCCCAGTGTCCCTTTGTCCTGGGCACAGTCCTGGCTTTGAGGGTGCAGACATGAACAACACGTAACCTTGTTTTCAAGGCCCTCTCAGTCCAGTGGAGGAAACAGAGGACAAACAGTCACAGGAGAGTGCAGTTGAGGTTACGGTCCCAACGTCCACTGAGTGCCTTGGGAGCACAGGATGGGAAGCAACCAAGGGGCTGCAGCTGAGGGATTGGAAGGATATTTGAGGCCTAGTTGGGGTTGGCCACACGTCCCAGTGTCCCCCGGACATTCCCCACGCTGTGCATGTTGACCTGGGTTGTGGCCCCCAGGGTGTCATGCACATGAACCCTGCAAAAGTTCACGGGCACAGAAGCTGGTCTGATCTCCTCCTTTAGCCAGGGGTGTAGACCTTTCATGACCTGGCCTTGTCCTCCCCACAGCCCCATCCGCTGCTTCCACATCCCAGACCAGCTGCACCAAACGGTGGCATCTCCACAAACTCTTTGGGCCCGTGGGCTTCCCTGCCCACTGCCCCTACAATTCCCTTCCTCCGCTCACTAATGCCTGGGCAGTTACGGGCATGTTTGCGTCTAGGTCTTTTCACGACCCAGCTGCTCGGTGCGCACTCCCCTGGCGGAGCCCTCCCTTGAGATCAGAGAAGCCCTGAGGCATTTCCATCCCAGTCCTGACCGCTACAGAGATCATTTTATAACCCTTTGCTCACACAGTGTAGTCAACAAAACATACTCCCCTAACACCAGGCACTACAGTCCGCCTCAGGGTGAGACGGCCTTTGTCTAGTGAAGTAGTCTACGGCTCCAGGTGAGGCTGATAAACTTCTCAACAATAACAATCAAGAAATCAGAGACAGGAGTTGACCTTGAGGGCTGAGGATGATAAGAAGATATGGCCTTGTCAGACGCTGAAGGATTTTTAAGAATGAGATTGTCTAAAATTTCAAGTTGGTGGCCCTGGATGCAAACCATCAAATACAGCCCTGGGGGAGTGGCTTTGTCTCGAGTTGGCTTCAAACATGGAGCTGAAGCCCATGGCTGGGGAGAGAGAGCAACTCAGGGCCCGCAGCTGACTAATTCAGAGAGAACCAAAGCCAGACTCTGAGACTCCACCAACACCCTGTGTGGAATGTATGTAAGTCTTGGAAGACTGAGGAGTATGCCTGGTGGGTACACCCTAAGGTGGCTCCCAGTGAGGAACGCCCTTGTACCAACATTGTCCCCATCCTTGAGTGCAGGTGGCACTTTTGACTTGCTTCTAGCAACAGAAGAAGGTAAAGGTGATGGCTGTCATTCCTCAGGTTTTTGTGACGCAAGATAACATGCCTGTGACTGTGTTCCTTCCTGCAAGACTCAATCTTAGCAGAATGGAGACAGAGTCCTGCTGGCCTTGGAATGAGCCGCTGTGTTGTGAAGGGGCCACAACACAAGACACTCTGGTGGGTTCTAGGACCCAGAGAAGCCCCCAGCCGATGGCCAGCATGTAAGTGGGGCCTCAGTCCTACAACCACAAGGACCAAGGACTCAGGTGAACCTGGAGGAGAACTCCCAGTCTCCGGAAAGGAGCACAGCCCAGCCTGAAACTGCTTTGTGAGACCCCAAGCTGAGGACTCAGGGAAGCTGTGCCCAGACTCCCAACCCACAGAAACTGGGAGACAACAAACATGTTTTGGTATCAGCCATGGATGCATCCAGTTTTGCAGAGCAGGGTAACCCCCGCACCCCCATCCCATCCATCAGATCACGTCTGGCCTTCACTTGCATGTCTGGTCTACGAGACTCCGCTCCCTGAGGGCGGAGACTGTCCTGTCTCTGTGTCCCAGCGCCGATCTCCAAGTCTGGCACTTATTAAGAACCCCTATCTTTAGAGGATGAATAAGAATCATTCAGAGACCAGCCACTGCCTTTTTGTTGGAATAAAATGCCAAGGATATAAGATGGTTGGAGAGACAAGGCAGAAGGGATAGAGAAGGGCTTTCTTGGGTGAATGAAGGGTTTGGACTTTATTCTCCAGAAGACTTAGAATACATATTACATATATATACACACACACACACACACACACATATATATATATCTCCATACCCCTACCCACATCATCTTATGTCTACTCACACCCGTATCTGTATCCATCTCCATGTCCACTGCTGCACTGTGCACATCTGTATCCCATGTCCATTGTCATTGTCATCGGTGTCCCCATATCTCATCATCTACATCTATGTCCATGTCTATACCTGTATGGCCCGCCTCTGTCTCTCGTACCCACGGCAGGGTCTCCGTTACCTGTATCTCGACGGACAAAGGCTGCCCTGTGACAGGACAGAGGTCAGGAGGCTGTTGTCACAGGCTGATGAGAGAGGAGGGAGGCTGCTCCGGCAAGATGACAAGGGCCCCGGTGGTCTCGGCAGAATCTGTGACTCATGGGATGTGGAGGCCCAGCAAGAGGGGCCTCTGCAGGGTCCCAAGGGTGGGGGACAGGTGGACACAGGCTGGTCCCAGACATCAGGACTGGCACACCAGGCAGGGGACCTGCTGAGCTTGAGGTCCATGTGGCAAGAGCCAGCAGGCTGATTGAAATTCAAGCCTCAAGGTTAGGGCAGAGGAAGGGATTGGGGCCCTCCACCCGGTTCCGGTGGGCAGGGAGGGTGCAGAACCAGGCTTCTGCCAGCGGGGGGCAGCAAAGGCCCATGAGCTCCCTATTTCCTCATCCTCATCAAGTGAGGGAAGGAGAAGCACCAGCCACCTCTGGCCTTCACTTTCAGAGATTTGACATCATTGATTTATACCGCCACATGCACCACGGAAGTTCCTTCGCGTGAGAGGGGAAAAAGCTTTTTGGCCTAT